TGTTATATAATAATAATAATAATATGCCAATGATTACGAATGGTCTCTTGCACTGTTGTTGCTAGCTTAGCCAATTTACGGTAGGCTTAACTGCCAGAAATGAAGCCTCAACTCATTCTTACTGCCTTTATCTTGGTGTTCTTCATAAACGGCAAGAATATGAAAGAACCTGCCAGAGACAGCGACTTCACATGAGCAGACTCGTTTTGGCACCATCGTCTTCTCCTCTCTCTTCTATTTGCTAACCTACCTGCTCCGTAAAGTCCACCACACTATAGGTCCTTACACACCAGGCACGAATTCGCCAGGCAAATTATTCGCCTTTATTCGCCTTTTTTAAAAACAGCATAAAGTCAATGCAAGCTTTCACACCAGTGGCGATTTTTCCGTAGGGCGAAAAGCATCAATTATTTTTTCGCTCTTGTGTCGAATTTTTCGGAGATTCGCAGGCGAATATCTGGACCTGCTAGACCTCTGGCCAATCAAAAGTCATGTTGTTGATGATATTCATTAATCAAGCATGCTATGGCAAACCCATCCAGCTCCTCTTGGAGATGAGTGAGCTGTAGATGAGCTATTATGTGCTTATATACATTATAACGGGGCTGGGGGCCCGGAGCTTTCAAGAAAACGGGACTTTGTCTCATTCATATAGAATATTGCCTTTTATGTTAATCTTACCTCAGACATGTGGTTAGCCGCTCCTCTGGACCAAATGGCTCTCTGTAGTTAGTTGTCTGCTTCTCCAGTGGTGGGGTCAGCTTCTGGAGGAGGTCATTAAATTGCCCGAGGGACATTCTAAAATACTGGTGGAATTTTGGGGGGTAGAACTTTGCTTTGCAAAATTCATACGCATATTCGTTTCGCACCCGGTGTGTATAGGCGAAAGTGATTTTTCGGACCAGCAAATATTTTCGCATTTTCGTCTCGCTTTTTCGCTTTGCTCCGCAATTTCGCCGGTGTGTAAGGACCTTAGGAGAGCACAATGCCTCACTGGTAACAAGGCTCATAAACTTATGGCAAACTGTACAACAGTTGTTCAGTTGTTCCCTGCACCGTTCCCAGTTCCCATTGAACTGAACATTCGCGCTCCCTGTGGTTTGGAATCTCAGTTAAGATGGCTGTATACCCCGCGCAGTCCACTTAGCAGGAAACTGCAGTGCGATCGGAACGCAGCCAGGGTCTGCATACAGCTGAGTGCACTCCTCTGAGAACACTGCCCTTCTGTGCACTTGAGTACCCTGGGTGAGGTGAATCAACTTCTGTGAATTGGGACGGTCTGCCCTTTAGAGGGACTTCCTGGTTGAGTCGCCAAATGTCCCCGCCCTCAGGCTCGCGTCACGAATGATTTGAAGAAAAGCCGCGGAGCGCAGCAGTTGTTTTTTTAATTGTGCGACCTTGCATACATACAATACGTACACAAAACAAAAGACAGACACAAAACAATACATACAAACAAGCACACTGGAGTTACAATATACAACAATGTGACAACCAAAAAGAGGAAAGGACTTTAAAGATCATTTCCACAAAATTCATCCAGTGATGAATTTTCCAGTGATGTCAGAGACGTGGCGCTTGTCAGAGCTTGACTCCCTCTGGATCTTGAATGTTGATCATCAGTTGGATTGTTTCTTGAAAAACCACAAAAGCTCTCTGAATGGCCCGCTGATGCATCCACTGATAACCCTGCAGTTGACCACTTCCAGCCATTTACCCCTCCACAAAAGCAGCTTTATGACTTACTTACTATTTACTTAATGACTTTATTTTAGTAAATTTACAACTTTAATCTCAAAGTCTTTTAAAAAAATTCTTGATGTGGTACTGACACTCAGATGCCGTTTTGGCAGCTTTCTTATATCTCATGTTTTTTATTGTGGTAGCAGAGCGCATCAGTTCTTTTCTAAAGAGTATAATGTTTGGTTTGCAGATTTTATTCCTTCCTCCGGCAGCTGAGGAAGTACAGACTGTCGAGGACCATGATGACTCAGTTCTACACAGCCATCATTGAGTCCATCCACATGCACTCCATCATCACCTGGTTCCCCGCTGCAGCTGCAAAAGACCTCATGAAGCTGCAGTGGGTGATTCGTTCTGCTGAGAGGGTGATTGGCTGTCCCCTGCTCTCCCTCAAATCCCTCCACGATTCCAGGGCACTGAGGAGGGCAAGAAAAATTATGGCTCACACAGGTGGGAGTCTGGCTTTCCACCTCCCCCCGCCCCCTAGGGACTCCGATGCCTAAATCGATCACTAGTGTAGTGATTTGAAATGAGCCTCATACGGTCGCACCAAAATATATGTAGCGATTTGAAATGAGCCTCACAAGGCCGCACCAAAATAATACTTGGCGATTGGAATTTATAATAAATGTCTGAAGATTAATAATCTCAAATTATGACATTTATGCACTCGTTGAAAGGGGCACCACCCACCCTTAATGGTGGGAAAATAAAGAAAACAAAAGTTTAATTCAGAAATCAAACATCAAGTCAGTTTTAATTAATCAGTCTTAATTAATCAGTCTCATATCTTAAGTCGAAATTCTAATTTCAGGGACTCCACTTCTGGAAGAACACTAACAGACAGGAACTTAGAAAAATAATGATCTGTTTATTACAGGATAAATGATGGTACAACACACATGCAATAAATGATGATAAGATAATGAAGATAGATAATAATAGGTGAATAAATAAAGATTCTGAGTCAGGCTAGGAGCACTAAAGTTAATGATAGTGAGTGAATATGCGCTAACATATTAACCTACACTAACTTTGGTGTCGAGATAAACTCGGGTGTAGATTTGGAGGAATCTAAGATCACCAGAAATAGGTGGATATCTGAGTTATGAACGCGTGAGACAGCATCAGCCCTGTCTGGAGCTCTGGAGGTTTGCATACTTAAGTGAGACTGGTCCTTGGAGAAGATGGAGCAGGTTCCGAAGGTCCGGGGCTACTGGCGGTTCGAGCGGTTCAGCTCAGAAGACGACTGAAGTCAGCCGAAGGATGAGCCAGGAGTTGCAGCACTCGGGCCCGAAGCAAAGCCAGCGCCTGTGGATCCTGTGGATGCTCGTTTGGGTACTTCTTTGGTCTCACTCAAAAACTCTGGCACAGAGGATGACCTGGGCCTGCTGGGTTGCGTTCAGAGGTGACTTTGAAATCACGCAGAAAACTCAGAAAAACGAGGCTCGAAGAGCAGAGAAAACTTTCAAAAATGGCTTCGCGAAATTAAAGAAAAATCAATCAAAGGCTTAATCTTGAATTGCTATGCGCACAAAAAGTTGAAGTTTCAAAACTTGAACTAAGACGATGTTAAAGAAAAATCAACGTGAATCAACACGTGGCGTAAAACTTAGAAGACCAAGAAAAAGTTCTAAGAGAAAACAAAGAAACGCACCACAGAAGGGTGTGGGCAGAAGAGAAGGGGCATAAGAGCCGGGGACAAGAGAGTCAGCAGAAGAGCAGAAGCATAAGAGGAATAAGAGCATAAGAGAGATAAGAGTGAACAAGAGAGAGTGAGCAACCCGACTTCACTGGTTTTATCTTCTTCACACTGGGAGTGGCTCCGGCGTGTGTGTGAGGAGACAGAGGAGGGGTCGTGTGGTCTTTGATTATTTGATCTAACTTATTCTTTTGGCTGGTAAAAGAGTCAGATCTGATACTCACTCACTATGATTAATATCATTGAATGCTTGGTTTCATGACAAATAATTTGATACTAAACACATATGAATGAAGTGTAGGATCACATCAAACATTCTCATTATGTTTAAAGTATCACATTGAACATGCTAAATTACTCTGAAATGAAACAGATAGTAACACATGGAAACTGTGAACAACAAAAGCGTAAACACATGTGAATGAACTTCATCATGATTAATAATGGATTCTAAATACTCACATTAAGGTTATTCAATGACATTATAACCACCTAATGGTTAAAAATACTAAATAAACATCTACAATATAAACCAAACATTTCTAAACTGTTTCTGTTACCTAGAGTAAACTTAGGATTCATAGTCAATAAATTTAACTCTTAAAAGTTCATGAAACAGTCTGAAAAGCTGTTGGTCTAAAGAACTAAAGAATAAGGATTTATTCTGTCAGATAAGATAACTTGGCTTCTGAAGCACATAGAAAAACGGGAAACATCTCATTTTAACACAAATATCATGATTAGACAGATTAGTACATTGCTGAATGCATAAGATGTCATGATCAGTCATTTGTATTCTTTCACCAAAGGAATGCAGTCTTTATCAGTGTATGGTCGAGCAGGGTTTTACGACCGAGGTCTGGAGGTCAGTGTCCCCCCTTATCCTGGGGTCCGTATGTTCACACACTTTAAGACGCTAAATCTCAAATGGGAGATCTGGGTTGAGGTTAATGTTTATTTAGATGGTCAGCAAATGGAGTCAGTTTGAAAGGTAATAAAAACTCTGTCTCTGTTCGCCGAACTGACCAATCCTGAAGAGTCAGAGGTTTAGTCAACCTCCGGTTGGGTCACTTATTTAACCTGAAAGGGCAAACACGTCTGGAAAGATTTATATCCTGTTTCCTGGGACCAGATAAGGAAACTTTCCTGTAAGGAATGTGTGGGTTTCACATCCAGGGTTGTCTTGATTGCTACAGTCCCCCCTTCGTCACGGTGGTCCTGTCCATGGAGCATCGGGACGACGAGTAGACAACCATGAAGCAGCAGCAGGTGTATGCAAATAGGACTGATGCGTCTCAGCATCACTATGTGAATCACTAGTACTGCTTTGAGATAAAATTAAGCATGTATTAAGCTATCAAATAAAATCGTCTAGTTGTTAGACTTTCTCAGTTAACTATTGGTAGACTAATGTGAAAGAAAATCTCCTATTTTTTAGTATTAATGAGATTTAGAAAAGCACTCTTTAGTCTGAATGCTAACCGGATCTAAAGCTATAGCTGTTTTTCATGCTTGCTGGAGAAGTCTGAAAGTTCAATTTCAGTTTCAAAAATGGTTAAGACTTAGGTGGAAAAGAAATGTCTGCTATAGACATATTAACCATCTGTGTATGAGCATAGTCAACCTGAATCACAAACATCAAAAGTTTACTGCACAGAGTTTCTCTTAAACTTTGTCTGTTAAACTTGGGGATGATGCTCTTATCGGTTTGACTAATTATCTGCTGTTGAGTCTGAAATTTGTCAATCTGAGTCTTAATGACAGAAATTTCAGTTTTTAATCTGTTCATGGGATATTTGACAGCTGACAAGCTGACCATATTGACAGAGGAGAGACAAATGCTAACAAAGAAAGCAGCAACTGGGATTGCAGTCATCAATGTATCACCACAGCATTTGGATATCTTATTGGAGTCATTTAGCTTTGGCTGGGTGACTTCTGCTTTCGCAGGACTCACACCTTCATGACTCCGCAGTGTTAATCTCAGTGGTTAGCTGAGTTGTCATGTTTATTCACCTTCGAAGTGGATGAAACCGATTGAGGTGGATAATAAGATCGTCGTTTCTGAGAGTGTGATTTACTCTGATTCTGCCAGTCATTCACCCCCCTTTGGCGGTGTTGATGGTTTTTCCTTTGTCTGGGATAAAACCCACCGTGACGGGAGTCTGAATAACAACAGTTGGTCTCAAAGTTTACCTGGCATTGGTCTGGGTCAGACCTGGGCCTTGGTGTGTAACTTTGACCTTTGTGAGTTTGTTGAGGTCGAAAAGGTTTTGGAGGCCTGGTTAACCACTCATTTGGAGGCTTATCGGAGCCTGAAAAAACACAGTCTGAAGCTTCGTTCAGCTCCATGGGCAGTGATTTTGTCTCCATAGCCAAGAGAGTAACGGGCTCTGCTTTCTTAGCCAAAGTTTGTCGTTGTTTGGCAAAACCTTTTACAGCAAGTTCACGAAGCTGTCGGCTAGTCGAAGTGTTTGGACAAGCTAAGACGCCAAGGTGATGACTGGTGGTAGGGTGGAGGTTCTGGACGAACAGCGTTTTGAAGTTCAAGTCCTCCTCCATTTCTGGTTCATTTCGGAAACCAAAGTAAGCTTCGCGTAAGCGGTTGTAATAATGTTGGGGAGGTTCTGATCTCCCTTGTTTAATAGACAGAGCAGCAGAGAGGCCTGTCTGGGTCAAATAGTCAGAAAACTCTTCAATTAATGCTTGGCAGAGCAAGTCATAATTATTTCTGACATGATAAGGCTGTCGTTCAAGGAAACTGCTAACCTCTCGACTTGACGTCGCCTTAATAAGGTAGATTTTGTCATCAACGGTTGCACCTGGACATTTCCTCAGGTAAAAGTCAATGTCTTTCAAGTAGGTGCAGGTGTCAATAGCACCTTGGTGCTCAGGTTCAAAGCGTGCTAGGTTGCGAGCAATTTTGTCAAGATCCCTATCTGAGGGAGATGGTAAGAAGCCATCATGAGGAGGAGAGTAGGACTCTTGGTTTAAGGATGACCTCTCAGGGTCAAGCAGGGTCCTGTCATGATGCTGAGAGATATACTTAAGAGTTGGTTTGGAAGGAAGTGATGGCGCTCTCTCAGGAGGCTGATCACCTATCATTTCTTCAAGAAACGTTTGCTCCATGCGTTCTCTTTGGGCTCGACCTGACTGGAGGGAGCATTGTAACTCTCTTTGGTCATCTTCAAGTTCTTTGCCTATCTCTTCTTGCCGTTCTTGACAAAGAATTAACTGTCTTTGAGCTATATGGAGCTGGTGCCGTAAGGTAGAAGTTTGCTTCTCCTTAACTTCAAGAGCTTCAGCACGCACTTTGACCAGTGCTTTCAAAGCTTTTACATCTTCTGTTGCTTGCTCTAGCAGGGATTCTGACTGTATCAGATCCTCTGTGGTCTTAGCAAGCTGATTATTCGTGTCATCAAGTTCTTTCTCCTTTTTGTAAAGGGTTTCATTAAGTCTTTCAATCTTGTCTTTGAGATCAAGATTTTCTTCATGACTTATCAGTGAGGGAAGCTTTGACGCTTCACATCTGGCACTGTGTTTTTCTAAAACACTTAGAGACTTCTTAGTCTCTTCTAGCGTCTTTTTCAGAGCGCTGTTTTCTTCTTTTTGCGTCTTTATCTTTGCTAAAGCGCATTCCAGCAAGTAGTCTTTATACTCAAGCTGAGAAGACATCACGACAGACATGCGTCTAGTGAGCTCTTTGTCACGAAGTGTCGTGGTTAAGGCTGTTTCCAGTAGGTCAGCCATTTCATCCTCCGGATTGGAGGGTTTGGCCTTTTGAATCTTAGTCATGTACTGAGGTATCAGCTGACTAGTCAAGTTTGCCAACACTGGGTGTATGTCCCTCAGGGGGTCTCCCTGGCTGGACTCTTTCGTGTTAGGCATGTTTGGTTTTGGTAAAGAGGTGCAGGTGGTTGGTTGATGAGTTTGAGTTGACTTAAAATGAAAGGAAGAAGCAAAGTATCAAATTAAGTGGATTAATCGACTTAATTTATCCGTGCTTGATAAAGAGGAAGAGCCTATCTGAGTAGATCTCTAATGGAGAGAAAAATAACATAAAGTTAAATTCATTTCAATGAAAATTGAAATAAAACAAGGTGAAATAATGTTAAATTAAATTTAACATCAGATACAGAACCATTGAATAAAGGGTTCAAATTGTCTCCGTGTTGCAGAGATCAGCAAAGCTTAAATAAACTGCCTGATGCAGTTGGATGAATCTGAAACCAATGAAATTGTCAATTTAAGGAATTAACTCTGAAGTTAATTCACAAATCGCAATAAAGCCAAAGATTCAACTACCCAATTCATCTGAAATGGTAAAATAGATTTCAAATATTAATTAATTTGTTCATTAATTAATTAATCTTATGAGGAGGGTTAATACATTCATGTATTATAGGGAACAGTAAAACTGCTCAATGGTGTGATAAGTAACAACAGATCAGGTGATTGATTCAAGGAGTTACTTTATCAATACATTATGTAGGCTCTTATAACAAAGATAAAAATCAAAAATCAATGATCAATGATTTAGAATAAGCACATCAAACTTCATCAACCAAGTCAATCACTTGAGTTATGTCTGTAGAGTGTTACGCACTGACTACAGAGAGGCAGTACAGCTGGCTGATACTGCAGGCAGATAAGTGTTAGCTCAATACCAAAAGCAACCATGTGGGGCAGTATGGAGTTGGGAGAACTGCACAAGCTCAACACTAGTGGAGAATAAGAAGAAAAGAGGAAACAGTCATCCAACTAGCCTCTTGTGGCTGTGAGGAGTTGGGAAGTCTGCAGGAAGGGGCCTTTAGGCTCTGCCTCCTTGAAGGGCCTTATCTGCTTAAGGCCAAATGGTCAGTCTCTCCACTGACAACAAAGGGTTAACATTTCACAGCAGGCTGCATCTGCACCCTCAAACATAGAACTTTCCACCATCTGCTCAGGCAGATTGGTTCAATAAAATCATTTACAGGAACAAGAATCAAAGTGACAAATCACTCAACAGCAGATTCAACTGCAGACTTTAAAATCACAAATGCGGCGATTTGTGATCACAAATTTTGTCTGAATTCATTCAAACAACAACCTCCCACTGTTACAGTGGTTTCCTGTGACAGGTAGTTAATCTGGCAGGGGAAAGGAGGAACTCTAAATCCCATATAGTTACTAGAACTTTGTAGCAGACTATAGAGACAAGAATCAAAGTGACAAATCCCTCAACAGCAGATTCAACTGCAGACTTTAAAATCACAAATGCGGCGATTTGTGAACACAAATTTTGTCTGAATTCAATCAAACAACAACCTCCCACTGTTACAGTGGTTTCCTGTGACAGGTAGCTAATCTGTCAGGGGAAAGGAGGAAATCTGAATCCCATATAGTTACTAGAACCTCGTAGCAGACTACAGAGACTTCAGGGGCTTGAAACCACAGCTCGGAGCATCGCGAACACTGGGTTCAGCCAAAGGCCTTAAATACAAGCGTACGGCGACGCCACAATCGTGCACTTAAATATTGGACAGTCTAGACAGAGCAGAAGAGTCAGTCTCACTGCTACTCAGAACAACATTTCACGCTGTCCAGCTCAAACACAGACTACAGGCATGTAGTACAAAAGTGTGTGAAACACAGAGCATAAAGGTTTTATGCATAGATCAGGAAAACATCAGAACTTAGTCAAGCAACTTCAGCAAGCATAGCATTGATTGTGATTAAGTCTAAAAACAGCCTGGAAATAAGTTTCTCTCATCGATTTGGGAGGTTAAGTTTTAGATTGTCTGTTAGTATCCAGAAGTTTTGTTTGAAACGCCTCTCGCAGGGGCTCCAAAATATATGTAGTGATTTGAAATGAGCCTCATACGGTCGCACCAAAATATATGTAGCGATTTGAAATGAGCCTCACAAGGCCGCACCAAAATAATACTTGGCGATTGGAATTTATAATAAATGTCTGAAGATTAATAATCTCAAATTATGACATTTATGCACTCGTTGAAAGGGGCACCACCCACCCTTAATGGTGGGAAAATAAAGAAAACAAAAGTTTAATTCAGAAATCAAACATCAAGTCAGTTTTAATTAATCAGTCTTAATTAATCAGTCTCATATCTTAAGTCGAAATTCTAATTTCAGGGACTCCACTTCTGGAAGAACACTAACAGACAGGAACTTAGAAAAATAATGATCTGTTTATTACAGGATAAATGATGGTACAACACACATGCAATAAATGATGATAAGATAATGAAGATAGATAATAATAGGTGAATAAATAAAGATTCTGAGTCAGGCTAGGAGCACTAAAGTTAATGATAGTGAGTGAATATGCGCTAACATATTAACCTACACTAACTTTGGTGTCGAGATAAACTCGGGTGTAGATTTGGAGGAATCTAAGATCACCAGAAATAGGTGGATATCTGAGTTATGAACGCGTGAGACAGCATCAGCCCTGTCTGGAGCTCTGGAGGTTTGCATACTTAAGTGAGACTGGTCCTTGGAGAAGATGGAGCAGGTTCCGAAGGTCCGGGGCTACTGGCGGTTCGAGCGGTTCAGCTCAGAAGACGACTGAAGTCAGCCGAAGGATGAGCCAGGAGTTGCAGCACTCGGGCCCGAAGCAAAGCCAGCGCCTGTGGATCCTGTGGATGCTCGTTTGGGTACTTCTTTGGTCTCACTCAAAAACTCTGGCACAGAGGATGACCTGGGCCTGCTGGGTTGCGTTCAGAGGTGACTTTGAAATCACGCAGAAAACTCAGAAAAACGAGGCTCGAAGAGCAGAGAAAACTTTCAAAAATGGCTTCGCGAAATTAAAGAAAAATCAATCAAAGGCTTAATCTTGAATTGCTATGCGCACAAAAAGTTGAAGTTTCAAAACTTGAACTAAGACGATGTTAAAGAAAAATCAACGTGAATCAACACGTGGCGTAAAACTTAGAAGACCAAGAAAAAGTTCTAAGAGAAAACAAAGAAACGCACCACAGAAGGGTGTGGGCAGAAGAGAAGGGGCATAAGAGCCGGGGACAAGAGAGTCAGCAGAAGAGCAGAAGCATAAGAGGAATAAGAGCATAAGAGAGATAAGAGTGAACAAGAGAGAGTGAGCAACCCGACTTCACTGGTTTTATCTTCTTCACACTGGGAGTGGCTCCGGCGTGTGTGTGAGGAGACAGAGGAGGGGTCGTGTGGTCTTTGATTATTTGATCTAACTTATTCTTTTGGCTGGTAAAAGAGTCAGATCTGATACTCACTCACTATGATTAATATCATTGAATGCTTGGTTTCATGACAAATAATTTGATACTAAACACATATGAATGAAGTGTAGGATCACATCAAACATTCTCATTATGTTTAAAGTATCACATTGAACATGCTAAATTACTCTGAAATGAAACAGATAGTAACACATGGAAACTGTGAACAACAAAAGCGTAAACACATGTGAATGAACTTCATCATGATTAATAATGGATTCTAAATACTCACATTAAGGTTATTCAATGACATTATAACCACCTAATGGTTAAAAATACTAAATAAACAACTACAATATAAACCAAACATTTCTAAACTGTTTCTGTTACTTAGAGTAAACTTAGGATTCATAGTCAATAAATTTAACTCTTAAAAGTTCATGAAACAGTCTGAAAAGCTGTTGGTCTAAAGAACTAAAGAATAAGGATTTATTCTGTCAGATAAGATAACTTGGCTTCTGAAGCACATAGAAAAACGGGAAACATCTCATTTTAACACAAATATCATGATTAGACAGATTAGTACATTGCTGAATGCATAAGATGTCATGATCAGTCATTTGTATTCTTTCACCAAAGGAATGCAGTCTTTATCAGTGTATGGTCGAGCAGGGTTTTACGACCGAGGTCTGGAGGTCAGTGTCCCCCCTTTTCCTGGGGTCCGTATGTTCACACACTTTAAGACGCTAAATCTCAAATGGGAGATCTGGGTTGAGGTTAATGTTTATTTAGATGGTCAGCAAATGGAGTCAGTTTGAAAGGTAATAAAAACTCTGTCTCTGTTCGCCGAACTGACCAATCCTGAAGAGTCAGAGGTTTAGTCAACCTCCGGTTGGGTCACTTATTTAACCTGAAAGGGCAAACACGTCTGGAAAGATTTATATCCTGTTTCCTGGGACCAGATAAGGAAACTTTCCTGTAAGGAATGTGTGGGTTTCACATCCAGGGTTGTCTTGATTGCTACACTAGCATTGTTATTGCACTTTTGAACTTTATGCATTTTATACTTATCTATTTTTTTGCACGGTGTTGTTTGTGTTGTTGTGATGTTTGTGTTGTCAGTATTTAAGTTATTTGGGTATATCAGGTATTAGTTTCACTTTTTGGATTGAACTGTTAAAATGAATGAACTTTACCACCATATTCTAATTTATTGAGATGCACCTGTATATTATTTTTGTCCATGAGGAGCATCAATGAACCTATATCCCACTGTTACTCTAAAAACAGGAAAACTTTAAAACAGTTCATAAATCATTTGGTGTGAACAATGTGAGAGTTGTGCAATGAAGCTTTAATTCTTCCAGAAGTTTCTCTGTACACAACAGCATGTATTTACAATGAGTAGCCTACAGGGGGCACCTGTACAGACAGCACAGCATCAGGACACACAGACACATAATTTATACAATAAATACACAGGATTGAGCATCAGAAGGCACTCGGTCACTGCTGGATAACATCAGGATATAATCCAACTGCAGCGGGAGCTAACACATGTTAGCATGTCAATATAAACAAACATGAAAACTGCATCTAGATCACCAGTCAGATCAAAGTCTGAATGATTCTGTTTCTTTTACAAGATCCCCTCCTTAAAGAACAAGATACTTGTGAGTCCACAACATCAGAGCAGGATACTGAGCAGGATTAACTCAGGATACACAAAGAGAGCACAGGCATGGATCCTCCGCAAGACAGTCACACAGGATCCTGATCCATAATTCTAACTGAATATCAGTCCTCTGTGAGCAACAGCAGCTCCTTAGAGCTGATATCTTGACAGTTTTGTCTTTGGTTTTTCATGAACATGATAACATAGAGCAAGATTACACTGCTACAGACAGTATGAAGACTCAACATTAACATCCTGATCCACGTGATGCACACAAGATATGTACCCTCCCAGAGCTGAACAGGTCAAGATCACTGATAATCTTGATCTGTGTGGAGTGCATAAAGACCATCACACAAGTATCCTGCTCTCTGAGTCAGACTGAGGTTAAAGTTACAATCTTAAAACATTCTCCCCTCTTCAAGTCATATCTTGTTCATCATCAATTAAGGATTAGATTATCAACATACAGTGAACTTTATAATCTCTGTCCAAAACAAATAAAATTCCAAGATACCAAGATATCTCCTGTACTGGATGAAAACTTTAAAGACTGACAATAAAACAAGATAATAGGGAGCTCACACTCCATTTGAGTCAAGATAAAACAGAGGTCAGATCTTTACTTATATCATTCGAGTAAGTTATCTTGAGCTGATGTGACATGAACCCCAGATCTACTTAGTATGATGACAGCCAGTGAGAGATAGAGAGAGAGTGAGAGAGAGAGAGAGAGAGAGAGAGAGAGAGAGAGAGAGAGAGAGAGAGAGAGAGAGAGGCAGATGGTTATGAGACTGCTTAGACTCTGACTGTAAAATCACAAAAACAGACATTCAAAACAGTCTACACAGCATTGACTGATAATCAAATTTCTCAGCATGTGATCTGATGAACAAAACACAACCCACATCAGAGACAGTCAGGACGCCGAGTAGACCGTAGACAAAAACTGTGGTCTGAACTTCATTTAAAGTTAAAATCTAATCAAAAATGAAGCAAAGACAACATGCCAAACATGATTCCTGCAAAATGTTTTTTTTTTATTTAAATCTGCTTATTTTTTTAACCCAGTGTTTCTAAAACAGGAAGGAACAACTCCAACTAATGAGGATAAAGTGAAAAACTGTCCTGTGAGCTGATAAATCAAAGTACGCTTCCACATCTGTGAATGTTCCATTAATTTTGAACAATATCTACAGGTTTAGGAGCAACATCTGCTGCCATCCAGACACTGACTTTTTCAGTGAAGACCTTCATATTTCAGCAGGACAATGACAAACCATATTCTGACAACTGGGATTGCAACAGCATGGCTCTGTAGGAGAAGAATCCTGCTGAGAAACTGGTCTGCCTGCAGTCCTGACTTGACCCCCACTGAAAACATTTGGAGCATTAGGACTCTAAAAACAGGTCAAAGGAGACCCTGAGCTGTTGAACAGCTAAAATCCTCTTTCAGGCAATAATGGGACAACATTTTATTGTCAGACTCCAGAACCTCAGAACCTCTGCTCAACAGAGGGTTGGTGAAAGAACAGCAGAGGACACACAGTGAGAAACATGAACCTGGAACTACTTTTTACAGACATGTTACTGAAACATCAGATTTAAAATGAGCAGATTTTCAGTCAAACGTTTTTCAGTCTCATCCTCTGACATGTTTTCTTTGCTTTATTTTGAATCTAAGCTTTAATGATTCATAAACCCCCAGATTCTGTTTTATGGGCAGTTTGAAATAGTCTCTTTAGGATCAGGGTGGTCAACCTGCCTCCGCTCAGCTCCAGTATGACGGCTAACGTTGGTCCGTCTGATGGATGACCTTCAGTCTGTGGGTTCATCTGGTTAGTGAGTCCAAGAGTGCCACAGGTATGTGCTACAGTATGAAGAAGAGTGCTTCTACTGCTTCCTCTCCAGCACCTGAAGGACCAGGAGACCCTTTGGTTGGCTGATCAGGTGAGATAGTTTGCCTCAAAGGTGGTCTAAATTTCACACACATGGGTCCTGGGCTCAAACTGGACCAGAGACCAGTAACCTGGTCACCTAATCTGTTACATCCTGGCAAGGCACTGATGGATCTGACTGGTTCTGTCTCAAGGTGCTCTGGTAGGCAGGTAGAAGGCTGGTCCAATCACGGGAGCCTTGAGCTGTGATGTAATGGTCAGAGGTCAGGTTGCAGCAAAAGGCAGGAAGGTAGCAGACAGCTGGAGAAAAAGAGAGGACGGAGTTTCAGCACAGAGCACCACATAAGTGTAAGAAAAGTGTAAGGTGTAAGGTGTAAGAAAATGATGAAAGTAGAGACAGGATGCCAGTGATGTCTCTTTGTTCTGATAGCATCAGCTGATCTATCACACTTTACACTTTACATCAGATCGCTGCTGTTGTGTTTAACTGTTGGTTTGAGGCTGTTGAGGTTGAGAACCCCTGTGCTAGGCTAACAGCTAACAACTAAAAGCCTGTTACCTGGCAGTGGTCAGGCCTCACTGGCGCTGCTGTTCCTGTTGAGCTCTCTGATACCCTGCAGGATCCTCTTTATGTGACCAACCTTTGTTACACCAAGATCCTACACACGCATGCACGCACACACACACACACACACACACACACACACACACACACACACACACACACACACATTAATGAAGGGAAAATTAGCTAGCAGTAAGCAGTGAGTGGCTAACAGTTAGTTGTTATTCAGAGTTAGTATCTGTACCTTTAGGTCCCGCCTCTCCAGGTGAATTAGCTCTGCCCCCCGGACGTCATGTCCAATAAAGATGTCCTTATACTCAGAGAGACACAGAAAGTCCAACCAAGCTCCTACCTCCTCCGTCCCCCACTGGTGGACTGAGACACCAACAGAAAGTGCTTCAGACAGACAGACAGGTGGACAGGTGACTCTCCAACACAGGTAAATATTCCCCACCCCCATCAGGCAGTGGGAGAGACAGAGCGAGGGAAGACGATAGAGAGGAAGAGAGTCAGAGTCAGGGGTCTCACCTGGGAGTGACAGGGTGGTGCAGGTCTCTCTGTTCTTGTTGTTTTTCTCTTTCTTAAATTTGGGGACAAGTCTGAACTTAGCACTGCGAGAGCGTTTCGAGAAATCAGTCAGAGATCCCTGAAGAAAGAGATGGGGGGGGGGGGGGGGGCATAGAGAAAGAGAGAGGAGAGAGATTTTGATTTTAAGGAGAAACTTGTTAGTTTAGTTTAAACTTGTTATAATTAGTTATGAATATTTGCAGCATATTCAACAGAGGACAAGAGAAAAAAAAAAACAATCAACACTAAATATCATTTACGTACTTTCAACCGCGCTCCCGTCAGGGGTGCATTCTACGGCAGGGGGGCATTCTATGGCACAACACCGGCGAAGTGCGTCAAAGACGAGCACTCGGGTATTTCTCCTCCATGAAACCTGAGATGTTTAATCATGTTGGTCGTTTACCCTCCTTTGCATGATATAACTGTATTGCTAATGTTGCATTGAGACAAGAGTTCATTCTTCCTGCTAAAGTTAGCCAAGAAGCATATGAGACGGAGCCATGCAGAGAGAGTGAAGAGAGACAGAGAGAGAGAGAGAGAGAGAGAGAGAGAGAGAGTGCATTGTAACTATAGACTGTATATACTATGGACAACTTGGTTCCGCCTACCGCCTGTATACGGATTTGAAGCCAAAAAGCTCTCGGTATTTCCGGGATTTTTCTTCATTTCCTGAAACCAGCGCTGCGCAGTAGCGATGCGCGCATTCGGACGTGCAGTCACAGAGAGTTGCTGTGATGACGCTCGGCTCAAACAGCGTATCCCCCAGGAGAGCTACGCAATCCCTGAACACCCATCGGCTGTATCAGGTGTCAATCAAAAAAAACATGAACCCCCTAATAACTTTTGAAAACGGAGCCGTACAGAAAAAAAGGACTTGAGCACAAACCAGTCTTACAGTAACTACATGTCAACATCGCAAGCAGGGGGGAGAAAATTTATGTTCTGTGTAATAAATTTCTAAAGTTTGTCCACAGCTTCATAAGCTTTGCTGGCGGAGGCGGGATTTATGACCTATACTGCAGCCCATCAACAGAGGGTGCTGTTCTCGGAGTGGCTTCACCCAGAGAGGAAAGCAGACTCTGTCCATTCTATATACAGTCTATGATTGTAACCCACAGCGGCTGCATTGCTGTGGTTTGCAATGTACTCTCTCTCTCTGTCTCACTTCTCTTTCTGTGTGGCTTTGTCTCATATGCTCCGTGCTCATTGGTGTTATGCGGCGTCTTCTTCGTTGGTGTTCGGCGGCTATTTCTTCCGGTCGGCAGACTCCGGCATCAAAACTTGGAATCGAAATTTTAAAATTTGAACGATTCCGGGAGAATCGAAATGTTACCCATCAATACTCGATTCTTGATACCCAACCCTACATCTGAATCAACTCCTGAAGGTCAGGCATAGCTTTGTAGAACCTGAAGTCCACTTGCACTCTGGATCTCACAATGGACAGAATCATCTCAGTCAGCTCGTTTTCTTGCCTGCTTTCTAGTCTCTTTTTTCTGCTTAAATTTTTTGCCTGTCCTGGTAAAAAGTTTAAAGGTTTCCATTTTACTGCATTTACTTGAACCTGCTCCAAAGATAAAAACTGCTTTCGAACATGTTTCATGAAAACCCATAAAAACATTCTTGAAAGTCTTTCAAAGATCTGTCAGTCTGACACACTCTTTGAAACAGAGCAGAACAGTTTCATCCAAGTCATAATCAAAACACTTCTTACAAACAGTTGGATTGATGCAAGAGATAAGCGTTCACTGCAGTGGCGATTGCTCTAAGACTGCAAGGGAATCTCAGCTTCCCTTAAATGTCACCCCCCCCAAAAAAAGAAAAAGTGGTGAAATACGTACTGCTGTGTGTACATTTCATTAACTAAATACGCGCTAGAAAGCCTTCATCTTTTGTTCAGAAACAGCTTCTTATCACAGAAGCCTTATCACCTAAAGTACAGATGGATGAAACACACAAACCTTTTGACACTTTGCATACTCAGAAATAGCCATAGATTTACTAATCGCAAGTAAAATTTCTCGCACTGAGGTCGCAAACCAGTAAATTCAGAAAACCACGTGGTACAAGAAACAAAAAAAATAGCTAAATAAATAAATACAAAGAAAAATCGAAGATCTACCAAGAAAAGAAAGAAAAGTGATAAAAGAAATGCTTGAAAGTGTTCCACAGTTAGACATTGTTCCAACCATGTCTGTAGTTTAAATGTCAGCCAGGGAGTAGGTGCAAGTGAAGCTGGGGTTCTATTACGATGAACCTTTTTATAAATTTGGCTGAGTGCTCTGACGATATATTTCCTATGGACAACAGCTTTAATGAAAGTAAAAAAGAAAAAAAAAACAATGGATAGGAATCAGAATGATAAGAAAGTATTAAAAAATAATAATAATAAACACAGAAGGAAATTAGATATTGTACGAGAGTATCTAATGAATAACACAGCCATCGATAGTTTTCTATGGAATCGAGACTACATGACTAAGGTGTAGATTTAGACGGCTCATCAGTTTCCTGGGAATCTTTGTAAGCTTAAAAAAGAAAAAAGAAAAAAAAGTTTTCTCTAGGACTCAAGAAACTGTTCAAGTAAAATATGAAGAAGCAAGCTTATTGTTACACCCTCTTGCAGCTCCCAGGTTCCTTGTCTCCACATGTAAACCTACCTAGTGCATCTGTGAAGTATGTAAGTGATGATGATGACAGTTCACTATTTTAACATGTTAAATTACAATGAACAGCCCTGCCCAATGCCAACAAAAGTAGTCCCCTTGTTATACTCAGATGCTGGGAGGGTCAAATCTCTCAACATACATCCTTTAAGCTAAATGTATTCATCAATGTATCCAGAATTATAATATAACTTTTGACTTAACAGAGAGTGTATGTCTGACACAGATCAAACCCTAGTGACAGAGTTTAGACTGTAAAAGGATACCTGGCATGCACATTCAAGAGCATATTTCCCATACTCAGAGTAGGTCATGACTGACAGGTGCCTTCACTATCATGTAATTGGACCCTTAGTAGGACAGCGTCCTGTAAGAGGGAGCAAGAGTCCTCAAAAAAGTAATGTGAACCAAGTACAACTTCACTTTATGCCTCAAATAACCTCTGATCTCTTGTTGCAGAATGACACTTAGAGGATGGGGTATGGTGCCAATCAAACAACCCAGGGTATTCAGGAGGAGGAACAACATCCTGAAAAAGTTGAATTGCCCATTTGAGTAGTTTTTCTGTTTAATCTATTAGTATCTCTGGTCACTTCCACAAGCCCTTGATTGGGATAACATCTCTATCATGCAGCAGATACTAATAGTCAGTGCTAAGACATCATCCAGTCTCATGCATCTGAACCAACACCAATGAGATTTTGAAGTGTGAGGACGAACATCAAATTTCTACAGAGGAAAATAGTCAATCAATAAAGCGGTGAAATCCATTGCTCCAATAGTGTCTGATATTAACTCAGTTTTAACCGCACAGCCCTCTAATTCTAGCATCTATACCAAATCAATTTATGCTCTGCATATTTCTCTATCACTGTACATGAAGAGATGCAAAATTTCTCTATGTTAAATTAACAATATGTCTGGAAAGAACTACCTATGGGATTTGTTGATTCCACCACAGGTTATTTAACTGTCAATATGCACTTGTCTCATCCAACTTTACCATGTCAACCCTGTATCCTCCAGTATTCGGATGACCTGCCTCTTTAACCAGAGACTGAAAAAGACTGCATACAGGATTCCTTGGCCCTACGGATACATTTGGCCGAGGCAGGTTACAGGACATTCATTGCCAAGCTTCAATTCTGTTGAGAATCTGTCAACTACCTTGGATAAATCTTGTGAGCTGGGTGCAGGTATCTATCTCCCGATTGTGTGACAGCCATCAAGGACATTGAAGGACCATGTAAAAAAAAAAAAAAAAAAAACCTGAACTGGTATCCCTTCTGAGTCTGGTGGACTATAGGTGGACTGCATGGCTGGTGATTATACCGTCCATGATCCTATGTTCCAAAAATCAACGCCCCAGGACGCACTGGACGTTATGAACTGGACTGATGGCATGAAACACGTCTTTCGTTGTATCAAGTATTTTTTCTGCACTGCTCCAACATTAAGGTTTCCGGAGTACATCCTTGGCTTTCACCTTCGTATGGCGGACGACAGGAGTCCCCACTGCTATTTTGACAAGGGTGCTTGATTTAGGATTGAGACCCGTTGCATTTTATTCCAAATCCCCAAAGATACTTGTTCAAGTGATAGTCTCATGTTTGTGAGCTATGATAGCTGTGGCAATTACGTTTAAATAGGCACAGACTGTAGTGTTAAGATATCTGAAAGAAAAATTGTATGTGTATGCTAGCACATGTGTATTTTATCATTATATAAGTATGTTAATCATCATTTACTGAAACTCACTTGGTGTGAATGCTTGCAGAGTCATATCTGTTTCTTTTTAATGAGCATGGGAAAGGAGAAGTATGGCCTTGGAGTTGAGACTGATAGTTTTCTGCTGAAGCCATGCAAAGTGATGAATGCTACAATTTCACTCACAGGTTGTTTTCCCAACAGTGTGACATTGAACTGATAAGCAGGAACCTGATGATGAACTAAGCTGTTTTTGTTCTCCCAGTACAGACCACAGCTGCAAGCTGTGCCCTATTTGGATACTGTTGTAATGTCATGCCACTTGTGAGATGATGTTAGTGGGCGGGGGTTTGTGTGTCTTGACTGCATAAAGGATGTGTAAAAATCTGTTTCTCAGTCAGAGGACGCTGCCTTTGTTGTAAGCTGCTGACTCCTTGCAAGTAAAAGATATCCAAGAAAAAGAAGTCCACTGACTCTGTTGTTCTACTCGGCTGGTTGCAAGTCAGATGCAGTTTAATTTTTCTGACAATATGCACTAATACAGCATACTACACACACAGTGAATGTTGTTTACCTCAACATAATCACACAGCACATATCAGTCTGGGGTGATGAACATACAAACGCATGTTAGCTGAAACACCAAAACTTCCCATTTCAACAGCCACTCATATTTATCTAGTGATACATTTGAAGTCATTACTGCATGGTAATAAAGAGATGGCTGAAGTTCCGTCTTCAGATTGCTTGAATGTAATCAATTCAACATTCAGAGTAAGAGTAAAGATGCAGATGATTTGTCCTCTACTGTGATGGTTCTGCACTTAGACCTGATGATGGCACTACAATGGCAGGTTATGTGCTTGTTGATAATCAAACTCAAGATGTTGTATCCTACACACTATCGTGAAATGTAACAAAACATTTACAATCTGACAAAGAAGGGACCAGAGGCAACGAAAATTAGCAGACAATATGCCAAAAAGAATGGCGCTTGGTGCACCATTTCCTCCTAGATTGGTTCCAAGTTCCCATACATACAACCTTCTGTTCCTCCGATTTCCATTGATGACTTAATTTCACTTCAAAGCCGGGGCCCTGACTCTAACATAAACATATAGCAGATAAAGAGCTGTAACAGGGTTGCTGATGAATCATAAAAATATGATGGACAACACATAATGCTCCCTTAACTAGCGTACGATTTACTCCCATTTTACCTCCAAAGTGTCACAGATGCGATTTGTACAGTTGTGACTAACGACATCTCTATCTATGAGTTGTTTTTCTCTCTAGGACTGGAAGGACAGCTCAACGTTTGGAAGATATGTGAAGAAAAGGGGGGTAGAGTAGAGTAGAGTAGCAAAGACATTAATAAAGACCATCCTCACACTCTCAAAGACAGCACAGGCTTTCAACATCTGGCCAAGAACAATCTCTTCTACAGAGCAAGAAACAAGGAGAAGTCTTAAGAAAACAGAATCCCAACACCTCCACTGGTACTGCTCCTGTGGCAAAGGAGCAGGTCCCCCCTCCACTCCCTTCACCAGTCTGACTCCTTATCAGGAGTACTATGGGTCTCCTGAAGGTAAACCACATTTAACCCTTTAGACTGAGTGTCATGATTACTGTCATGATTAGTGTTGGGCAGTATGACGATATATACCATGTGACGGTATAAAAGTGTCTACCGGTAGAAATTTTGCAATACTGTTTATACCAGAGAGAGAGAGCAGATGTCTGCAGCATTCCTCTGAGTCAGTGTGTAGTTGTCTGTGCTCGCTAACAGGAAAGCTGGAGCACATCCGTTTGGGAGCGTTTCTGTATTTTCACCAGCGTGTCATGCAAAGTTTGTTCGCTTTGTTTGATCGGTCAGGTTTGGGTGCACTCCCTATGATCACCAGCGTGTCCAGTAAACTGGTTGGCATAGTTCCCACGAAGAAGAAACAGCTTTACTGGTGGGTGGTCATGGCGGACACAGAGATTAGTGGCAGTATCGAGCAAGCAGAGGCAGCCCAACCCACTCAACATGAGTAGGAGGAGGAGGAGGAGGAACTCGTTCTGAAAAAGGGTGCGAGTCGCGAAATCGGGTGTCTGGAGATTCTTCCGATTTAGCAAATACAACAATTATCAAAAAACAAAACACCAAAATCTAAAGCTGCAGCAGCTCCTCTCATACAAGAGAGCTTGGCAGAGACTTTTGCCAAAGGTACGCCATATTAGTCTAGCGGGAATATGCTGATTTTTGAGGCGATAGTGCAAATGGTGATACAAGCATGAAATTTGCTACAGATATCCTTTATACCACTACTAATCATAATATAACCTCTGGCCACCTGGATGGCGCCATTTTTCATGATGCCCGCAAGCTTTTAGAAATGGCTGTCACCAGGTCAACGTTTTGAACTGTATCACTTTGCTGCAGCTATAAAACTTACACATACCCTCATTTTGATTTATTATAATGTTTTAGGTATTTATTCCAATTAAACATAAGATATTAGGTTCCAATATGGTGGCAAATTTCTAATATGGCTGCCGATAAATAGCAGAAATATACTGCAGTTCATGGTTAAGCCATAAGAGCATGCAGCACATAGTTGTATTTATTTCCATAGATAGAATCAATTTGACACATTTAAAGTGATTTGTTTGCATTTTAGTGACATAGGTACCATTACCCAGACCAGCACACCCAGGTAGGACCCACAATTGTTTCAAGGTGGGCTTCTTATATGGGAAGTTCGTGGGATACACTTGGTTCCCACTTGGGCTGTCCATGTGGGCACTGACTGGGCCCTAGGTGGGTAGTGTTTTTGTTTGTTTGTTTGTGTTTGTTTGTTTTTTTGTGCTTTTAAATTCCATCACCATCATCAAGTTGCTTTGGGTCAAAGAGAATTGGCATGCAGTTCATTTTGTGAAATTTGGGAATATTGTTAGCCAATGTCAGATAACCACTGCCTGTGGCATTAGTTAACCTTTCACTGCTGTTTTGTTGGCACAAACAGCATAATTCCCAATTGGTTGGACTAGATACAGGCGTACTATCTGCCTGTGACGAAGGCGTGGAGTGTATTTCTGCCTGTGTGTCCATTGCTGTTGTCTAGGCTGAGGGATTATCCTTATATACCACCTTTTAAAGACAACTTACTGTACTACTCTACACTTTAAAGTATGGGATACAACTGGGCTCAGATAATAACAAGATCATTATCCTACCCCCAGCCCGATCATTCATCTAATGCTATTTAATTCCTGTGTGATCTGTACACCTTCCAGAAGACTAAAGCCCCATCTTCCTTGGCTCGGCTCTCCTGCGCTGGCACATCCTGTCAATTCAGGTGCGGCTGTTTAACTTTAACTTGGGGCAAGCTAAACAGCATTCAGGAGACTAGACAATTTATTTAGACAAATTTACTAGCTAGCATTGAACCCCATGCTGAGTCTCACAGCTATAGTGTCAACCAGTGTGCCCTGGTAGTGTAATGACACTACACAATATATTATTGATTTGTCATGTTATATGGTGTGGCCATTTTTAAAACAAATATGGCCTTTCATAATCTCATGTCTATGACATATAAATAACCCTGATCTATTATGAATAAATATATGACAAACTTCCAAACAGCAGCTATAATGACCAACAAAATACTGCATTCTTCCCATTTCTATTTCTGGGTGGCCATCTTTTTAAATGGTTAAAATCTGCTTAACCAAATGTTGATTCTAAAATATGGTCATATAAAGGTCATATGTACTAAATTATATGGTTGTATCACCATTTTGATCATCCTTTCAAAAATCAGCAAATTAGAGTGTGACTAGACCGCCATATTGGATATTTGCTGCCATATTGGAACCTAATATGTTGTTTTTAATTGGTATAAATACCTAAAACATATATTATTTCAAAGGTAGGGTAAATGTAAGATTTATAGCTGCAGCAGAGTGATAGTCTAAAACGTTGACCTGGTGGCAGCTATTTCTAAAAGCTGGTGGCCATCTTGAAAAATGGCGCCGCCCAGGTGGCCAGAGGTTATATTATGATTAGTAGTGGTATAAAGGATCTCTGTACCAAATTTCATGCTTGTATCACCATTTGCACTACTATCTCATATTCCCGCTCCACTATATGATAAAAAATCGCCAGACTGGTCTGGTATTTTGTTTGCATTTGTATACAAATCAGAGTTCAAAAATAAAAGGAAAATGAACAAATGTGACAGTATGGTTATTTTGAAGCCATTAATTGAATTTACAGGTGGGAAAAAAACATACCATGATATGTTACTGTGATATGAAATTACTCATTCCTTGATAGATTTTGTTTATACTGTCCTACACCAATATAAATAGCAAAAATTATATTAATGTTATTATCTATAGTCATAATAATAATAACCAATTGTTTTTATTTTAAAAAAGGATATTATTTTTAGTATTAATGACAGTAATACTTATTATAATACGATACAGGGTTAATTACCCTCATCTGGTTGTTAATAAACTCAGCGGAGTATACCTCGTGATCTGAGGGTTCAATGAGGGGACACAGCCAGGAGACGTCAGAAAGTCGACGGAGCTGCTGAGACACTGAGCCCAGAGCCAAGTTAAGCTGTTCCTGCTGAGGCGGGTCCAAGTGCTACACAGGGACAGAAACACAGACAGACACAGACACACAGACAGGTGGTCGTCAGTTATAGGCCCCTGTTACAGTGAAGGCTCTCATTTCACAAACAGACTGTATCACACAGAGCCTGAACACATATTGACAGACTAGGTGCCTAATATCATCCCTTTGAGAAATATTATGATAAATCTGTGACTGACCACAGTCAGAGCTCTCTCCTTTAACATATTTCCACACCTCTGTGTTTAACCCCCAAGACAGACAGGCAAAGTCAACTTTTCATCTGGCAACACATTCATCTGTCTTAAACTGTCTCCCTCTCCTCTCAGTCAGCTACAGAGCTCTGAGGTCACCACTCTGATTGGTCAGTGGGTTGGGCTTATTCTCAGCTTGGTTATTTGTCCTGAGGGTCAGCTGGTCAGGAGACACGCTCACTCACCATGGACATCTTTCCAGCCAGCAGCAGCTCCGTCTCACTGAGCAGAGCCTTCACATTCAGGACCATCTGAAGTACTAGGCTGCAGCTTAGGGCCTGGGTACAGATGGACAGACAGACAGACAGACAGACAGACAAACAGACCGACAGGGACAGGGACACAGAGACAGCAGCAGGCTGTTTGATCAAGTGAATCAAATTAGTTATACCTGAACAGAAAAGAGGCAGGAGAACCAGCAACAGAAAACATGGCACTGCGACAAATGAACCGGCTTAACCACTAAAGACTGGGGACTAGACAGAAAAGACAGCAGAGACCAGAGGAGAACACCAGAGACCAGGAAAGGCCAAAAGAGACCAGGACATTAGAGACAAGGAGTGGAAAATGACCAGAAGAAAAACTTTGGACCAGAAGAGGACAGCAGAGAGCAGAAGAGGACAGCAAAGACCAGGCAAAAACAGCCAACAATAGAGACAATAGAACGATATAGACTCAGAGAGAACAAAGACACTAGAACAGGAGAGCAGGGATAAAGAGATATCGTGTTTGGTGTGGTACCTCAGAGTTGCTGGAGTTAGCATAGACAACATCCATGGCCTTGGAGCTGGCGTTGACTGCGTGAGCAAGTTCCTGTTCTAGACTGTGATGAGACTGAGCAACCTCACGGATACTAGAACACATGCGTGCGAGAACACACACACACACACACACGCACACACACACTCCATGAGCAGACTATCTAACTGTACCTCAGTCTGTCCCTCAGTAAACCCCTGACACAGGTGCTGTAGGGGGCACTATGGAGCCATTTTGAATTGGATATCCATTTTGACATTGGAACCCCTAAGAGGACACCCCTCCTGATCTGTGTTCCAAAATTTCATGGAGTTGTGCATATCTACAGCAAAATCACAGAATGCAATTTTTTTGAGACATTTCATAGTGCCACCTAGGTGCAGTTAAACGAAACATGATGCCGATTCTTTTGCTGCTCTGGTACCCAGTAAGATGTGTCCTGAACAAGTCTCAGCTGCAGCATATTAATAAAGAAGGAGTTACAGGCCATTAACCCTTGTGCACCCCTTGAAATTTACTGACACTTAGTAACCTCGTGGACAAAAATGGACGGTCTAATAAAAGTGCAGTGCATAAAAACATTATACATTCATATTTCTTTTTACTTTAAAGCATTATATATTGTCAACAACTCCAGAACTATCCATAGATATAAAGTTTATTATAATTTTTTAAATATTTTTTTAGGTTTAAGTGTCTTTTGTCGTGAGAACCCCTGATTTTTTTAATGGGAAAAACACAAGATGTGCAATATTTCCAAGAATGCGTTGCAAAGTGAGATTCAAACTTCTCCTTCTCCTCTTTGTTTCCCATTCTCAAATTGCATTATCCCTGTCCTGAATCCTCCTGGCTCATGCACACACATAGAGCCCTAGGGGTGCTTGAGCCCCTGCCCTTTTTGCCCTGTATTAAAAGGTGCCCTCTTTTTTAATTTTTTTTTATAACATTAATAAATAAAAAGAAAACGGTGGTACAAAAACTCCACGGTATTCTACCTTACCCATTTTCATGTAATACAGGTTTTTGTGTGAGATGAGCCTGCCACTTCTCTGTCTCTGGTGGCTCCACTCTGTCATAGAGCCACCAGAGAGAGAGCACAGTGCATCAATCCAGCACAGAGCAGATCATGTCAGACAGGAAATCCTGTACAAAATAGAGAATTAAACACCAGGTTTATTTTCAAAACAAAATGCATCGTGTTTATGGCGGATCACACATTTCCTCACTACAGGTCTGAAGTACAGGTTCCAGGTTTAGATACAAAGTTTATTGTGACTTTGCTACTGTTGTGTGGGCTAACAAATTAATAATAATAATTATAATTATAATAATTATAATAAGAACAATAATAATAATAATGATAATCTTTTTGTATGACATGGACTTATTGGGTCTGAAACAAAGTAGATAGATAGATAGATAGATAGATAGATAGATAGATAGATAGATAGATAGATAGATAGATAGTAATTTCAGCATGTAGGTAATCTGTGTTTGAAATGTTACTATCTTGATCATGTCATGTTGACAATAGTTTGTTGACACAAAAGAAATGGCAATTGTATATCACTTTCACCTACACAGGACAGTCGTTAGCTTTCTATTAGTACTTTGTTTTTTAATTTTACATTAATTTCCATATAGTATAACGGACTGGAAAAAAATTTTAGCCCCTGCCCCTGTATAATCATGTGCACGTCCCTGTCCTGGCTCCAAGGTGAATCTTCACTGCTCATGTTCTCCTCAGAAGCAGTCACCTCACTCCCCTCAGGTGACTGTACACATGCAGCAACTGCCTGCTTCAGGTTTAGATGGCGCTTCATGGTCGTCTTTTGGAGAAATGACCAGCCAAGTTGTGTTTGAAATTTAATTTTTTCTAGGGCAAAAGGAAGCCTCCGCACTCCTGTCGGATATCTCAATTGCATGTTTTTGACATACCAGCACCATATTTGACCATCCCCTCGTGACCCTAGCCTGGCTGGGCCATCCTGTTGCGTAAATCACTTGCCGTTCCTTCACACAACAGTCTGGACTTCGGCCCATTGGGAGCGTGTATTAGCGATCAGAAAATAACTGTTAACTGTGTTTCCACAGTTCCCCGGACAACAGGGAAAGGCAGCCCCTGATTGGACCATGTGTAGATGGTGACGTCTAACACATGCTGCGAGACTTTTTAAAGCGCCACTCATTCAGAACACCGTAAATTCTGCAGTTGACTTTGCAAAGTCGGCAGAAATCGTTTAGATCCGCAGAAGACGTCGGATAGAAACGATTTCTGCCGACTTTGTAAAGTCAACTGCAGAATTAATGGCATTCTGAATGAATGGGGCTTTGAAAGAATGGGGCTTTGAAAAGTCCCGCAGCATGTGTTAGACGTCACCATCTACACATGGACCAATCAGGGGCTGTCTTTCCCTGTTGTCCGGGGAACAGTGGAAGCACAGTCACTGATTGGCCCTTGGACTTTTCTCTAAAATGCAAGGGAGAGGAGCTTCATTTTTTTCATTGTTTTTCTGCCGAATCACATGTGACGTGGAATTTTCTCTTATCCATTTAAAGTTTGTTCAGTAAAAACTTGGTGTCAATTTGATGTTGACAACATAGAGTTTTTTTTAAATATCCCTTTGTAGCTGAAGCATTGTTCTCTGACCTCTAGGGGTCCTTATGTTAGCAATAATTTTGCTGTTAATGTGTGTAAGCCATGGGTAACCATTTTCAATAATCATGATCTCAATATCAACCTGATTAAAAATGATAAAGGTTGTGCTAGCTGTGTTTCATATGTACCTGTTGACAGTGTTACCTGTGAATGAGTGCTCCTGCTGCCTGTCCAAACTCACTGACAAGCGACGCCTCCTCCTCGGAGACAACCTCTGGCTGAGAGGAATGGAGAGGCAGTGGGGTCTGAGCTGTGGAGACCCGAGAAAACTCACACTTCTGTTTGTCCTCCCATGATTTTAGGGTGCTCTCAAAGGCCTAAACCACACACACACACACACACACACACACACACACACACACACACACACACACACACACACACACACACACACACACACACACACACACACACACACACACACACACACACAAAATGATGACATGGCTTGTGTAAAAATTATGAATCAGTCATTATGAGGTCAGCATAGAGCCCACCCCCTCCATGTTAACATATAAGACATAAGCAACTAAAATTCTAAAATCCAAATCTAGGTCAGAAAATGTTTCTCAATCATGTCTATATTTTTTTGAGGAATAAGATAAGATATTCCTTTAATAATTCCACAGGGGGAAATTCCAAACAAAAAGTTGAGTTATTTCTTATCAGGTTGATTTATGTCAGTTTTCATTTTAAGACAGGTTCAGGCTGAATCAGTTATCTAATGCTATAAAAATGGGGTTAAAAACCATGGGCCTGATCTACTAAGAACACGTGCAAACTTGACAGCGTGCGCACAGCTAAACTACTAACCTAACCGGATGTACCCGGTTAGTGGATTAGTCCGTCAAATGAGCAAAACAGCGCGCAATCAATTTAGTGTGTTTGCCCTCATGAATATGCAGAATGTTTGTAGATCATAAGAACGCACAAAATACTGTGAGGAGCAGACACAAATGGGGTTATTTGTGTGATTTATCAAACCCAGAAACCGATTGCGGTCGCCGTTTTGCGTTCATATTTAGCATGTTTGAGAGGCACGTGCAGACTGGCAAAGCATTACGCACAAATGGCTGCAGTCATTTTGGGGATACATTCCATTGACTTAAGTCAAGTGAAGTCAAGTGAACTTTATTTACAGAGCACTTTAAAAACAAAGTTTGAGTCAAAGTGCTTTACAGCAGGAAAATTTGGCACAGACTTTGATGAAAATCAAGAACATTTAAAAACACACTTGGTGTTAAGATAAGAACATAACAGAAAGTAATAGGCATAAGACAAAAAAAGTAGCAACAATGTTTGGACAGCACAAACACATTAACACAGACTTCCTCAGCCATTGGCAGATGGAGTCATGGCTGGACTCCAACAACAACAGACAGCTGCATGCCAGCAGCTACAACAGCCTATAACATACACTCACAGACAGACAGAGACTGGTTTGCATGCACGCACAGGATGGTAGGCTCCAGGACCAGCTCAGGAGCTACCTGGCCGGAGCAATGAGGGAGGGTTGCCGTGTTGCGGTAATCATAACCGGAGGCAGTCAAGGCTGACAGATGTTTAGCCTGGGTCGTGGCTATGGATATAAACTCCAAGATGAGTTTGTTTTTTCCCTGAGTTTGGCTTTTAAAGACTTGAGGCTTTTCTTCAGCTTTGAAACGGTAAGAACTCAGGACACACACTCAGATTTATCGTCCATCATCGTAGTTTCAGTCCGAAGTTTCAGTAAAGGAGAGAAAATGTTGTTTGAGCAGACGTTTTAAGTAAGAGATGATAAATGTTCTTCAAAAGGTTTTTAAATCCACTGAAGTTTGGCAGGTTGTCAGTGCACACCTGGCGTTTGTTGCCGCCAGGTTAATTTCGTGTGGCAGTTTTTGCTTATATCTTGATTCGTTCGGTATGATCCATGAAAAACACAGTTCAGTGCAAAACTTGTGCAGGGTGCAGCCTTTTCTCAGGATTGAACAAAATTGTAAAAGCCAGTACAAAATGTTAATTAAGGCAGATTTCTGACAGAGCCTCTTACCGGATCTGTAACATGCCATGCATTCTTAGAAGAGAGAGGCTGTGGTGACCTAACATGTAATTCATTCACGCAAATGATTTTACTCGTGCTTGGTGTGTGGAGACAGTAACACCCAATTTTCCTGCATCTGGATAATTCCAGCACACCAGCACACCATCACAGTTAGTGTGTCTCACATAGTTGTTTTTCTGGTGTGCTGCCCCGAGTGTTAAATTCTATGTCACATAGGATGGGCGAGTATATATTCACTTCCTACGCCATCGGGATGCAGTAAATAACAGAAAACATTGTAGGTCTTGGGGTCCTGTCGTGTTTTGGAGACTGAGTGCTGGGGAGGTCCTGGTCTGAAAGCTTGTGATTTATTTTGATTTTCGATGACGGTTTTGATAAACATGGAAAAGTCTCAAAAATGTATCTCTTTGTCTTATTGATTTTAAATAGTTTGAATCTCTTTATTTATTTCAAATATATTTCCTTGCATCTTTAAAACACTTTGAATTGTCTTCTGTATAAATGGTGCTATACAAATAAACTTCTCTTGCCTTTTATGCAGATGCTGGCTTCCTTAAAACAATTGGTGCCACTCCATGGCCTCAAAAAATTTTTTTCTATCTATGACGACTCTGCTCTCACAAAGTCTTTGTGGTGACAGCAGATAGCGCACACAAAATCCTCATTTAAAGAGGGCGGTCCGCACCACTTTTGCCTCTGTTATCAATTGTGCACGCAATGATAGTAGATCACCCACAACACGCCCACTAATAGCACATGCACATTTTTAATTTGCACGTGAAATTTAGTCCCCCTTATTTGGGATCTTAGTAGATCAGGCCCTATCAGTTTCCTTCCTGATTCCTGTTTGGGGGTAGGTGATTAGAATATGACTCACTCTGTCCCTGGTCAGGGTCTGGGTTCGGTTCTTATGGATGATCTTGATGTAACCTGGAGGTTGGACCCACGCTTCCCCGTCCACCTGCACTGGGACACCTTCATCCCCAAGGATGGTTATCTTAACTGTCCGACACTAAGAGATGGAAAGAAGGCCAAAGAGTTGAGACAGAGACAGAGAGGTGAGATAGGTGAGCCAAGCAGGTGGACAGACAGGTGTATTAACATTTGAATGGACAGGCATATGGACAGATGGACAGTAAGGTGTATGGACAGTTGTATGAACCAGGCATGAAAATGGGTTAGGGGTTGAGGAGGTGAGAAGTGATCCGAGGCAGCAGTACGGCAATGATGTTATTTCATGAGTACAATTTCCTATTCTTATTATGGTCCATAAATGTTGCAGATATAGACTTTGGGCTCTTTTGTTGTGCCCCCCAGCAGCTCGGCCGAGGTTGACGCACCCTGCACAGTGGTATTCTAGTCCGGCGGAGCCCAGTGCACAGCCAGTTTGGTATTTTGGTACGTGGCTGCGTGATAGGGGGAGATGTTGACAGAATCAGCTGGCACAGCAACATTTTCGTGCCCACTGGCGGTGCAGAAAGTGCACTTTAAGCTCACTGATTCAAACCTGGTCAGCTTTCGGTGCAGGCGGAGCAAAACTGGTCAAGTGGTATTTTGGTAGACTGGCGCAGCAGTGCCTACATGTCACCAATGCCTCACAGGCAGATTTCTAAATTGTCAGGTGCATTTCAATAAATAACCAACAACAACCACTATTCAGTGCAACTATCTGAGTCAGCACATGCATTTAGATCTATATCGATATATTCTGATGTATATCTTATCTGGTGAGTGCATTTGGCATGGATTTGGACACTCAACCTGACCGAATTAACACAGCTGAAACTGAATTAAATAAAATATCCAATTTAAAGTCACACATGATGTTATGTGCCAAAAAATCGATTCACATAGGAATCGTGATTCTCATTTGCTACGATTCAAAATTTATATAAAATGTCCCAAAATCGATTTTAAAAAATTAAAATTATCTGCTTGCTGTCTGCCTCGATTTTGTAACTAAGTGGGACTTCCTGGCATCACCACGCAGCCAGTTCTGAAACGTACGCTTGCACCAAAAGCACCAAAACAAAGGGAACTACAAAGATGGAGGAAAAGGTGATCCAACCAGCCCTGTCTTTGCTAAAAGCTTAAGTTTAGTGCCAATTAGTTTTTTACCGAACGCCCAGACACACTAAGCTGGACATGACACACACAGAGTGCAAGCATCGTAAAACTAAGATCAAGCACTTGGGCAACACAACAGAGGAAAGCAGCTTGCCTGCAGTCAGCAGCTGAGCGGGTGCCTCTGGGGAGTGCTTCGGTGCAGGGGTAATCTGTGTGCACAACCCACCTTTCTAACGTGGGGTTTAAATATATGCTATTTGATGTGAGTGTCTTTATTTGTGAAAAAGGGTATTTGTCTTACTAGTGGGAAAACCTTACACCTACCAAATCCCTCTGTGCTTATTTGAGAGAGTGTGCAGGACATCCTCCACAGCGCTTACCGCAACACTTGTTGAGGGGCTGCACCCTGTTGCCAACTTGTGGCATTGCTGTCTTCCGTCATCTCTTCAGCTTCTTCATGAAATTTGCAATTCGCCTCGCTGGTGCCAGATTTAAAGGTGAGGAGAGGAGCTGATGTGATTGGTGAAAACAGGGCTCGGCTGTTCAACCCACTCCACGCCTTCTCCCCTCCTTCTTTCCTACTTACGCCGCTGAGAGGAGTTGAGTAAAGAAGGGGGGATACTTATGTGGGGTTGCCACATCAAAATACCAAAGTGTGCTTGGACACTCCTCATTGACTTAATGCCGCGCCAGCGAGGCACGGAAATAGAGCCCTTTATGTTTATATGGATCCATTCATACAAAATAATTTGCACCTGAAACATCTGATAAGATAATTATTATAATTCTGAAGGCATGGCAGCTATTATTTTGCCCCCCCACAATCATTTACATGCAGTGGAAACCCTGTGTGTACGCATTATAAGAAGTACGATGGACAACTATGCTGATTATGTGCAACTGCACAGCTTTAATACAGGGTTCAGTGACAAACAAGATAATCTATTTAGATAGTACTCAACAGTCTAACCCCTGAATTTGTCAATGAATGAATTCAAGGCTGACGGCTCCCTTTAGGTGCACACATTCGTTTGCAGCTCTTTTTGGCTCCATGCCGTTTGTGTATATAAACAAAGTCCAAAAAAACTACTTCTGGTATAACACTATACCCTTCTACTACTCCCCCCGCCACACACACACGCACACACCTCAAAAAAAACAAAAGAAAAAAAATTCACACAGGTCACGTAGGTGATTTTCATGCCTGATGAACAGGTGTACCTGGGCAATACGGTGGTGCTGCAAGTTGATTACACGGGACACGGCCATCTGCATGCTGCCAAACACTGCCACCACCTCCAGAATCTTATCATCAAAGGATGGCGCAGTAAAGGTCTGAGAGACAGACAGGATAGAGAGAGAGAGAGGGAGAGAGAGAGAGACAGAAGGGAAAGAGAGGTGGTATCAGTGATGAGAGAACACAGCTCACAAGACAGACCGATAGATGCACAGGTAGACAGGTGGTGTCCTCACATCATCCTCTTTAGTCCCGCCCCAGAAGTTGGTCCCTCCGGCATAACTGGGAATGTTAAGTACGGCAATGCCCTGCAGACTGGGAAGAGGGATGGGCCGTCCGTCACACTGCATCATGACAACAGATCAGCTGTTAAAGGGTGAACACAAAGTACTGCACCGTGCAAAGGGCATGATGTCAGCTGTTGACATAGTTGGGTCACAAAGTGAGATTCTGTGACCATCCTCTGGCAAGGATGTTTTGACGATTGATTTGACCTCTATGGACCCTTTAGAAAAGATTTAGCCCCCAGGTCCCTCGCAAAAATCCCGGCATTTTTTGCTAGACAGCCAAATTCAAGATGGCGGCCGGCGCCATCTCTAAAAATTAACTTTTGATCTGGATGACCTAGAATCATGTATGAAGGCACTTTTCCATACAAGTCAAGCATGAGGATTCCAAATCTGACATAGTTTTAATCATACAACTTTGTTTTGACCGCGATATTCAAGATGGCTGCCATCTAGTACTGTAATTCTCAACCTTTTCAGGACTTGACCCCCCCCAAAACAATCATATTTGAAATGGGTAACCCCTAATTTGTTTGACTCTGTTCCACATATAGATATTGTGAAAATAGCCGCTCTACAAACCCGTAACACCTTGTATTGTGAGGCGTGTGAGCTTGTAGATTGGCTATATTCACAACTTTTGCCTTTTTCTTATATCATTTGACAATTTGGCCAATGGTTTAGCATTGTTTGTTGATTACTTTGGATGCAGTGATGATCTTTTTCTTTGAGGATCTTACAAGTCCTAACATTATAATTTCACTGTCATCTGGGGGTACGCCACCAACCAATGATCAAGTACAGAGAAAACTTAACTTAACAACAACATAAAGGCCAGTGAATATTGCACTCAAACTATCCAGTATGCTTGATTCATGTCAGCAGCAGTACTTAACTCAGGCAATTTGATTGGCTGTCCCTTCATGTCAGGGATCATCTTTGGGTCGACTTAATGGTATATGTGGCTTCATTACACAGACTACCACACTGGAGAATACATCACTGTCTGTCTGTCCTGGTTGGTATATTATTTTCTTCCATATTCAAGCAGCCATGTATTCTGCATGCACACTGTCTTTACAGATCAAATGTGTAGCTCCTCTAACTGTGGGCTCAAAAGAATGACTGAGGCAACATTTAGGAAAGCAGCAGCACTAAACAAGCAGCATGTGCTAACATGCCCTGACATGAAGGGACAAGAGGGTGGAGGGTGGCGGACCCCGCACAGTTGTATTTTCGTCTGGCGGAGCCCGGCGTACAGCCAGTTTGGTATTATCATGGACATTTTCGTGCTCGCCAATGGCGTGTAAAGTGCACTGAAAGCTCGCCGATTCAAACCTGGTCAGCTTTCAGCGCAGGCAGAGCACAGCTGGTCTAGTGGTATTATGGTAGACCAGCGGCGTATCGGCATACATCACCGATGCCTCACCGGCAGGTTTCCACAGTGTCAGGCACATTTCAGTGCAATAAATAATCATCAATAACTATTAATCTGAGTCAGCACATACATTTAGATCTATATCGATATATTCTGATCTATATCTGATCTGATGAGCGCGTTTGGCACGCATTTGGACACACAACCGGATCGAATCAACACAGCTGAAACCGCATTAAATTAAATTAAATATCTAGTAAATAAACACACATGATGAAGTTAACAAGATATTTAATTCGTCTCCCTCCTTTTCATTCTTCCTCTTCCTCTTATTTCTCGCGCAGCTCGACCTAGACATGTGTCTGTGTCCTCTCTCTGTCCTGCTGCAGCTGAACAGATGATTTGTTTCAGTGCTCAGATGAGTTATTTACTTCAAGCCGACATACGGATATTATAATATTCAGTTTTGTGAGGCAAATTTATTTTATATGCCAACATCTATGAAAGAAAGAGCCAGGCCACAGAGCGCGATGCGTCATCTACGCACAGATGGTTCCGATTTTAATGCCATTTTTGGAGTTTATATTGTGATCTGTGCGCTCAACCCACCTTTGTCACGTGAGGTTTGAATATATGCAACTTTATGTGAGTGTCTTTATTAGTGGAAAAGGGTGTTTGTCTTACCAGTGGGTCCAACATTACACACACCAAATCCGTCTGTGCTCACATGAGAGAGTGTGGAGGACGCCAAATGCAGCGCTTACAGTGGCACTTGTTGAGGAGCTGCCTTCTGTCACCATCGTGTGGCATTGCTGTCTTCAGACATCTCTTGATCTCTTTGACTACTTCACGAAAATAGTAATACGCCTCGCCAGTGGTGGATTTAAAGGCAAGGAGAGGAGCCTATGTGATTGGTGAAAACAGGTCTCAGCTGTGTTAAACCCACTCCATGCCCTCTCTCCTCCCTCGCTACGACTTTCGCCGCTGGGAGGAGCTGAGTTAAGGAGGGGGGATACTTACGCTGGGCTGCGTCGCTCACCAAAATTCCAAATTGTTCTTGGGAATGCCTTGTCGGCGCGGCGGACCTGACTTACGCTGCGCCTGCAGCACGTCTCCAGCGAGGCACGAAATAGAGCCCCATGTGTTACGGGCTTGTAGATCGGCTATTTTCACAATATCTAATGTGGAACAGAGTCAAACAAATTGGGGTTACCCAGTTCAAATATGATTGTTTTGGGGGGTCAAGTCCTGAAGGTTGAGAATCACAGTACTAGATGGCAGCAATCTTGAATATCGCGGTCAAAACAAAGTTGTATGATTAAAACGATGTCAGATTTGGAATCCTCATGCTTGACTTGTATGGAAAAGTGCCTTCATACATGACTCTAGGTCATCCAGATCAAAAGTTAATTTTAAGAGATGGCGCCTGCCGCCATCTTGAATTTAGCTGTCTAGCAAAAAATGCCGGGATTTTTGCGAGGGACCTGGGGGCTAAATCTTTTCTAAAGGGTCCATAGAGGTCAAATCAATCGTCAAAACATCCTTGCCAGAGGATGGTCACAGAATCTCACTTTGTGACCCAACTAACAACCAGTGATAGGTCACAAAAGTATTTTAAAAAGTCCTAGTCAAGTCTTAAATAGTTTCAATAAATTAATAAAAGATATAACATGTTACAGCAATGGACAAAATTTTGATTTCAAAGGTGAGGGGGCCATGTGGCTTAAGTACTGTTGAGTACTGTTGAGACATATAGCCTAGCAAACAGCATATCTCGCATACACAGTAACAGAGGAGGCAATACGGCCAGCGGGTATGGAAGCGATTGTGACTCATATCTCAAATTCAAAAGCATTAGCAGAAATGCTTTTTCATTACAAAGTCATGGCTGCACTGTTTGACTCAAAAATAAAAATCAAAAGCAATATTCCAAAATGCTATTTCATTTTCTTCTTCAAGACTGCTCATTTTGTGACTAAATTAAAAAGAAAAACCAAACTCAGAAATGCTTTCCGTTTACGTGCTGGCCCCGCAAAAAGTGTCTCATAATTCAATCTGAGTTTGCAATCTCAAGTGGCGCCGGAAAGTGACGCCAAGGACCCCACTCGTTCTGGTCCCTTCTGGCCGATAGGGGGCAGTGAATCCGTGTATAATTCGTTCAATTGATATTCAATGTAATTAACACAGCCTGTACACCTCGCTTGTTGGTTGTATTCAATGTTTGTGTGGATGGAAGTACAAACCCAATACAGGGACGTTTCAGAGGAAAAATGAATGCCACCCTCCTGTAAACTTACATTGGCGAATAGCGATGTTTAAGGACTGACTCAAGGAGTTGTGAGCAACTCGTAAAAAACTAGTCTGGTGGGCATGGAATAAGTGACAGCAGGGATAGCCAATCGCACACAAAAAGCAGCCCTGCGGCAAAGCCAATCAAGGACCTTGCGGGCGGTCCAAACTGAGGGAAACTAGTTTTTGGCCTGAGCGGCCGTTTGGTCCTAGTGCCTGACGCGTATCTGTTTGTGATAGTGTAAAGTAATATTGTTTTCAGACTGTTAAAACTGCAAGGGACCAAAACGGGCTTTTGAAAAAGTGGGGGGCCTTTTCCCTAGTGTCCCCCCCACAAATTACGTCTGTGGTTACAGTCAACAGAAAGCTGCAGAGATAAAAAATGAACTCTGTTTAATCCATCATGTTTAACATTAAATTACAATTAACACACTTTCACTACTGTGATCGCTATAACCATTAAAATATCTATCATCACTATAGTGACAACCACGTTACAATGTTATTATGCATATGCTTTCATCCAAAGCAACATACATACAAGAACAAGAACACAAGCAAAGACAAAAGGAAAAAAGATCAGTAAGCGCAACAAAGAGTTTGACTTGGATAGTCACCACAGTCGTCTCAAGCGCTAAGGTGCATAAAGACCCATTCTGATGACAATCGTGTTTTTCTTGTTGTCCGCATGTTCATTTGGCATTTTTCTGAAGCTAGAAGACATATAATGAGAAAAATAAGTGTAAAATTTTATTTCTGAATATTTCTGCATTCAAATCGCTGAGAACCTCTGGCAGACCCAAACGGCAGGTTCAAATGCAGTAGGATTTTTTACGTCACAAATCTAAGCTCCGCCTCCATTGGTTGTAAGCTGCTGGACCTCTGCAGAAGAAAAGCCCTCAAAAATGACACAGATTAGATTTGGCTCAAAACTTCATAATCACAATTTTTAGACCACTGATAACACTTAAGTATAAAAAATCAATCAGGGACTTTAAGGGTGCTCTTAATGGCCTAAAACAAGAATTAACACGAACATACACACACACATGCACACCCACACATACAGAATGATAATGCGTTTATGACTTGAGAAATACTAATAAATCTGTCTTTTTTAAGGTTAGCATAGAGCCCCATAGAGTCACTGTAGTGACTTTAATCACTTTCATCACTGTTATAACCATTCATCTACTGTCACATTCGTCACTATCATCACTATAGTGATAATAGTAATGATAGTCACTATCTATCATCACTTTTATCTCATTAGTTACTATGATCACTTTCATCACTGCAGTGACTATCATCACTATTTTTAAAATAATCAGTTTCATTAGACGACACAGCCATCCTGGCACTTCTCTCAAACAACCAATCCACCCTGGACTATCACAATACAATCACTCATTTCACCAAGTTTCATTTCTCCAAATCAATGTCAATAAAACAAAGGAATCACTGTTCAGCCTCCCCTCACCCAAAAACCCCACCATCATAAACACCCAAAAAAGTTGAGACAGTGGACAACCTCAAATATCTGGGAATAACTCTGGACAATACACTCACCTTTTATTTGCACACCACGGACATTCAAAAAAGAAGCCAACAAAGACTGTTAGCCATCCGTAAACTTAAATGACTTTAAGTTGCACCCCCACGTTCTCTTGCTAATCTATCAAACATCATTCAAGCCATCCTTCTGTACTGTCCCACATGTTACTTCAATATGCTTTCTGTCACTTACCGGGCCAAACTCACTTGCATCACAAACACAAGTAAAATCATTGGTCTCCCCACACCCAACCGCACAGAACTAAATCAAAAGGCCATCACTGGCATAGCAAACTCTATAGCGCAAGACAGTTCTCACCCCCTGAATAAGTATATCATCCCACTGCCCTCAGGGTGCAGGTACAAAGCTACCAAGTTCAGGAGGGCTTGGCTGGGGAAAAGCCTGATCCCTGCAGCCATAGCCACCCTGAACAGCAGGCCCCACTGATCTGTCTGTCCACTATTCTGTTGTCACACTAGTCTTGTCATCATTGTTGGTGTGTATGTAGTGTATGAAGTATCTGTTGTTGTCTGCGATCTGCAATGTACTGTTAGTGAAGAAAATTTTCCTGTGGTTCAAATAAATCAAATCAATTATTCACTGTCATCATGATAGTGGTTATCATCACTATCAATGGTATCATGACTGTATTATGATGATAGCTACTATGATCACTTTCATCACTGTAGTAACTATCATCACTTTAGTGACTATCATCATTATTATGACTATAGTTACTATCGTCAATTTCATCCTTATATTACTATAGCAGCTATCATCATGATTATCACTATCATCACTTTGGTGACTATCATCACTTTTATCACTATCATCATTGTAGTGACTATCTTAACTATCATTACTGTATAGTTACTATCATCACTTATATCTGTCATTACTTGAGCGACTTTTGACATGTCTGTCACTTTCATCACTCTAGTGACTATAATCACTAATTTTATTATCACTTTAGTGACGATCATCACTAATATCACTATCATCACTTGAGTGACTATCATCACTATTATCACTATCATCATTACAGTGACTATCTTCACTTTCATTACTATAGTTACTATCATCACTTTCATAACTATCGTGACTATCATCACTATTGTCTCTTTAGTGACTATCACCACTTTTATCACTATAGTGACTTTCAACACTTTCAACACTATGTAACTATTATTTCTGTTGTTACTATAGTTTGTGGTGAGACGCCTCCTCCTCTCGTTTTATTTTGGTTGGACTTCCTGTTTTTCTTTGTTTTCCTGGTCTGGCTTGACTCTGTTCCAGAGCACCCTCCTCCTCCCCAGTCGCTGAGGCTGAATGAGACTCCACACCTGCCCTGCAGCTGCAATCAAGGCCCTTTAAGAAGCCAGCAGCCCTCAGTCTCAGCGCCTGAGTATTGTCTTCACTCCTGAGTGGTACAGACGCATCTCCTGGCCTTCTTCTCGCATAAGTGTTCGTGACTTTTTGCTCCCTGTGAATTTTTGCATGTCTTCTCACTTCTATCTCCTCTGTTTCTCCACAGTGCCTCCAGCCCACACAACAGCCAGCCAGCAAACCAGACTTTCCTTGTGTCTTTTTCCCCTGAGTTTGGACATTAAAATTACATCTTTAATTTGCTATCTGCCTCTGTGTCTGCTTCTGGGTCCACAAAATACACCACACGCCACAACAGTGAGTATTATCACCATTATCTGTATTTCTATTCATATGATGGATAATTTCAGATGAGGTGTCTGTATATCAGGTATTCCTATAGTGGAAACAGACATTCATGCAAAGGATTGTATTTATCTGGTCATGTGACACCTTTGCACATCGGCTTCTTTTAAAATGTCTCTGTCTGTCCTTTCGTCAGTCTGGGCTCTATTTTCGTGTTCGCCGGTGAGGCAACGGAGGGTGGCGTACCCCGCGCAGTTGTATTTTTGTCTGGCGGAGCCCGGCGTACAGCCAGTTTGGTATTTTCGTGGACTGAGGCGCACGGAGGTGAACCGAGATCCGCCAAGCTGGGCGTGGTGGCATGGCAGGGGGAAGTGTCGACAGAATCAGCGGGCGCAGTGACATTTTCGTGCTCGCCACCAGCGTGTAAAGTGCGCTGAAAGCTTGCCGATTCAAACCTGGTCAGCTTTCAGCACAGGCGGAACGCAGCTGGTCTAGTGGTATTTTGGTAGACCGGCGGCGTATCGGCATATGTCACCGCATCCTCACAGGCAGGTTTCCACAGTGTCAGGCACATTTCAGTGCAATAAATAATCATCAACAACTAATAATCTGAGTTAGCACATACATTTAGATCTATAAATATATTCTGATCTATATCTGATCTGATTAGCGCGTTTGGCACGCGTTTGGACACACAACCTGACCGAATCAACACAGCTGAAACCGCATTAAATTAAATTAAATATCTAGTAAATAAACACACATGATGAAGTTAACAAGATATGTAATTCGTCTCCCTCCTTTTCTTTCTTCTTCTTCCTCTTATTTCTCGCGCAGCTCGACCTGGACGAGTCTCCGTGTCCTCTCTCCGTCCTGCAGCAGCTGCAGCGGCTGAACAGATGATTTGTTTCAGTGATCAGATGAGTTATTTACTATAAGCCTACATACGAATATTATAATATTCAGTTTTGTGAGCCAGATTTATTTTATATGCCAACATCTATGAAAGAAAGAGCCAGGCCACGGAACGCGATGCAGCATTATGCACAGATGGTTCCGATTTTAATGCCATTATTGGAGTTTATGTTGTGATCTGTGCGCTCAACCCACCTTTGTCACGTGAGGTTTGAATATATGCAACTTTATGTGAGTGTCTTTATCTGTGAAAAAGGGTGTTTGTTTTACCAGTGGGTCCAACATTACACACACCAAATCCATCTGTGCACATATGAGAAAGTGTGGAGGATGCCCAATGCAGCACTTACAGTGACACTTGTTGAGGAGCTGCCTTATGTCGCCATCGTTTGGCATTACTGTCTTCAGACATCTCTTGATCTCTTTGACTACTTCACGAAAATAGTAATACGCCTCGCCGGTGGCGGATTTAAAGGCAAGGAGAGGAGCTTATGTGATTGGTGAAAACAGGTCTCAGCTGTGTTAAACCCACTCCACGCCCTATCTCCTCCCTCACTACGACTTACGCCGCTGGGAGGAGCTGAGTTAGGGAGGGGGGATACTTACGCCGGGCTGCGCCTCTCACCAAAATACCAAATTGTGCTTGGGAACGCCTTGTCGGCGCGGCGGACCTGACTTACGCCGCGCCTGCAGCACGTCTCCGGCGAGGCACGAAAATAGAGCCCTCTGTGTCCGTCTGTCTGTCTCTGTCTCTCTCACCTCTAGCAGTACCCTCTGCTCCAGGTTCTTGTAGGTTCTATGCAGCAGCTCTTTGGTTCCCAGGACTCCGTACCACATCATGTTCTTAGTGCGACTCCTGAAAGATAATCAGCTGATTGTTTGCAGTCCTACTGTTGTTTGTAAACAAAGAGCCATCATCTGACTCTGATCATATGTTCCTGTTCTGTCAGTCCTTTTCCTCATCACACTTCAAGTATACACATTGTAATGGTAAGCTCTGTTTGCGTGTGTGTGTACCTGCACTTCTCTGGATGTTCGTCTCTTTTGTTGTTGAAGTCCAGAGAGATTTTAGCATCCAGGCCAATCCCAAAATAATTGTTCATGACACATTTTTCAGTGTAGCAGTCCCTAAACACACACACACACACACACACACACACACACACACACACAATGACTGGTTAGTTGGTAAGATGTAGATACTATCATATTCTCCCTCCTGATAAGAGTATAGGTATTTGAAGCTTACATAGAGGGAGATAATATGTCTGTTGTACATCAAATGGGACACACACACACACACACACACACACACACACACACACACACACACACACACACACACACACAGGTACAGTTGTGAAACTCAAAGTGTACATACACTATATAAAAAGGCACATAACCTTTATTTTTCACCGTCTAAAATGTAATCAGATTAAACTTTTCCTGTTATTGGTCAATTATATGCTAAATGCCAGAATAATGAAAGAGAGAGAATTTTTTAGACAATTTTTTATCACTTTTTCAAGAGTCAAAAGTTTACATACACTAAGATCACTATGCCTTTAAACAATTTGGGAAAGTCCAGATTTGAGTTAATTAGAGGCACACCTGTGGATGTATTTTAGGGCATACCTGAAACACACTGCTTCTTTGTGTAACATCATGGAAAAAATCACAAGAAATCAGCCAAGATATCAGGAAGAGAACTGTGGACCTACACAAGTCTGGTTCATACTTGGATGCAATTTCTAGATGCCTGAAGGAGCCACTTTCATCCGTTCAAACAATTTTATGCGAGTATAAACACCATGGGAATGTCCAGACATCATACCAGTCAGGGAGGAGACTGGTTCTGTGTCCCAGAGATGAACGTGCTTTGGTCCGAAATGTGAATATAAACCCAAGAACAACAGCAAAAGACCTTGTGAAGATGCTGGCTGAAGCTGGTAAGAGTGTGTCATTATCAACAGTTAAACAAGTTATGGACTGACATGGGCTGACAGGCCACTCCTCCAGGAAGAAGCCATGACTCCAAAAGAAACATAAAAAGCCAGATTACAGTTTGCAAATGCACACAGGGACAAAGACCTTAATTTTTATGTGGAAATACTGAAGCAAGTATAGTGATCCTAAGCATACTGCCAAACTGGTTACATCAACTGGTTGCCTGATGGTGCCACTTTTATCCGTTCAAACAATTGTATGCAAGTGTAAACACCATTGGAGGGACTGGCATACTTCACAAAATAGATGGCATTGTGAGGAAAGAACATTATGTGGAAATACTGACACAACATCTCAAGACATCAGCCAGGAAGTTCAAGCTTGGGCGCAAATGGGTTTTCCAAATGGATAGTGATCCTAAGCATACTGCCAAACTGGTTACAAAGTGGCGTAAGCATAACAAAGTCAATGTTTTGAAGTGGCCATCACAAAGCCCTGATCTCAATCCTATTGAAGATTTATGGGCAGAACTGAAAATTCATGTGCAAGCAAGGTGGCCTACAAACTGTGGAAGCATATCCAAAGCATTTAGCCAAAGTCATACAATTAAAAGGCAGCTACCAAATACTAATGAAATGTATGTAAACTTTTGATTCTCGAGAAAATAATGAAAAGTTGTCTAAAAAATTATCTCTTATTATTTTGGAATTTAGCATATAAAAATAATTTTGGTAATCCTAATTGACCAAAAACAGGAAAAGTTTAATCTAATTTAATGTTAGACAGTGAGGAAAAAAAGGTTATATGCCTTTTTATATAATGTATGGAAACTTTTGGTTTCAACTGTATAAAGACACATACACAAACACATAAACATAGAGACAGACAGACAGACATACACACACACACACACACACACACACACACACACACACACACACACACACACAGTTTTACATGTTGTCAGGGTCACAGCTGAAGGGGTCGGCGTTGACCAGTAGTCGACTGATGACAGATGAGCTCGACAGAGAGCCTGAAATACCCCGGAGACCTACACACACACACACAGACAAACAAACACACACACATTGAGAGAGCAGGAAAATGTATAAGTGTGGGGCCAGAACCAGGGCAAGTTGATCTGCCCAACCCAGATCCACACAGACAGTGGTGAATAGGTCCACTGAGATTTACAGCCAAACTTATCTCTGAGCATCGTACCAGGATAGAGGATCTTTGTATTCAGCATGGGCATGATGTCCCTACTTCCTGTTTGGACAGGAAGTGATGCAGAGCTGCCCAGAGGCAGGCTACCTTTACTGATCAGCTTCTCACAGGGCATCTTACTGACTGCAGACAGAGACAAAGACAGAAAGGTAACAGCTGACCTGTTGTCATGGTGATCAGTCAGGATGGTACTGTGGTTAAACTTTACAGTAAAAGTAAAAGTACAATGCGTATAATAAATTATTTATTAAGCAACTGTGTACAATACTGCTTTACTGTACAATACTGTTATTCTCTGTCAAACTCATTTATACTGTACAATACTCACTTACACAGTTCAATACTCTGTTATACTGTTGTTACGCCCCACCCTAAGGCAGCCCTATGGGTCTAACAACTGATCACACATTGACCCACTAAAGTCACAGAAAATGCCTTTAAAATTCACTATGATTTGTTATAACCAACCCAAAGAATAAAATAATTCACCAAAGTTAACTACAGAGCAAGTTGACATCAACACAAAGGGCTCTATTGTCGTGCCTTGTCAGTGGTGTGGTGTAGGTGCAGCGTAAGTCAGGTCCGCCACGCCAATGAGGTTTGCCCGAGCACACTTTAGTATTTTAAGAATAAGAAGAACTTTCTTAATGCCCGAAGGGAAATTCAAATGAAATTTTGGAGAGTGGGGCAGTCCGGCATAAGTATCCCTCCTCCCTAACTCAGCTCCTCCCAGCGGCGTAAGTAGGAGAGAGGGAGGGGATAAGGCATGGACTGGGTTTTACGAGTCCTGTTTTCATCAATCACATCAGCTCCACTCCTCACCTTTAAATTCGCCAACGGCAGGGCGAATTGCAGATTTCGTGAAATAGTCGAAGAGATGACTGAAGACAGCAAAGCCACACGATGGCGACAGGAGGCAAACAAGAGTCACGATAAGCACTGTGGAGGGCGTCCTCCACACTCCCTCAAATAAGCACTGAGGGATTTGTTGTGTGTAAGGTTGGACCCACTGGTAAGATAGACACCCTTTTCCATAAATAATGACACTCCCATCAAGTTGCATATATTTAAACCCCACATGACAAAGGTGGGTTGTGCGCACAAATCACAACATAAACAAATTCCAATAATAGCATTAAAATCAGAACCATCCATGTGTAAAGGACTCATCGTGCTCTGTGGCCTGGCTCTTTCATTCATTGATGTTTGCATATAAAATGAACTCGCGTAACTGAATATTATAATATTATGTGGGCCTAACTCAAGATTGAATATTCACAGAATTTTATGGGAGTGAGAACATTAGATAAACAGGTAATTTTGAATGAAAATTTCTTTTATTTTATTGTTCAAATTTTCAAAGTAATAACTCATCTGATTACTAAAATAAATCACCTGGTCAGCTTTACCGCCACAGCAGCAGCAGGATGGGGAGAGGACACGGCTGGGCAAGGAAGAAGAGGAAGAGGGAGAGAGAAAAAGGGGGGAAGAAATTAAATATATTGTTGACTTCATCATGTGTGACTATTTGGTCACGTGTGCACTTCACCGCTGGTCTACCAAAATACCACTAGAGCAGCTGCGCTCCGCCCACGCTGAAAGCTGACCAGGTTTGAATTGGCAAGCTTTCAGCGCACTTTCCACGCTGTTAGCAGGCACAAAATGTCACTGCGTCAGCCACGCCCAGCTTGGCGGACCTCAGTGTGCCTCTGTCTTAGGGATGGGAATTGATAAGATTTTATCGATATCGATGCCATTATCCATTCTGTTTATCAGTTCAATTCTTTAATGATTCCCCTATCAATGCTTCTCTTTGATTAAAAAAAAAGTCAACAAATTTTCACTGTTAACTCAAAAATGTTGAGTCTCTGATAACAGAAAAAGATGTATGCCATCTTCAGTGAGAGTCTAAAAATAAACGAACGGAAATGCTATTTGCATACCTGCCAACATTTGGGTTGTAAAATCCGAGAGATTTTTGTGGCGTGCGCTGGGCAGTTTTGGGGTTACCTTGTATGATGGATATGAGCTAATTAAGAGAGTATTCGTAATTAGAATGCTCATCTATAAGTGATATATATCCATAAGTGCGCATAAGTGAAGCACAGTTTTTTGTTTTGTTTTAACAATAACAAATGGTAATAAAAAAATAATAGCTACGATATGCCTTGAACTTATTTAGTCCACTAACATTAGTGTTAAAGTCCTCATATGTTTTACATGCTCTCCCGTATGAGGCTCTCTGAACGTCTGTGCATGCAATACAGCACTCTTTTATCTGAGGTTGCCTTGAACGCATCACTCTGAGACAGTGCAAGATTATCAACATAAAAATTATATCTCACGTTTGTTTCCCTTTCATTGAAGTGTTAATTTTGCAACAAACACTGCTTAAATATGGTTTACAGCGTAAACCAACCTGAATCATCCCAAATTGCGAAGTAAAAGCATCAATCCAGTGTCTGTGAGATTCAGCAGAAACTTAGGACAATATTCGGTTGTCTGGAAACTTTGGACAAATATAGTAATCCGATTCATGAATGAACGTGGACCATGCTACGAGAGATTCCAGAGAGAAATGACAATACGGGAGGTGGGCGGGAGACAGGTCTGAGATGCGGAAAAGTCCCAGGGAAAACAGGAGTGTTGACAGGTATGGACATATGTTTGGTTGACCATATTTTGAACCTCCCAAAAGAGGACACGATTAAGGGGGGCAGAAATTTTGAGTGTTTTTTGTGTCGGGTCGAGTGTTTTTATGCACTTCTAACTCAGTTAAAGGCATATTCTTAATTTTCCAAAGACAGTACATGCTAGTCGCGTAAGTGACTTTGCTTTGAAGTGAGCGAATGGGGCAGAGTAGCAGACAGCACTGAAGCGCTGCACTGTTTTATAATGAATGAATACACATTCCGGACATTTTATTTATTTTTTACACGTTTTATAAACTCCCCCTGGACAGCCCCCCAAAAGAGGAAAAGAGAACGTAAGGTCAGTTGGTCACCCTGACATACATACCCAGAAGAAAGGAATCGTTATATAACGTGTAAATGTTGTTGATGGATTGAACCATTCTTGATTCCCATCCTTACTCAGTCTACAAAAACACCAAACTGTGCTGTGCACTGTGCTCTGCCGGACAATACTACTGCGTGTGGTGCACCGCCCTACACCGCGCCGCCGGTAAAGCCCAAAGAACAAAGAACACAAATACACTGTTAAAGAGCCATTGTTACATTTGGAACATTTCTTGGGAAACACGGATTATTGAAACCCAATCAAACTATAATTTTTTACGTTGAAACATCATACAAGCATTTTATTACTTCTGGGTCTCAATCTGGTCTTTAGACTTGAAACTGATCATTTTTACTAATCTCCTTGCCCATATTTGGCACACGTACTTTTCTCCCAAGCAATGGCATGCAGGATTGTATACTTTCTTCTCCTTTCCTGTCAATCACGATAAAGTAATTGTCCAATGATCAAATTTGTAAGACAAACTCAGACCAGCCTCATGTACTGCTCTTCAAGTTGTTGCTGTTGGTCACAGAAAATCAAGTTATATGATGATGGGAATGACTATTTTGTTCATGTTTACATAATTTAAGACCTACGTTATTCAACATGTTGACGTCAGACAAATGACCAATCAATACAAACTACAGATACGCACGTGGTTGATGACGATATCACATAGATTCATCATCTAAAGTCTTTTAGTCCATTTGCAAGCATGAAAATGGGTCAGGGGTTGAAAAGGTGGGGGGGGGGGGGGGGTGAAAAGTGATTGAAGATAATTATTAGTATAATAATCTCTTTAAATACAACGGAGTATGAGGGCCACATTAAGAAAAAAAAACCTCTTTAAATCTCAGAGAATAAAGTTATTATTTAGGAGAATAAATAATCAATAATGTATAAGAATAAAGTCGTAAAGTTACCTGTTGTGGAGGAGAGTTGCTAAAATCAGCTCTGAAGAGCATTTAGATGAATTATACTTTAGTATAGGTTTCACAAACATGAAGATACTTAATCCTTTGGTACATGAGCGTTACACTGTCAGAACTTTAAAAAGAATATATGAGAAATGCTGCTTTTGTGGAGGGGAAAATGGCTGGAAATGGCTGTACAGAGGCTAAATTCATCAATACAGCTGTTAATAGCAATAGCATAGGGCTTTAGTTTATCATATGAGTTTATCTGCCATGAGGTGCTGAGGTCTCTGCATGTGTAGGTTACTGACGTACTGTAATCATCGGGTCTTTCTCGTCCTTATAAAAACCTGCTCTATTTCGGCGAGTGTCTGTCTTCTTCTGTAGTCAAACCGCAAGATATCAAAATCTACCCGGATACAGCAATGCTGCTTTTTGATTGGCTGTTCAGTAGATATACTTTATTTGATTGGCTTGTGCGTGGCACGCAGCTTCTGAACTCTCGGAGGAACTCAGTTGATTTCTACCTGTTCCATTGTTACAGAGGTGCAACTTTGTGGACATCACCATGTTCATATAAATGCGTGAGAAATACCATGTGTGGCGTGTGAGCGTGTTAACGGGTGGGAATGCGTGTGTCACACGCTGAATGTGTGAGACTTGAGAGCCCTGCAGAGCAGTAAACGCGAGACGCCCGCTTTCGCTATTTTAGATGGCTCAAAACCATTACGTTTTAATGAATCAATGAATAACATCAGCGGCGAAAAGGAGTGTTACAAAGACCAGGGTTCACATGTTTTTATTTTGTCACAAAAGGCTTCAAGCATGGGCCAAAGCATAGGACAACAAGTTCTAGAACCTGAATGAAGTCATTGAAGGCACCCGCTTTTGAATCCGTCCAACGGTAAGGAAAACTTGGATTATTTCGCCTTGTTGTGTACTTTTAACCGCACTCTCGTCAGGGGGGCATTCTACGGCAGGGGTGCATTCTACGGCACAACACCGGCGTGGGTAAGTCCTGCTTCTCATTCTCGCAGCTTTGCAATGCTACCACAGGCTCTCCAAGCACTCCAAGTACACGTGAAGAGTGTGCGCATGATTGGAATAATGGAACGCAGTTTGGCCTATGATTGGTTCTCGTCAGCGAAGGAGCCAGGATGATTTGCTGACCGTCCAAGTGTCATTTAAAGGGCCGATTTCTGAAGTGCTCAGTTTACGTATTAAGTCAATCACATGATGATAATAATAATAAAAAAATCTCCCGAAATGCATTATGGAATGTTAAAAACAGCCCCTTTTCTCACATTTTTTACACAACTTCAAAAGCCTTGTACTTCTATATACTTCCACATAGAAACTTCAATCAAGAAACAAAATATTCACAAACTTTTCAGCAATATTCCACGTCTTCAACATTTTTCATCCCATTCAAACATTTCAAACTACTCTGATTTGTTTTAAACTCTGTTATAATGGGAGTCAATAAGAAAAGGCTACAGATGTTCTCAACTTCGTCTTCTAATTCCTTCATACTTTCACTTAGAAACTTTAATCAAACTGGATTCTCTGCAGTTTGCATACAAAGAACACATTGGAGTGGATGATGCTGTCCTCTACATGCTTTACCATGCCCTGTCTCATCTGAAGGAACCTGGGGTTTATGTGAGGATCATGTTCTTCAACTTTTCAAATGCATACTTAAAGACAAGCTCACAGAGATGGGAGTGGATCCTTCCTGTGTTGCCTGGATCACAGATTACCTGACAGGAAGGCCACAGTTTGTCAGGCTGTGGAACTGTGTTTCTGGGACATTAATGAGCAGTACAGGGACTCTATAAGGACAGTCCTGGCTCCAGTCCTGTTCACATTGTATACATAAGACTTCAAATACAGCACTGAGCCCTGCCACATCTAGAAATACTCAGATGACACTGCTATTGTGGCATGTATCAGAAATGGACAAGAAGCTGAATAAAGAGATCTGATAAGAGTCTTTAGTGACTGAAGTCACAGAAACTGCCTCCTACTCAACACCTCAAAGACAAAGGAGATGGTCATAGACTTCCACAGATCCAAACCCCCTTTTCAGCCAGCAAACACCCGTGGAGTGGACATCGAAGTGATGACATCATATAAATATCTAGGTCTACATCTGGATAATAAGTTACACTGGTCTAAGAATATAGACTTCATCTACAAAAAGGGGCAGAGCCGCCTCTTTTGCCTGAGAAGACCCCGATCAATAGACATCTGTAGTAAGATGCTGCAGATGTTTTATCATTCTGTGGTAGCAAGTGTTCTGTTATACACTGCAGTCTTCTGCTGGGGAGGAAGCATCAAACACAAAGACGCAAAACCTTAACAAACTGGTGAAAAAGGCTGGCTCTGTGGTTGGACTCAAGCTGGACTCAGTGTAGGATGAGGTGGAGAGATCTACACTGAGGAAGGTGGAGTCTATTCTAAAGAACATGGATCACCCACTTCATAACACCTTGATGGACCAAAGGGCCAATGGTGTTGGACGGCTCCTCTCTCTTTGCTGCAGGACAGAAAGATTCAGAAGATCTTTTGTACCAACAGCCATTAGACTTTCTAACTCTTTTGTAAACAGTAGATAACTTTTTTGCAGACATATTACGTGAGATAACAGACAATTGAATTTCCCTTCAGGGATTAATAAAGTTATTCTTATTTCTTATTCTTATTCTTCTTATTGACTGCAGTTATAAGCATGCCAGACCTGGAGTTGGTAGTATTTGCCAAAAAGTTAGGCCCATTCTATCCAATCAGAGCAAGCTTCCCTTTCTCGTTGTCTTTTCCCCCCAAATATGAAACATAGCGCCCAGCAGTTGGTTCGTGTGGACTGACAAAGAGGTGGAATAGCTTTTAGGCAACATTTGGAGTATAAAGTCAACCAGACACAAGAAAGGTGGAGGAAGGGCTATTTGATCTAGAATAGAGCACTCCTTCTCCTTTGCTCCTAACAAAAATATATACAGTCATGGACGAAAATATTGGCACCCCTGCATTTCTGTAAGATAATGCACCACTTCTCCCATAAAATTGTTGAAATTACAAATGCTTTGCGATTCACATGTTTATTTCTTTTGTTTGCATTGAAACAACAAAAAAGAAGCTGAGAAAAATTCAAATCTGATATTATTTTAAACAGAACTCCAAAAATGGACTGGACAAAATTATTGGCACCCCTTTAAAATTGTAAGAAATAGTTGTATTCTAAGCATGTGAGGCTCCTTTAATTTGTAATTAAACTCACCTGTAGCAAGTAACAGGTGCTGGCAATATAGAAATCACACTTGCAGCCAGTTAAAAGAGAAAAGTTGACTCAACCCTTGTGTTGTGTGTACCACACTGAGCATGGAGCAAAGAAAGAAGAGCAAAGAACTCTCAGAAGATTTAAGAACCAAGATTGTGGAAAAGCATGGACAATCTCAAGGCTACAAGTCCATCTCCAAAGATCTGAATGTTCCTGTGTCCACCGTGCGCAATGTCATCGAGAAATGTAAAGTGCATGGCACTGTAGCTAACCTCCCTGGACGTGGAAGGAAGAGAAAAATTGATGAAAGAATGCAACAAAGGATTGTTCAAATTGTGGATAAAGAACCTCGATCCACTTCCAAACAAATTCAAGCTGACCTGCAGACACAGGGTACAACAGTGTCAGCTCGCACTATCCGTCGCCTCATCAATGAAAAGGGACGCCATGGTAGGAGACCCAGGAGGACCCCGCTGCTGACACAGAGACATAAAAAAGCCAGACTGGAGTTTGCAAATACTTACCTGAGGAAGCCACAATCGTTCTGGGAGAATGTCCTGTGGACAGGCTTTTTGGTAAAGCACATCGTCACATGGTTTACAGAAAACGAAATAAGGCCTTCAAAGAAAAGAACACCATCCCGACAATCAAACACGGTGGTGGTTCACTGATGTTTTGGGGTTGCTTTGCTGCTTCTGGTACTGGATGCCTTGACTGTGTTGATGGCATCATGAAATCTGAAGACTACCAAAGAATTTTGGGGCATAATGTATGGTCCAGTGTCAGGAAGCTGGGTCTCCTTCAGAGGTTATGGGTATTCCAGCAGGACAACGACCCAAAGCATACTTCAGAAAGCACACAAAAATGGCTTAAGATAAAGCGCTGGAGAGTTCTGAAGTGACCATCAATGAGTCCAGATCTAAACCCTATAGAACACCTGTGGAGAGATCTAAAAACAGCAGTTGGGAGAAGGCAGCCTTCAAATCTGAGAGACCTGAAGCAGTTTGCAAAAGAAGAGTGGTCCAAAATTCCAGTAGAAAGGTGTAAGAAACTCATTGATGGTTACAGGAAGAGATTGACTTCAGTTATTTGTTCCAAAGGATGTGCTACCAAATATTAAGTTAAGGGTGCCAATAATTTTGTCCTGTCCACTTGGAGTTCTGTTTAAAATAATGTCAGATTTGACTTTTTCTCTGCTTTTTTTGTTGTTGTTTCAATGCAAACAAAAGAAATAAACGTGAATACCAAAGTATTTGTAATTTTAACAATTTTTCTGAGAAAAGTGGTGCATTATCTGACAGAAATGCAGGGGTGCCAATATTTTTGGCCATGACTGTATTCTGTATATATCTGTGCCGTCCACTGCCTGACATAAACAAGGGCGCATGGTATATGACGTTTATCTATTAGTTTTTGCGGACAATGTCCACACACAAATGCAAAGCCAGAGTTTTCCAAAAGCCCTGTTTTAATGACTTAATCCCGCGGTTTTGTGTGGATGACAAGCCAAACATAAAAATATATTTGTTTTGGCAAAAACCTGGCTATGTGTGGACAAGGCCACAGACTCTTAAATGTCTGCAGACACAGACACTGAAGGAGTTAATTGATGTAAGACTGTTTCTACCGTCTATGACCTTTCCTCTGACTTTTGACTAAGGCTGCACGATATTGGAAAAAACTAACATTGCGATTTTTTTCAACCCTGCGATATATATTGCAATATTAAAAATATAGGAATTTTCACCAGATGACCTGAATAGCATTTAATGTTATGCTGCACCGCTGAGGTCTTGAGGACAGTTAATCTGCACTGATCTTACCTCTTTTTGTGAATGTTAGAATGGCTTCTGTCTGTCTCAGAGATATTTTTAGCTTTTATTGTGCTGGGACGTCATTGTGGCGACAGATGAACACAGAACACGTGTTTTGGTCGACATCATCCTTCTTTTAACCGAAATAATTCCAGATAACTGACTTTCCTTTTCTTTTTGGCAACAAATCTTAATTTTCGGTGGTTTTCTCTTGTTCGTTGCTCATTTTGCAATCGTCGTTGTTGTTGTTAGCGGTGTTGTGCCGAGAAACGCATGTCCTCCGAGAATTGCATGCACCTCGCAAACGCGCACCACTTATAGTAGAGTGGTCCACGGAAATATACATTTTAAAACCCATACAGTTCTTATTTGTTGGGCTTAACAGTCATGAGTAAAGTTCCGAAAGTAATTCTCAGCGGACACGCGTTTCTCGGCTCAACACCAGCAGCCAGCGACTAACTCCATGTGCAGAACATGTGCATGGGTGGGTTTCCTCCTCTCTGATTTTGATTGACAGCTGGCAGAGTAGTCTGATTGGCAACTGAGAACTGAGTCTGATTGGCAACTGAGTAAAGGACGAAGGTGATTGGTGGATCGCTGCACAGCACATGCAGAGTCACATGCAGTGTATCTCAGTCAGTTACTCTTGAAATTAACTGAGTTCATTCACCTCCGACATCGCAAGCTCTGCGATGTGACTATCGCACACACGTACATCGCGATGACGATGCTCAAACGATATATCGTGCAGGCCTACTTTTGACCTATATTGCTGACTAAAGCTTAGCTTAGTGATGGGTGTCCCAGACCTCCAAAGTGGAGACATGCTGACTGTGATTAGCTGAACATGATTGAGCTGTGCTTCATCACATTTTATAAAGGCAAAACAAAAACAAACCTCTCAGCTGTGATCAGAGTCAGAAAGAGTGTTCCTTGGGACACAGATATCATCACAACATTCATTCCAGCTGACAATCAAAAACCTCCTGAAGTACTGACCACTACAGGTATGACTCACCTCTGTGTGTGTTGCGTTGTCTGGAGCTGTGGGAAGACTGTAGGGACATCTTATCTTCCTCCAGCTCCTCCTCCTCCTCCACCAGACCCTCCTCTTCCTCCGCCCGGGTTAGAGAGAAGAGCTGCTGTTGAGTCTGAGCATTCTGCTCATCCACAGCTGAACACACACACACACACACACACACACACACACACACACACATAGTCATCACTGTTTCATGTAAATCTAATTATAAAACTGGAACTTCTCATTTTTCCATAATGACTAACTTCTGAGTACAAGTACAACTCTCTCTCTGTATCTGTCCTCCAGCCTGCCTTACTCCTCTCGGTGCCTTTGTCACCCCTCTTGTTCGCTGCTTTCCCCTTTTTGGTACCTTTCTCACCCTCTTGCTGCCTAACCCTAACCCCCCCCCCAATATTCGGTCTCCCCAATCCCTCACCCTCACCTCTCTCCGTGTGTTCAATTATCTGTCTGATGGCTTTCTTCAGGCTGTTTGCTCTCAGCATCAGCTGTTCTCGAGGTTTAAAGATGGTTGCAGCCGCAGATGAGGAGGGGGAGGAATTCACACGAGGGGAGCAGGTGGCAGGTGGGGGTGAGTGTAGAGGGGGCAATGTGATTCCCTCTGTCTCCTCCTGCTCCTCAGCGATGGTTGGGGGAGGAGCGGGAGCAGGCAAGGTAGAGGCCTGAGACTCTTCGTTCAGTGTCTTTAACAGAGAGTCTAGCTTCTCTTTCAGGACACCACACTGAGACAGACACACAGAAAGACATAGAAACACACAGAGTCATAAAAATAGACATCATTTATTCTTACTGGTTGTCACAGTTGCAGGTCACTGATGTTCTATCAGGTGTGCTTTGACCCGTCAGGTACGTTTTGACCTGTCAGGTGAGCTCACCTTGTTGTACCTGACTCTCACATTGGTGTTAGTGATCCCAGCTGAAGTAAGTATGATCAGGAGGGAAGTAGATCCCATTTTATGGACACTAATGTCATATTTAGTTCTTTCATTGATACATTTCTTGTTAAATCACCTTTAAAACCTGAGGGACCTGGACCTTACCTGCTCTGCCGAGGTAGAGAAAAACTTAAAGACCAGCAGCAAAGAGCATCGGTCACATGAGTCGAAACTGAAGGCTGACTTTAACAGGTTTTCAGGTTAAATTCTGTTCACTTTAAACAGAATCAACTGATCAACTGGAACTAAAAGGAAAGCATAAAAAAAGAAACCCTCATATATGACACAAAAAGTTGTTGATGGCTCAAAATAGTAGGAATCTACTAGAAAATTCCCTCTGGAAAATTTTGAAAAGGCCACGGGGGGTTACTGCCGGGGTTTGTACATTATGATGAGATTCTTCAGAGATTTCAAATAATATACTTTTAATACTACTGTGATATTATATAAAAGGAGCCCACCAACAGCAAACATTCCTTTTTTATTTATTTATACAACCCAAAAAAAAAAAAGAGCATGAGCAGTAGAGGTTTGGAAAAAAATCCAATAACTTTTTTTGTTGGCCTGACCTATTGACTTCAATGTGAAATGATTCTGAATTTTTTTGCAACTTATGGTGCAAAAAAAATGTATATACAATATAGAAAAGTAAAAGCACTGATCCTGATCAAACCGCATATTTTTATATATAATTTTTCCTACAACTCTTTAAGCTGTTGGACTCGTAGTGAATTGAAATTTGTCCTGGAGAGGAATAAGAAAAAAAAAACACAGTATAACAATGGTGCCTCGGGGCTTAGCCCCATGGACCTATTCATCGTTTGAGTCCATAGTTTGATCACGAGTGTTAATCAGGTGTGTAGGTCAGTTACCTTCTTAGCCATGGCTTCTGACTCATCTGAATTCTCAGTGTTCTTTTCATACGCTCTCCCAACACGAGCCACAAAGTCCTTCACTGTCTCACACAGCACCCTGAACACACAAAACACCCACACAAAAAATGTAAAGTATGGTTGTTCATCAATAAAAATTCATATTTAACTAAAAATGGTGCAGAGATGAAATGTTTATGTCAGTAACATGTCTATAAAAAGTACTTCTAGGTTTATGTTGCTCATTGTGTGTCCTCGGCTTTTCTTCTACCAACCCTCTGTAGACCTTAGTGAACCCAGCAGACCAGGTTCTGAAATGTTGTCCCATTCTTGCCTGATTTCAGGGTCACCTTTGTCCTGTTTTTAGAGTCCTAATGCAGTGGGGGACAAGTCAGTTTCTCAGCAGGACTCTTCTCCTACAGAGCCATGCTGTTGTAATCCCTGTTGTCAGAATGTGGTTTGTCATTGTCTTGCTGAAATATGAAGGTATTTCCTGAAAAAGTCTTTGTCTGGATGTCAGCTGATGTTGCTCCTAAACCTGTGGATATTGTTCAGCATTAATGGGGCCTTCACAGATGTGAAAGATACCCATGACTTGGACTCTGATGATCCCCATATCATCATGGATGCTGGATTTGGACTGGAAGCTGAGAACAAGCCGGGTGGACCTTCTACTCTTTAGAGAGGAGGATGCAGCGTCCATGATTTCCGAAAAAGAAAGTCAGATTTTGATTTAGGAGACAAAAGACCAGTCCACCTTAAACTGGCTCAGGTCCAAATAAGTCTCTGGTGTGTCTGAATCCTGTTTTTATCTGTTTCTATGCAGTGATGAACTGTGTTCACACACAATGGTTTTTGAGAGTGATTTAGAGCCTTGCAGTGATTTCCACTACAGATTCCTGTCTGTTTGTAATACCAGAGGACTTGAAGATCCCTCTGACATTTATCTTTATTTTTTTTTCTTCAGTTGGACACTCAGGTGAAGTTGCTCATTGTGTGTCCTCGGCTTTTTCGTCCTCAGAGCTGTCAACTGATCACCACCTGGCAGTGAGTTGTCTCCAATGGTGGGGGTGCCATTAAGACCTGGCAGACCCAATACATTGTATGGGTCTACTGGGAGTGTCTGGCAGAGTCTTCTGTCAGAAGGAGCTTCAACTCCCACCTCCGCGAGAGCTTTAACCTTGTCTCAGGGGAGGCAGGGGACATTGAGTCTGAGTGGTCTATGTTCTGCGCCTCAACTGTTGAGGCAACTGATTGGCGTGGCGGCAATACCCAAACCCCTTGGTGGTTACCAGTGGTGAAGGATGCCGTCAAGCTGAAAAAGAATCCTATAGGGCCTTTTTGGCCTGTGGGTCTCTGGAGGCAGCTGATAGGTACTGGAAGGACAAGCGGAATGCGGCTTAAGTGGTTGCTGAGGCAAAACCCCCGGCATGGAAGGAGTTCTGTGGGGCCATGGAAAACAACTTCCGGATAGCTTCAAAGAGGTTCTGGACCACCATCCGGCGTCTCAGGAGGAGAAAGCAGTGCACTGTCAACACTGTGTATGGTGTGCTGCTGACCTCTACTCGGGACGTTGTTGATCAGAGGAGAGAATACTTCTAAGACCTCCTCAATCCCACCAACATGCCTTCCAGGGTGGAAGCAGGGCTGGGGGACTCAGATATGGGCTCTTCTATCACTGGGACTGGGGTTGCCGAGGTGGTTAACAAGCTCCTTGGTGGTAAGGTCCAAGAGGTGGATGACATCCACCCTGAGTACCGCAAGGCCCTGGATGTTGTGGGGCTGTCGTGGTTGATACGGCTCTGCAACATTGTGTGGCCATCGGGGCAATGCCCTGGATTGGCAGACTGGGGTGGTGGTCCCCTTTTTCAAGAAGGCGGATCGGAGGGTGTGTTCCAACTATAAGGGAATCACACTCCTCAGTCTCACTGGAAAGGTCTATTTAGGGGTCCCGGAGAGGAGGGTTCACCAGATAGTCGAATCTCAGATTCAGGAGGAGCAATGTGGTTTTTGCCCTGATTGTGGAACTGTGGACCAGCTCTACACTCTCAGCAAGGTCCTCCAGGGTACATGGGAGTTTGCCCAACCAGTTCACATGTTTTGTGGACTTGGAGAGGGCATTTGACAGTGTACCTCGGGGAATCCTGTGGGGGTTGCTCTGGGAGTATGGGGTACCGAACACCCTGACAAGGGCTGTTCTTTGTACAACCGGTGCCAGGGCTTGGTCCGCATAGCCGGTAGAAAGTCAGACTCGTTTCCAGTGAGGGTTGGACTCCGCCAGGGCTGCCCTTTGTCACTGATTCTGTTCATAAATTTTATGGACAGAATTTTTAGGCGCAGCCAGGGCATTGAGAGGTGGCCTCAGGACTGGGTCACTGCTTTTTGCAGATGACGTGGTAGTGATGGCTTCATCGAGCCATGACCTTTGGCTCTCACTGGATCGGTTGGCAGCCAAGGGGAAGCGGCCAGTATGAGAATCAGCACCTCCAAATCTGAATCCATGGTTCTCAGCTGGAAAAAGGTGGAGTGGCCCCTTCGGGTCAGAGATGAGATCCTGCCCCAAGTGGAGGAGTTCAAATATCTCTGGGTCTTGTTCACGAGTGAGGGAACAATGCAGTGGGAGATTGGCAAGTGGATCAGTGCCATGTCAGCAGTGATGTGGACGCTGCACAGATCTGTCATGGTGAGGAGGGAGCTGAGCTGAAAGGCAAAGCTTTGGAATTCCGATCTACCTTCCTACCCTCACCTATGGTCACGAGCTATGGGTAATGACCAAAAGAACAAGATCGCAAGTACAAGCGACCAAAATGAGTTTCCTCCAAAGGGTGACTGGGCTCTCCCTTAGAGATAGGGTGAGAAGCTTGGTCATTCAGGAGGGGCTTAGAGTAGAGCCGCTGCTCCTCTCCATTTAGAGGAGTCAGATGACATGGCTTGGGCATCTAATTAGGATGCCTCCAGGTCGCCTCGCTGGTGAGGCGTTTAGGGCACATCCCACCGGAAGGAGACAGCGGGGAAGACCCAGGACATGCTGGAGAGACTATGTCTCTCAGCTTGCCTGGAAACGCCTTGAGTTCCTCCGGGAAGAGCTGGACTAAGTGGCTGGGGAGAGGGAAGTCTGGGCTTCTCTGCTCAGGTTGCTGCCGCCGCGACTCGACTCCCCATATAAGTGGCTGATGATGGATGGATGGATGGATAAATATAAACTTTTAATTGTTTGCAAACCATCAAATCCATTTTTTCTACTTATTTCTATTGCATCTAAACTCAGTATCACACACATCTACATCTGTGCACACACCTCATTACACATTAACAGTAAACATTTGTTTACAGCACATGCACTGAGCAAGAGATAGTTAGAGAGACAGACAGACAGACAGACAGACAGACAGATTGACAAACACAAAGACAATCATATAAGATGTCGTACTTTGATGAAGAGATGACTACAGAGTGCTGGTCTGAGGTTAGGATCTTTGATAGATGAGCAGCCACTGAGTCCTCATAGGTCAGAATTTGCTGCACCTGAATCACAGCACACAGGACAGGTGAAGGTGTGTGTTTGGGGTCAGTACAGGTGTGTACACGTTTTTTAACATTTTTATGATAGTTTATTAGATGTGTGACTCCGCCCCCTCCTGTTACCTCTGAGTCATCGCTGCAGTCCTCAGTGACAGTGGAGGCAGAGTGTTGCCGTGGAAACTTGGTCTCATACACCATGATGCTCCACCTGCAGGGGCAGAAAACAGGTAAGGATTACTTCCTTTTAACATAATCACTGTTCTTCATTGAAACCTGGAGTTAGTTTCCACCTGAGGACACACCTGAGGAAACCTCACTGACTAAATATCGGGCCAATTGTTATGCAGGTGTCCTTTCCAACTAAATTATCTGCCCCCTCCCCTGCCACCTCCCCTGTCTCCCCCTTGCCTGTCACCCCCCTCACCTTTCTCCCCTTTCCCTTTCTACCTCCTAACCTGTCTAACATCTTAGTGCTGGCTCTCTCCAGTTTCTCCAGGATCTGGGGGAGTTGAGTGTCATCGTCGCAGGCTGAGCCCCAGCCCAGGACTCGGGCCAGGTCGTTCCCTGTCCCCAGAGGAAGAACCCCAAGCTGACACTGCAACACATAACCAAGAGACAGTGGAAATGTGACCCAGGTGATCTGAACAGGATCAGCTCTGATGTTTGTCTTTCTTTCAAAATGAGCAGACAACCAGAGGGACAAATCTTCAAACCAGACCAGACCACTTCAACCACACCTTACAGCACCAACAAACCATGTGTGTGTATGTGTACCTGCTTGTGCAGTGTCAGAGTGTCAATCTCAGACAGAACCCAACCAACGCTGCCGTCTCCACCACAAACCAGGATCCTGAATGTGTCAAACTTCTGGAACAAACGCAGACTGAGGGGAGACAGATGTATATTTTAGATACTGTCTCTGGTTTTTTTATGTGTCTCTGTCTCTGTGTCTTACCCCAGGTGAGGCCCTCCGTTCATCAGGTCAAACACTTGTGCAGGATTCAGCAGTTGTTTGAAGCGTCTCAAGAATTTGACGCCCTGGTTGTCTCCGCTCTTGGAGTTAACAAAGACGAGCAGCGGGCTTGTGCAGGATGGAGGGCAGGAGGCCTTCCAGAAACCTGAACACACAGGTAAGGCATGAGTCCTGATGTGCAGCAGAAAAAGTCAGGTGTACAGTTAGGCTGTATTGGCTGAGCGAGATCGTATTGGTTCGTTCCACTTCAGTGGGGCAACATAAACTGTGATTCATAAAATAGCTCTTTTGATAGTAAGTACTAAAAAAAAATATCTACTCATGCCATCCAGTCGATTTTTAGTAATCAATGTTTTCGTTGTCGAACTATTGCACACGCGCAATCGAATATGCCGAGGGGTGAAGCGATTTTTGTCATGTGCACCAATAGGAGCTGAGTCTGATTGCCATGGTGCGTATATTACGCATCATTATCACTTTCATCAGAGTCATCATCCCATACAGCTCTTTCTTCTGTTTCCTCTGAAGCATTCTCACATGCTTGGCACCGACATAAATCTGTACAAGATAGTCTTGCAGACATACAAGAACATTGTTCAGTCTCACATTTGGTTGTCTTGCAACTACAGCGGACTATCTGCAAAACATAATCAGGGGCAGGATTTGTGAAGAAAGTGAGAAGGGGCACACATTTTACCAGTCAGAGAAAGTTTCATCACCGCTGCTTGGTAGTTTGCTCTCATGCAGTGTTGGTACAGGGCGTCACTTGTTGGGGGAATGGACAGTTCTGGCAAAGCTGACGAGGCCATGCAGAAAGATTTGTATCTGGTATCATTTACATTTTTGGCAGATGACTGGCCATACAGGTGGCACACATAATTACTCAGTGTGTTAAAGGTGGATTGGTCAAGGTTTAAACTGTTGCCCAGATTTGCAAACCCAGTCAGGTATTCTTCTTTCTGACAAGCAACAGAAAATGTTTTCCTTTTGCCCTTGCCATGAAAGGCACTGGTCGAGTCACAACCTGTGAATGTATGGATGTACTTGTATGTCTGCAAGACCATGTTGCACTGATTTATGTCGGTGCCAAGCATGTGAGAATGCTTCAAAGGAAACAGAAGAAAGAGCTGTATAGGATGATGACTCTGATAAAAGTGATAGTGATGCGTAATAAACGCACCATGTCACCATGTACAATTTGTTTTCTTTAAAGGATTGCTACACCGAGATTTGAGATTTTTATTATTTTCATATTTGTTCTACATTTGTCTGCGTTTGTGTTTTGATCTTTATTTTCATATTCTGGAGGGATTGATAAATGTCAGATGTTTTGATACTGTGATACTTGAATAAATGTTTTATACCATATTTTGAATTAATTCAGACCTTTCGTGAATTTATTTTTGTCTTGTTACATTTTTTCCATTACTTCAATTTTGGGGGGTGTGGTAGCAATTTGATTGACTTTCAGCCATTTATGGCCATGATGTGCTGTTTATATTTTATTGCTTTTATTACACAGTAGGTTGTGTCATTTTTATGTATGAAACATAAGCTTTTAGACACAGCGGAGACACGTATCCAGTCAACAGAGGAGGTTGTGGCTGAGTTGGTGAAACTCCAGGAGCAAACAGGGGCTAAACTGATGAACCCTGAGGGGCGCTTGCGACGGGAAAATGTCAGACTGTACTGGGTGAAGGAGGGAGCCGAAGAAGGCGCAGCAACAATGATAGCATACGTGGAAGATTTGCTAATCAAAGGCCTGGGGCTCCCCACGGCTTCAGGGAGCAACTTCAAAGATTTCGACGGGACACTTGATAAGTATTGATAATGTAATAATTGATTACACACTGATATCCCCTTGTGACTTGAATCTGAGATAATGAAAATCATATTATAAAAGTAAACATAGCCCATCTGATGCAAAAGTATGTAAATTTTAAGGGCATAAGGAAAACTACACTTGAATTTGAGACAATTCACTGGACATAATGGACCTGTGTAACAGGTTAGAGGCTGAAGAGGGCCCTCTCACATCACTCAATGGAAGAGACTTTCCCTCTAAACTCACGTTCCACCTGAGTTATGAGGCTAAAGAAGAGGCCTCATCATTGGAAGTCAGCATGTATTTTTATTATGACGTTCTCTATTTTGTTGTAGTAAATGTTTACGTGGGTGTTATCGTTACCTATAGCATCAGGGGTGCAGGAATATTTTCTTTTTGTTTAGTTGCTCAGAAATTAAAGGATACCTAAATGACATATTATGCAAAAGTCAACTAAGGTCATTACTTTTAATGTAAATGGTTTAGGCAATCCAATTAAAAGAAGCAAAATTATGGCAAAATTAAAGAGAGAAGAAATAGAGGTAGCTCTTCTCCAAGAGACACATTTATCAGATTCAGAACAAGAAAAACTCACAAAATGGAGATTTACTCAATATTCATCTTCCGATAGACATGGTTCTAAGAGAGGGGTAGTCATCTTAATCTCTAAGAAATTAAATTTTGAATGCACATATGAAAAGAAAGACCCAGATGGGAGATTTGTGTTGGTCTGAGGTTACTTACAGGGTGCTTTAGTTACCTTTCTGAATGTCTACACTCCTCCATCATCCGAGTGGACTCTTTTTAAACAGATTTTTGAGTTATTAGTTTCAGATGCCTAGGGAACCCTAATCTGTGGTGGAGATTTCAATGTTAGACTACACCCTACCCTGGATGCATCAAAACCCTGTTATACAGGAGAGAAAAAGACGACTAAAAATATAAAAATAATGATGAGGGAAATGGGTCTCTCGGATTTTTAGAGAGAACTGAACCCAACTAAAAAAGACTTTTTTTCACATCCGCATTCGATTTATTCTAGGCTGGATTACTATCTAATGTTTCAAAGGGATATTCATAGGGTTAAAGAATGCAATATAGGGACTATGGATTTATCAGAACATGCACCAGTCTATTTAAAGGTAACATTGGACACTGATAAAAAGACCCCCATTTGGAGGCTAAATGCAGGGCTCCTAGGCTCAATACGGGAACAAATAAAAACGGATATAAAGCAATATTTCGATGAAAATGACAACGGAGATGTATCCCCACAAATTCTCTGGGACGTTTGCAAAGTGGTTCAACGGGGAAAAATTATAGGCTACTGCTCCAATTTGAAAAAACAGAGAAAAGCAAAAATTGAACAGTTACAGTCGGAACTGGGAAAATTAGAGAACTTACATAAAAAGACACTAAAGCCAACAATAAAAATGGAAATGAACAAGAAAAAAAACGAACTAAATGAAATTTATTCTAATGATATAAAGAAAAAATTAACCTTTCTAAAACAAAAATATTATGAAGTAGGGGGCAAATCTGCTAAATTATTACCCTACAAACTAAAAAAGCAACAGGCAGAATATACAGTACACAAAATAAGGGACCCCATTACTAACACTACACATTACAAAATAAATGATATCCAACAAACCTTTGAAAGATTTTGTGCTAATCTATATACCCAACCTACAACAGATGGTGAAGCAATGGAAGCCTTTTTGAAACGCATAAAATTTCCCAAAGTTACTGATGAACAAAATAAGCTGTTAACCAGTGAAATTACAGATGAAGAAATTAAAAAGGCAATATCACATTCAAAGATGAATAAAGCGCCAGGGCCAGACGGATTCCCGGCCGAGTGGTACAAGGAGATGAAGGACCTACTCTCCCCTAAAATGAAAACTACTTTTAACCATGTGCTTAAAACTGGCAGTACTCCTCCCTCTTGGAGGGAAGCAGTGATTTCTGTGATACCAAAAGAAGGAAAAGACAGGTCAGACTGTGGAAGCTATCGGCCAATAAGTGTTCTAAACCAAGATTATAAGATCTATACCCACATTATGGCAAAAAGACTTGAAAAAATTCTTCCTCAGATAATAAGTCTAGATCAAATAGGTTTTATTCAACAAAGACAGACACAAGACAGCATTCACCGAATGCTACATGTGGTCGAACAGATAAACAAAAATAAACTCCAAGCTGTAATGCTAAGTCTTGACGCCGAGAAGGCTTTTGACCGCGTTAATTGGGAATTCCTATTTAAAAATTATTAGACAAATTTGGATTTCATCAAATGTTTATTAAATCTATTAAGGCATTATACAATGAACCAAAAGCCAAAATAAAAATTAATGGAGCAATATCTAACCAATTTGGCCTGGAAAGAGGGACCAGGCAAGGCTGCCCATTGAGCCCATTGCTGTTCGCTCTGTTTATAGAACCACTAAGTCAGGGAATTACTCAAAACAAGAATATTACTGGAATAAAAATATTAGAACAGGAATATAAGATTTCTTTACTTGTGGATGATGTTTTAATTAGTTTTTCAAACCCCGAAAATTCAATGTTGGAACTGCTATCATTCTTAGATGACTTCAGCTCGGTCTCAGGCTATAAATTAAACATCCATAAGACTCTAGCCAGATCATTAAATCTAAAATTCAACTAAAATGGAATCTAGAACATATGAAGTATCTGGGAGTCATTATCCCAAAAGATTTATCGAGTTTATATAAACTAAATTCTGATAAGTTAAATAAGAAATTAAAGGAAGATATAAGGAGATGGAATCTTATCCCTGTATTAAGTTTTGAATCTCAAATTGAAACGGTAAAAATGAACATCTTGCCAAGGATACTATATCTATTCCAGACCCTCCCAATTGGAATTAATGATAAACAATTCAATGAATGGGATAAATTATTATCTCGCTACATTTGGCAGGGAAAAAAACCAAGGATAAGGTTCCAAACTCTTCAACTGTCAAAGAGCAAAGGTGGACTGGCTCTTCCTTGCCTAAAAGATTACTATATATCAGCCCAGCTGAGGATCCTGTTCTGTTGGTGTGCTTCAGATTACAAAGCAAGATGGAAAGAAATTTAAGAAAATTTATCAGGAACAATGCCAATTCAAGCAAGGCTAGGAGATAAAAGACTAATTAATTGCTTGATGGGGAAAGGAAACGAATGGATCAACTTAACATTGAAAACATGGCTTAAGGTTATCACTAAGAATGATATGGTAGAAGAGGTAAAGATCCGGAATTGGTGCTGCCATCATCTTGATTTTGCCCAAAATAAAATGGATACCACCTATAGGGGATGGGTTAGCCATGGTCTATTGTCATATTGTACCTGGTTTAACCAGGCAACACTTAAGAGCTTTCAGATGTTGAAAAGAATGCATGACCTCAAAAATAGTGACTTTTTCAGATTCCTTCAGGTACGCCACCACCTAAACAGCACTATGTTAAAAAGTCAAAAAGCATTTGAAAACAGTCTATTAAAAGTGTTCATTAGTGCATACAGGACAGATTCCATGCTCAAAGTAATCTCTAGACTTTATAGAGGACTACAGGAAATAAAAGTAATAAGTACCACTTACATAAAACAAAAGTGGGACAGGGAAACCAACAGCTGTATTTCAGAAGACACTTGGATAAAATACTGTGAACTTCAGTGGAGGATATCAAGTTCAAACACATGGAGGTCATTTGGCTGGAAATGTCTCATTAGGTATTTCATTACTCCTGCTCAATCTAGCCATCACACAGGATCCTCCAGCTGCTGGAGAATGTGTCGTTCTCAAGAAGCTAATCACTTTCATCTGTTTTGGACATGTCCAACAATAAATACTTTCTGGCGTAAGGTCTATTCAGAACTTAGAACTGTATTTGGATCTGACATTACATTTACCTGGGATGAACTTCTTTTTGGGTTTGTACATTCAGCTAATATGTGTGAAAAATAAGTGCCTGTTTGGAATGCTGAGTATGGCTGCTAGGAAAGCAATTACAAAGAAATGGCTGAAGCCAGACATCCCATCTATAGAGGAATGGTATGACATTTTATATGATGTTTATGTAATGGAAAGTATAACTTTTTCAATGAGGCTTCAACAATCAAAATTCAAGACAACTGGAAGCCATGAAAAATGTATATTTGCCTGCAACGCCCTTCTTTTGTTTAATTCTTTTTCTTTTTTCTCTCTCTCTCTTTTCTTCCCTGCTCTATATAAAAATGTACTGGATCACTCAATCTATTGTAATATACCAGAAACACCCTATGTTCATGTTGTGTTGCATTGTAAAAAAAACATAAAAAAAAAAAAAAAGAAACATAAGCTTTTAGCTAAATTTACTGTTTATATTTCATTGTGCTGGGTGCAAATCACTTGAGTTGAGACGTTTTCTTCAAGAAATTTGCAACATTTCATAATCTGAATTCACTTATGCGTATACTAAGGCACCAATAACTGTTTCAGATGTTAGGTAGATGTATTTATGACATTTGAGAAAGATTTTGTCTTGCCAGAATCAACATAGTAGTTTCTACAAGGAAAAACAGCAGCACCATATCATTGTTTTTTGGGTTACTCACATATATGTACATTTCTGGCTGGTGACAAAAGTCGGACAGATAGCCTGAGTAGATATTTTAACCCAAAGTCCAGAATGCTATTGTCTATGCAAAAATGCATTGAACAAGTAGCACCATCATAGTTGAACGAAATTCACTTTCTAGGCACTTTTTCCTTTGTCCCGATACAGCCTATGACCTCGAGCAAAGTTTCTTTCGCGGAGTTTCAGATGCCGTGGACGTGGATGCATCTAGTCCGGGAGCCATGGGGGTGAATGTGGTTTCGTCGGTTAAAGTTTTTTTCTCAACTGATTCTTGCTGCTGGGGGTCCCCTCTTAAGGAATTAAGAGGGTGACCACTGAAATCCCTTGAGCATTTTTTGTTTTGCATTTTTAATGCCCAAAACACTAAAAATTCACCCAAAATAGACTTCTATGGTATTTCATGCAAAATACCTGATCTAAATGCATAAAATTTGCTTTCTATAGTGTGTATCCATATAAGTGGATGTGTACAGTGCATTAGATTTAACATTGCCCAGAACAACATAATCAATAAACTGTGATATTGTACATGCACAGAAATCAAATCAAATGCATTAGATCTGCTTTCTACAAAGTCTAATAGTGGAACTGGTCGTGTTTCCTTTTGGATGAATGCATATCAACCCTTTGAGGCCTACCATATTTAAGTCATTAACCCTTAAATTTTCAAAACAAAAACAAAAAAATACACAAATTGGGTTTTGTGGCATTTTATCGAAAAATATTGATTTAGCGCATCAAATTTGATTTGTAGTGTTTATCAATGAATGTGGATGTGTATAATTTTGTTTTCTGATCTCACATTAGAACATTTGATATTAATATTAAAAAAATGCATAAATATTAAATCTAATGCACTGTACACATCCACTTATATGGATACACACTGTGGAAAGCAAATTTTATGCATTTAGATCAGGTATTTTGCATGAAAAACCATAGAAGTCTATTTTGGGTGAATTTTTAGTGTTTTGGGCATTAAGGGGTTAATAACAAAAAATGCTCAAGCGATTTCACTGGGCACCCTCTTAATTCCTTAAGAGGGGACCCCCAGCAGCAAGAATCAGTTGAGAAAAAAACTTTAACCGACGAAACCACGTTCAGACAAAAATCACCCCCATGGCTCCCGGACTAATCGGCGATGCTGGCTGAAGGGTTTGACTGACCCGCGGCTGCATCACGTTCTTGTTTCTCAAATGCCTTTTGCAAATAAATTGCTGGTAGCATGTCATGTGAAACCCAGCGTCATCAGGAACGTTGTCAAAGTCAATATCAACACAATGTTTATAAGTTTCTCGGGGGTCCTTTGTCTCACCCTGTAGAGAAAGCCACTTTCTAGTACTTACTATCAAAAGAGCTATTTTATGAATCACAGTTTATGTTGCCCCACTAAAGGGGAACGAGATTCACTTTCTAAGCACTTTTTCCTCTGCCCCGATAGCCTAAGTGGGGGGGTCTCACCATCAGAGTCGATGCTGTTCAAAGCGGTGGGAGGGATGACGGACACTTTGCACTGACCAAGAGGACACTTAGAGGACAGCTGCTCCTTACAGCCTGAATGCACCTAAACAACACATAAACTCACCTGAACATATGTGTGCGCAGCATGCTCAGGTACACCCAGGTGATCACATTACAAGTCTGCTGTGATGTAAAGAAGGCTTTTATATCTCACCATGGCCTTGCACCAGAGACACCTCCAGTCCTGCAGGCGGAGGACGCTGCCACATGTCTTATCACACACGTGACACTTAGCAGAGACTGGAAGGTTACCCTCCAGCCACTGATGCGGCATGAACACCTGAGCACAGGGGTCAGAGGTCAGCTGGCATGAAGCATTCACTGTCACTGTCAGAGTGTGAGAAAATTTTATATTTATGTCAGTCTCACCCCATCCTCATCCTCAATGATGTCCTTCCCGATGGACGCCAATGTTGTCCACTTACAGTTATTGGTGGCTCTGACTGCACAGCGTTTATGAGCCTTAAACTTACACACTGACACATACACGACCACACACACTCACAGAATGAACACTGGATTCAGCTTCTGAAGCAATTTGTTTTGTAGTAAGCATCTGATACAGACAGCTGGGGGAGCTGTTACCCCCCATCTAACATTATACCAGAGAAGGAAAAGGAGGTGCAGGGGGGACAGAAAGAGGATGTAAAGATAGCAGAAGAACGGAAAAAGAAACTGTGGGTGTTTCCTTATGTGTAGTGAGTGTATAATGTGCGTGTGTATTGTGTACCTTCACAGGACAGGCCATGTGAGGTGACCCCTGACAGCGCCTCTCTGCAAACGTTGCAGTATGTTGGTCTGGCATGAGAGCAGGCATACCAATTGTGCATCCCACTGAAGTGATCCATGCTGTACTGGGTGGACTGGAGGATCACACACACACACACACACACACACACACACACACACACACACACACACACACACACACACACACACACACACACACACACGCTGGTGACCCTTGAGATAACACACTCATACCGGTGCCAGAGTTTATTATGGGACTGACCTCATAGTTCTGTCTGTTCTGGACGCTCCTCAGAGCTGCCATCCACTCCTCCATCTCCTTCCTGTTATCAGCACACAGAATCAGCCGTCTGTAGGGGGTGATGACCTACACACACACACACACACACACACACACACACACACACACACACACACACACACACACACACAAACACACGAAAAAATCTTGAAAATTAGATTGTTTTTTGCATTACATTATTACAGTATAGTTACAATAATTAAGGTGCCAGCCAGGTCCTCTTCTGTTGCCATGGAAACAAACTCTTTGATCCCCATTGAGTTACAGGAAGGGAGGGACCTCTTTTCTGATTATATAAATAGTTTTTATCAGTGTGTGTATTTGTCTGTGTTCGTATGTGTTTTTGAATTCGTGTTGTCTGCATGTGTGTACGAGTGTATGTGTTTGTATTGGGGTGCGTAACTTTCTGGGAAAAAGACATGACTTCCACTTCCTGTTCAGTTGCTCTACAATGAAGCGACTGTTCCCACAGACAGAAATAGACACAGACCCCCCCACCACAAACACACACACACACACACACACACACACACACACACACACACACACGCGCACACTCTATATATTAAAGCTGCTGAGTGTGCAGCAGGTTCTTCATTTCATCTTCAAACAGAAGGATTATATTAAGTGCTGAAGCTGGTTCTTTCTGATCTGAAGGTTTTTAAAGTCTTTTTTTCTTTATTCATCCTTTACTCTCTCCTTTTCTAACTAAGCAAGCATCTCTCCTCCTCTGTGTGGCGCTGACACTTAAAACTAACAGGGCGGCACCTTTCTGTGAACTGGTGAGACTGGATACCTGGGGCCTCATTTATCAACCGTGTGTAGAAAAGGTTCTAAATTTTGGTGTAGGAAAAAATTTAGAATGTGCATAAGTACAAAAAAATCCGTACGGACACCGGTCGTACGCACACTAGTGAGTAATCGGTGAGAATAAATCCTGTTCTTTACTACCGTGCTCGTGCATGGTCCGGGTTATTTTCATTCAGAAACGCCTCCAATTGACCATATATGGAATCAACAATCCCTTTAAAAATGCGTGAATGGATTTTTTTCCCCCTTGCCGAAATCATGGAGGTACACACTCACAGAGCTGCTCTGCAGAATGAATGAGTCATGTGTTCCTCCAAGACAACAACGTTTAACAGATACAAATGTGCATCGCAGATTATTTGTGCATTGATTGAATGAAATCCTTTCCTGTTGGCATAACTGGATTTATTATGTGAAGGTGCTTTTATTGCGATGTGGATGCAATCTATGGCTTCAATTATGTTTGGGAATCCAGCGACATCCTCATTTTATTTCGGCTTGTTGGTGATGTGTGTATGGGAACTGGATGTAAATTCGGTCAGAGAAATTATTGCATCCAACTCTGCCGGCATGACTCTGCTTAGCGTTGGCTGCGAAATGCCATGTCTCCAATCTCACGCTACAATGTTCCAGTGGCCAAAAATCCCAGGGTTGGCTGGAGCTGGGTGTGCACTTGGATGGCTTTGGTGCGATTTGTCTCTCGCTCAGGTTGTAAATTACGGCATAAATCCATTGAAATGTTTTTGGGGAAGCAGTAGCTACCTGCTGAGAAGCCACTGTGTGTTCTCACTGAACAGATCAGCATGGTCTTTAAAAAGGTGCTCCCTGCGGAGCATACGGTTTTCCAAGTCCTTCAATAGCGCAAAGTAAGCCATGATACTTGTATTTGTAAGACTTCTTCTAAGGGTGTCCTGTCACAGCTGATTTTATAGCTTGTCACACCAATCATTCAAAATATCTGCTAAATATGTTAAATTTTGTATAGAGGGAACAGGAAACGTGTGAAGTTTAAGATTGCTGAACGCTGTGACTCCTTTAATGGGTTCTATTTGAAGTTTCACTGTTCTACCACTTGGTTTTGTGTGTAAGAATGGTCAGAGTTGTGCTTAAATTTACGCACGTTCTTAAGCACAAGTACAGGTTGATAAATTCCATACTTTGCGTGGGAATGTTTGTACGCACTCATTATGCACACATCTGTGTGTACGCACAGTTGATAAATGAGGCCCCAGGAGCTAATATTTGAACAACTTTATTAAAAGAAACAGAGCAGCTGATCTGAAACTACACACTGAGTTACACACTGTAACACACTAACAGACACACATACACACACACAGAGACACACACACACACACACACACACTCTGCCAGCTATGATCCTGGTTTTCTGCAGTTATGTTGTTGTTGCTATAAACCCCTTGAGTCCATCATAGAATTGTTATGGCAATTATTAGTACTATAGCATTTAGTGTTGTATCGTTCATGAACATTTTATTCAAAAGAACGGAACTGCTGAGTGAACGACGTGAATGGAATCATTCCAAGACCTGATTCATTCCTTCCTCAGTTCAGTTGAGCTCAACTGGAGTGAAAGTGAACTGCCGCCTTTGACTCATAGCTAGCTAACTAGCTAGCTAGTGCCTTTACATTAACTATAAACTTTCCTGCAAGAAGAATTTATTTTCAGCCAATTTAAAGCAAACGCTATTTGATACCTAGCAGAATACCTGCTTCAGCCTGGGTGTGTATTTATTTTTAATCTCTACACTTTTCTGCGATATAAAGACCAAACACACGCTTGTTTAGCTGGCATGCTGCTGTGTTGTTTCCGCCAACGGCGGCATACAAAGAGGTGAGTTTCTCAGGGCACGGGAGTGATTCTTCCTTCACGACTTGGCGAATGAACAACATTTGTCACCCACTGAGAGGTGATGTGACTTCAGCAGCAGGGACGGGGAGGGGCTCCTTCAATGAACAAACTCGCGATCACCACCGCATGTGTACACAACAAATCAACCCATTCAAATTACAAAACCCAATTCCATTGAAGTTGGGAAATTGTGATAAACGTAAATAAAAACAGAATACAATGATTTGCAAATCCTTTTCAACCTTTATTCAATTGAATACACTACAAAAACTAGATATTTAATGTTCAAACTCACAAACTTTATTTTTTTTTGCAAATGATAATTAACTCAGAATTACATGGCTGCAAAACGTGCCAAAGTAGTTTGCACATGTTGGCACCTTTTAACAACACTCAATAAACGTTTGGGAACTGAGGAGCTTTGAAGGTGGAGTTCTTTCCCATTCTTGCTTGATGTACAGCTTCAGTTGTTCAACAGTCCGGGGTCTCTGTTGTCGTATTTTACGCTTCATAATGCACCACACATTTTCAATGGGAGACAGGTCTGGACTGCAGGCAGTCCAGTCAAGTACCCACACTCTTACTATGAAGCCACGCTGTTGTATCCAGGCAGAATGTGGTTTGGCATTGTCCTGTTGATATAAGCAGGAAGGGCGTCCATGAAAAAGACGTTGCCTGGATGGCAGCATATGTTGCTCCAAAACCTGTGCCTTTCAGCATTAATGTTGCCTTCACAGATGTGTAAGTTACCCATGCCTTGGGCACTAATGCACCCCCATACCATCACAGATGCTGGCTTTTGAACTTTGCGTCAATAAGGGTCCGGATGGTTGTTATCCTCTTTGGCCCAGAGGACACGACGTCCACTATTTCCAAAAACAATTTGAAATGTGGACTCTTCAGACCACAGAACACTTTTCCACTTTGCATCAGTCCATCTTAGATGAGCTCGGGCCCAAAGAAGCCAGCGGATGTTGTTGATAAATGGCTTTCACTTTTTTGCTTTGCATAGTAGAGTTTTAACTTGCACTTATAGATGTAGCGACGAACTACTGACAGTGGTTTTCTGAAGTGTTCCTGAGCCCATGTGGTGATATCCTTACACATTGATGTCGGTTTTTGATACGGTGCTGCCTAAGGGATTGAAGGTCACGGGCATTCAATGTTGGTTTCCGGCCATGCCGCTTACGTGCAGTGATTTCTCCAGATTCTCTGAACCTTTTGATGATGTTGAAATCCCTAAATTCCTTGCAATTGTACTTTGAGAAACGTTGTTCTTAAACTGTTTGACTATTTGCTCACGCAGTTGTTCACAAAGTGGTGAACCTCGCCCCATCCTTGCTTGTGAATGACTGAGAATTTGGGGGGAAGCTGCTTTTATACCCAATCATGGCACTCACCTGTTCCCAATTAGCCTGCTCACCTGTGGGATGTTCCAAATATGTTTGATGAGCATTCCTCAAATTACTCAGTATTTTTTGCCACCTTTCCCAACTTCTTTGTCATGTGTGGCTGCCATCAAATTCTAAAATTAATAATTATTTGCAAAAAAAATAAAGTTTATGAGTTTGAACATAAAATATCTTGTCTCTGTAGTGTATTCAATTGAATATAGGTTGAAAAGGATTTGCAAATCATTGTATTCTGTTTTTATTTACGTTAATCACACTTTCCCACCTTCAATGGAATTGGGTTTTGTACATTCAATCATTTACACCACTTAAATCGCATTCTCTCATTCACACCACATTCGCTCATTTACACCACATTCTCTCATTCACACCACATTCACTCATTTACACCACATTCACCCATTCACACCACATTCACCCATTCACATACACAGATGGCAGAGGCTGTCTTATATTGGCTTCAAGCAGTTTTTGTCTGATCCTTTTCAAATTCCAATGGAGGCAGTTGGGGAGAGTGGGTTAGGAGACTTCCCAAACAACACTTATTCCTAACACCATGCTGAGGACTTTTCCTGCAGTGTTACTGACACACACCATCCTAATGTCTGATTTTGTCTGCGTCTGTGTGCGTGAGTGTGTGTTTGTGTCAGTGTGTGTCTGTGTTAGTCTTACTCACAGTGAAGCTGTTGTTGATGTTCTTGGTGCTGCACTCAGCCACACTGGCGTCTGTCAGGTCCACCTCATCGAAGATTATTGACTGTGAACACAAACACACAATCAGAGCATACCTCTGGCCATCACCAAACTGTGATGTTACATAGCACTGCCCTCACACAGCAGGTCTATTAACAGTTTGATCACCTTGGCGGTCTGAGCGTAGTAAAGGGTCCTCCCCCGGAGTTTGAAGTATCGTCTCTTCCAGCGCTGGAACGAACTTGTCTGTTTGAGCAGAGTGCCTTCCTTCAACACTGTCTGAGACACACACATGCGCATGCACATGCCCACACAAACACGCACAGTTAAAAGAACAACCAAATCTATTATATCATACAAACAGCTGGTCAGGTAAACCTCAAATCAGAGAGGACCTGGTAATGATCCCCAAGGGGCACCCTGCTATGTGTGTCTGTGAATTGACTCAGTTCTAGGCATAAATCTTGTGCTCTCCTGTGAGGCTTAAGGCAAGCAGCAACTTCCTGTCCTGAGGCCTGTAGCTGATGTGGAAGTTTAAAAAACTGCAGTTCTTTGAGTGTCCACTAGAGGAGATCTGCATATCTAAACATGTATACAGTCAGGTCATAAAAAGTGTTCAGGTCTAGTAGCTTACCTATTCAGAGTTTACTTTAACACATCTGTTCAGTGATTTGAAGGTTCTGAGTTCAGAGCCCAGCTGAGTGAACTGACGGATGAGCACATTGTGGCTGTGTGTGAGGAGGCTAGAAAGCACATCTGACAAAGAGACAGCATGGAGGAAACCTTTCAAAAAAAAGTGCTGAGCACAAACTGACGATCAGCTGACTGCAGCCTTCAGTCTCATGATGAAGAAGACAGCAGAAGCATTCACAGACACTGATAATCATCATCAGTATCATCATCATCAGAATCAGCAAAATCAGCTGACCTTGTTACCTAACTATTTACAAAATACAGTTTGTTATCCAGAAATATTAAGAACTATACTAGAGCTGTACCTGCTTTCATAACCAATAATCAGTCGATTAATAATAAAGACAGCCAATAATTAGTGTGATCTGTAATCAATATTAACAAAAATAATTAATATTCAGCCTTTCATGAGCTGATGAACAGACTGGCAGCAGCTGTTCTTATCATCACATTTCGTTTATCATCAGCAGCAACTAAGCAAGCGGCCCTTATACACACAAAACAGTCTTCAGTGAATGAGGGATGACCAGGACCAGGAATTCAGACACACTTTAAAAGATGGAAACTAACCTGTTCACACTTAACAGCTTCAGGATAAGGAGACTAATATAACGGGTATTTACCTGAGCAGGCAGCAGTCTTCAAACGCACTGTTTCCTCTCCTTCTTTTCAACCACACTCACTTTCCTGTTTCCTCTCAGACTTTGAAAACTCCCAAACACCAGCTTTAAATAGAAACTCTGTGGCTCTCAGCCAATCTCACTTCCTGTGACTCAAACTTCCACGTCAGAGTTGTCCCAGCAGCTGCTACCTTCAGAAGCCGTCGGACATTTCAGATCTGCATCTCAGCTCACAGTATCATGACAATTGGTTAAGGACAAATGAAACACATAATACCAGTCTCTACTCCTCAGGGTGACAGGGTCACAGTCTGTCAAACTCCTTTTACCTGCTGCACTGTGAATAGTCACACCTTGACACTCAGCTGCAGACTGAAGTACGCACCGAAACATGAGAACACAGACCCAGTCTGTGAGGGATACAGATGTCAGAAAGTACAGTTGTCAGAAAGTACAGTTGTCAGCAGGGTTGGGCATCGATTCTCGAGCATCGATGGGGACCGGTGTTGTGCCGCAGAATGCACCCCTGCCATAGAATGCATCCCCTCCACTCATTAGCTTCTTAAAGTGGATGAACCCATATGATCCCATATTAAAAAACACGAGTATTAGATCTTGACTACGTGTCAAATGGAGCAGCAAACTTTCGTTTTGTTTTTATGTGTCTCAAAAATGCACATATAGAGGTGTATTTGGATGTATAGTAAGTTGTCAAGGTGGAGATGAATATATCAAAGAGTACAGGTGTCAAAAAGTACAGGTATCAGAGAGATCAGATGTCACAGAGCTCAGGTGTCAGAGTGCTGATGTGTCAAAGAGTACAGTACAGGTGTCAGAGAGTACAGATTTCATAAAGTACAGGTGTTAGTGAGTACAGTATTGATGTCAGACAGCACAGGTGTCAGAGAGTACAGATGTCAACAGGTTCAGGTGTCAGGAAGTACAGGTGTCAACCTGTCTCACTTTTCTATTATGAACATACAACAGTACCACCTTGGTCTCTTTTTAAGGACTTATCTCTCTCTGAGGGACCATGTGCACTAAGTCTGAATTTAATCTAAACTATAATAACATATAACAATAACACATATGTATTCATTTTAAATATAAATATCTGCCTCATGTTGCCATTTTAATTGTTTCTAACAAATCAAACAGCTTGGAAATCATGTAATCAACTTTGTAATATGTACTTGGTCTCACTCACGGCGAGTCCCTTAGCCAAGCTGATAAACATAAGCACATCCACAAAGGCTATTACTTCGACAAAAAATATAGGCTGTCATACAAGAAATTAAAATCTCGATTGTGGTCTCAGCCTCGACAACTTGTGCAAATAGCCATGAAACAACTGTGCTTCATGATTAGGTCTTTTTTTTCTCAAAGAAAAGCTGCCAATATGTCCAAGCATCCCGTCTCGTAGCCACGTTATTGAGGTATGTAATAAACAAAACCACTTGTAAATCTGTCAAGATTTCAGCAAGTTAAGAGTTATTCTAATCATGCAGATTACTCAACTTCCGTCAGCTACCATAGAGCGTAATAGTGGTATACTGGAGGAAGATGGCCGCCGTGTAGGGACACCGGTAGCCCCTCCTCGAGTCATCTAGACTTTATCTTATAGATATCTATGGTACTACTGACCTGCGCTGAAGCCTGTGATCACGCACATGCGCACACGTGAACAGGCGTTTAGTATACATCTCGATAAGTAGCATAATTCGACATAACACCGTTTTTTCGACCGTCCAGCGGTGGAGAAACACGACATGCGGACACTGTGCCGTATCTTAAGAAAGAAATTATTTGCATCTCATCCTCAGGATAAAATCACAGGTTAGAACTCAGCTCCTGCTTGGAGTCTAAATCTATTCAGTTAGCTTGGGGCTAGTCTTTAAAGTTCAATAAATGCTAATTAAACACGACTGTTCCTTCTGGTCATGATCACAGTTTGACTATAAACACCTAATATGTACCGACACAAAACAGCGATATTTTAATCAAATATATCGATTTAAACCAGGACAGTAAGAGTAGCAGCTGTGGCCCTTATCATCAACGTAGTTCAGCCAAACTCCGCTAGTAATTCTCCGGAACTGCCGCGAAAATGCCGAAAAGGAAAAAAAAGCAGAGTTATGAAAGGATTAAAATCGTTTAAGGATTGTTCACTTAAACTGTGCTGTTCGGCATCACGTAAACCGATCTAGCTGCAGCGGCTAGATTCAAATCCGCTTCAACTCAGAGCCTCAAAAGAGTCTGAAACAAGGAGCAGAGGAGGAGAGGAGGTCGGCTAGGAGACAGTGATTCGGTAATTTAGAGGGTTTTCTTGCACGGACACAGGCCATGTTTCAAGTGTATGAAAGGCGCCGAATCAGATATCGGCCCCGGTACACTTGTCTACACAAATCCCCGATGTCAGATTTTATATATTAGTATTCAACTACTGTAGAACAGTCTACACCGCCTGGTTTCAAAATGTAGTTCAGTCTAGCGAGGAGGGGAGTCTGGCGCTCACAGCGGGGATGTAGGGCTGTGTGGCCCGCACCGCACCGCTGGATGAAAACAGACCCTGACCCGGGATAAAAAGCCGGACCGGACCCTCCTTACCTTGCTGCGGATCTGACCGGATGTCGATACTTTTCGGATGAGTTTTTGCGGGCTTCCAGGTTCTTGCTCCGGCTCACTATCCGACGACTCCTCTGGGCACCGGGCCGCGACAGACTCCGGTCCCCCTGCCTCCGCCATCCTGCCGTCAGACCCCCGGGCAGGACCAGCCGGGAGGGGAGCGCCCCCCACCGGCAGAGAACGGACGGCACGTAGCAGGAGATGAAAGGGGCGTTTAGTGACATCCAGCGGTCTTACTGGAGACGCACAACAACCCATTTTGAGTCTCAACACGCAGAAAACAGTTTGTGTCTCTTACATTTTAAGTAAACTAAAACAAAATTAAATTAAATTAAATGTGAATTGATTACAACAGACTGTTCTCAAACTCACAGCATAAACAAACCAATTATCAGGTCATATATGTTTGCATTAGATTCAGACTATTTTTTATGAAAGAAAAACACATTTAACAGAAAATTACAGAGGCATATCACTGCTACTCTGGAATGTAAAAAATGATTAGAATAATGTTAGAAGTGTGATGGTTGTTGAAAGTTGGTACCCGACATGTAAACCAGACTGGGGAAAGGTTTAAAGGATTTTATTAAAGGGAATGTGCAGGGGAAAGAGAGGATCCTGAGTCCAAGACTGGAGTTGTATGCTGTACATATATTAACATGTTCAATAAAAAGGAAAAAAGAAAAAAAAAGTCTCTGTTAGCATGTCAACACGGTGAAAAGCAAGGAGGATGTTTTTATTCCTACTGTTTATCTGGAAGACAAATTCAATCAACAGTCTGAGGCCACTGACACAGATCTAACTAGAATACAACACAATATGACAAATATGACCATAACATTTATGATAATATCACCTCAGCAGGATGTTTCTTATATCCAGCCGCCCAAAGTTTCTCTTTTTTACAATTTCAGTTTAAAAGTTTTGCTGTTTCACAGTTTAATCCAGTACAAAAACTGTTTAAAGCCCAAAATCAGCAGACACAAGGACAGTTTCTTCCCCCAGGCTGCTGCCCTTGTGAAGTTCTAATGCTCACAAAAAGACCTCCGTGACTGTAAATGACTTTATAACTTTTTAACAGTTTACCGCTCTGCCTCCTAAGCTACTGCCACCTCCATGGGAAATTTGGTTTGCAACAGGCATCAGCACACCAGTACATGATAAAACATACATTTTGTATCTGATTCTGAATTTTCACTGAAGTGTCAAAAAAACAACAACATTTTCATAGAAACACCTCAAAAAAAAAACCACAGCAGATTAAGTCACTTGACCCTGACAGCATACAGGTCACAGTCTTAGTCTTTACCCATCTGTTCCAGGTTTATAAACACATCACATCAAACACACAGCTCACCTGAGCCTTTCCACAGGTGAGTGTCAAACTGTCATATCAGTAAACATACAGAATATCCAATCAAAAATGAAGCCATCATATAACATCATCCCTGGAAAGGTTGGGCTATCCCCTGGTTTAGGTGGGCTAATGATCCCAGGCTAAGGTGCCTTTCATGAGACTTGGGTCCCCAGCTGACCCAGATGGAGGCTCCTATCCTAGTTCCCAGGTGTGCTCACCAGTGTCTTACCTATAGACAATTTGTGTGAGCTGGATCAGGTGACAGGCTTCAGACAGGTGAAGTTACACCTGTGCTTTATGAGGATGGCCCTACAAAGTGCTAACCAGGTCACCTTCACATTAAATAAAGGCTGAGTGGTGGGAACTGACCCACCTGGATGAGGTAAGATCACCTTCACATGACCATCAATAAAGAGTCATCAATCAGAATGCCTTGGGGCTCTACCTGTGGAGACAACAAGAACTATTAAAGAGCTGAACTAGGTCACATCTACACCAATCACACCTGATCAGTACAGCATGTCTCAGGTTCAAAGATCCACCTTTGGACCGGGTGACCCAGCTACAGGTGACCCAGGTAAAGACCTTCATAGATTAGCAAATCCAACTTTTAAAGCTCAAAATGAGATATATGACACTTTTTTTTCAGAGGCGCCAAAAACCAACAAACTGATCCCCCCCCCCCCAGCTGCTTTAGAGTCAGAACTGTTTGATATTGAAACTCTTAATTTATTTATTTAATCTTAAATCGTTCACTGCAGAGTCAACGAGTCAAACATGAAAACTAAAGGACTCAGTCTGACAATCTGACTTAATCACTTAAGATCAGACATAAATTTCTTCAACCTGTTTAATAACGCACACGCGTACGCATACATACACACACTGATTTTAAATTCCAGTAATTGTGCGTCATGTGGCACCTGTGTGTTTCCCTGTCATCAGCTCACATTACACATTAAAAAAGAAACAAACACAGGCCTAATTTAACTCAAAGATCCACACCTTTACACCTGTGTGGGCTGGGCCTTAGGTGGGCAGGGCCTGTGGTTTTATTAACAGCTGTGAGTCTAACAGGTGAGATCACTCTGCAGGTGATTCGGAGACTCCAGAGGGTTCGGTGAGTGTCCCCCATTATTTAATGATGCTTTAAACACCCCAGGAGTAGAAAGAGTTCAATTTGATAAAATGTAGAATTTTTAGAAAGTCTTCTTTAATTACCAATTTATGTAGGTTTGTATGAGCTTCTCATACAGTAACTGATAACTGGTGTTTTCTGTCAATACTAAAAATATGAGATCAATGTTTTTATTTCAGTGAACTGCTTCACAACATTTTTAATGGTAAAAATAAAATGTTTGAATGAATATTATTTATTTTCATGTTTTGTTTTCTCCATGCTGGTTGCAATTCATCATTGAATTACTGATTTTTTTTTGTTTTATAAACTGAATTTGGAGGACATAAAATGTCCTCTGAGGCTCCATATATGCTTTTTTCTCAGTCAAATGAAAAGTGATTGAACTAACCCTTTGAAGGGGACACTGTCCCTTGCAGATCAGCTGACTCAGTCGGTCACACAGCTGCAGTGTGTTTATCAAGCTGTAGCACCATCATTGTTTTTCATGTTAAAGTCACAGGACCCACATAAACCTCAGGTAACACAGCAGCCGTTTCACCTGCACTCAGGTGAATGATGACATGAGAAGTGACATCAGGCGGCTGACCATATTTCCTTCTCTTTCTGTCTCTCTGCAGCCATGACAATCTTTTTATGTTACTTCCTGTTGATTGGGCTTTTACTCCCTGCCGTCATGGGGATGCCAGAGCCACTCCTCATAGGTGACTGGGAGCCCCCCCTTAAGGCTCAGCCCACACCTTCATACCCTCCAATGGACGGCCCGGGACGTATGTTTTACCCTGAAAGAGAGAACATGACGGATCCACCAACGGGAGACCTGGAGGAGTACTGCCAGATGCTGCTGCAAGTCCCTGTCCCTCCAGACCAGATGCCCTGGTTCTGTATGTGCACCCAGTGCCAGAGCAGCCAGGGGCCCAAAGGAGACCCTGGAGACCGTGGACTGCCAGGTAAATCAGAGGCAATGTACACCTGAGGCAAGGTATACCTTAGGTCAGGTACACCTGAGGCTGGATACACCTAAATCCAGGTACACCTGAGGCCAAATACACCTGGAGCACGGTACCCTTGAGGTCAGTTCTACCTGAGACTTCCTCATCTGGTTTTGAGCCAATGTGGAGTTTAAGTTCCAGGTTCTGGATCAAGGACATAGAGGTGGTCCAAAGGGGTCTACTTTCTGATTTAGACTCAATCAACCCTCTAAAACAGGGGTGTCAAAGTCAAATGGACGGAGGGCCAAATAAAAAATTTAGCTACAAGCCGAGGGCCGGACTGATCGAATGTTCATTGAAAAATTTTTAAATGACGCATATAGTCTAGTGAACCTAATTGAACCTACTGAAAACCTAACAAATATATTCCAATATGATCAGATAAATAAAGCAATATTTTCTTATGGCTCTGTCAGTAATCTTTAATTTTCAACAGACACAAAAGACAAATTTCCTTTATATAAAAATCCCCATAACATGAACATTAAATGAAAGAAACCAGTATTATTCAAGGCACCATCAGTAGCCTATATTTTCTATTTTAGCAAAAGTGGGCTAAATTTACTTCAAAGAAAAAAATAATAATAGCAATTTTCTATCATCCACTCAACTGAAATATTTTTAAAATATAATTGGATTGAAATACAATAAAATAAAGTGCAAAAATCTATTAATCAAAAACAACACTTTCTTCAAGGAGAAGTAACATGCATTTTTGATAGGTATCTGAAAGTTAATTTTACTGTTATGCTGACGACTGCTGTGCTAATAAATATTGAAATGAAGCAGCCTACTGCTCGGTGCGTCACCGTTGCATTGTGGGAAATGTAGTATTGGTGCGTGTAAAAGATCTGCGGGCTGCCGGCTTGCTGCGGTCTGCGGGCCGGTTCTAATAATAAATCAAGATCATCCCAGGGGCCGTAAAAAACCTTCTCGCGGGCCGGGCCTTGACTCTGACATATGTGCTCTAAAAGTTCTCTGTGTCCCCCCTCAGGTAGTCCTGGGAGTCCTGGAAGAAGAGGGATGACAGGATTCAGAGGTCCACCAGGTTTTGTAGGCAGACCAGGGGTCAAAGGTAAAAGTGTTTCCATCATCCTTTGCTGCCAGTCTCTCTGTCCACACTGAATGTGATATTGTTCCTCCTTCAGGTCAGAAAGGGGACGAGGGCGAGAAAGGGGACAGAGGGCTGCAAGGTTTTATGGGACCTAAAGGAGGGCGAGGCTTTAAAGGTGAGGGGCACATGTGACAAGATCCTCAGGAAAAGTCCTGTTCCATTCTGTGAAGTGGTTTCTCTTGTCCTGCAGGTGATAAAGGTGAACGTGGTCTGGAAGGCCCCCCAGGTGATCCAGGTCGTAAAGGAGAAGATGGAGTCTGCCCCCACGCCTGTGAGTCCAGCCAAGTCCCCTCAGGACCACCAGGTCAACCTGGTTCTTCAGGGCCCCGGGGTCTACCTGGCAGTCCTGGACCAATGGGGCTGAAAGGTGAAAAAGGAGACACAGGTGGCATGGGAGCTCCAGGTGTACCTGGGCTTGTGGGTGACAAAGGAGAGCCAGGGCCACAGGCAGAGTGCAACTGTACAGTTGGGTTGGAGGGTGCTCCAGGACCCCAGGGGGAGAAAGGGGAGCAAGGACAGGTGGGAGTCACTGGGCAGAGGGGGCCACAAGGTGAGAAGGGAGACATAGGGCCTCAGGGAATGATGGGTCCTCCTGGTCCCTGCATGCCCAGCATCCAGTCCAGCTTTGCTGCAGGACTAACGTCCAGCTATCCCCAACCAAACGCACCCGTGGTGTTCGCTCATGTCCTTTACAATGTCCAGGGAAGCTACAACCCTGTATCTGGCCTCTACACTGCCCCCATAAACGGCACATATGTCTTCAGTTACCACCTCACTGTCCATGAGCGAGTCCTCAAGGTTGGACTCTTCCATAACTACAGGCCAGTTGTCATCACCACAGACCCAAAAGTCCTGGGGACCACCTCACACTCCGTGATCTTACATCTGGCCCAGGGGGACCAGGTTTGGCTCCAGGTGAAGGACTCGGCCACGAATGGCATGTATGCAGGTAGTGAATCCAGTAGCACCTTCTCCGGCTTCCTGCTCCACCCAGACTCCTGTGACATGGCCTTGCTGAGGGCCCCCAGACCCTTCATGGCCACCCCCCAGGGAGAGTACAGCTGGGGTAGCATGTCTGGATCTGAGCCCCAGCCCACTGACAGAGGGGCCAATTAGTTTCAGAGAGAAAGAACAGGCTGGGCTGTAATCAAATAATTTTACCGCGGATCAGACCAAACCAACAGACCTCTGACCTTTAACCTTTGACTCTGAGCAGAACACAACTCCACACACAAATACAAAATTAAGCCAGAACTACCTCAGGACCCCTGAGATGGAAGCATGGGAGGGGTTTAAGATGTCAACAGCGTCTTCAGCCTCTTTGAACAGTTATTTTTGATATCGTCATGTATTTTTGGTTCATGATGAAAAAATCTAAACAAAGAGCCTGACAATAAAATGGATTCTGAGCCTGACGACCATGAAGATGAATATGATGGTATTGATGACGATGATGGTAATGAAGATGAGGATGTTGGTCATGATGAAGATAGTGGTCTCTCCATCAGAGCAAGCAGTGTAAAGGTGTGTCAGACAGAATGGTTAACAGGTGCTTGTAGCCTCTTTGTAAGCAGCAGGATGTTGGTTTAATAAAAACAAAAAAAAAAGTTTTCCTGTCTGTGACTTCATTATAGGTCTGATCACTCATATAATCTGTATCTACTCACCATCTCCATGACAAAAGCACCACAAGAGATTTTCCAATGAAATATTTCCATGTCTTTCCTCTATGAAGGAGCATTTCTGCTCAGGGATCTCATTCATGTAAATGACCACAACGACAGTTTGTAAGTGAAGAATACAGAGAAATAAGACTTAGCAGAAATCACTACTAGAATTCATACTGGGATCTCTTCTGTTAATCACAAAAGACACCTTTGAAACACATATTTTAATTTAAAAATATATATATTTAGCTCAACTGTTGACAATAAACTGAGTTGAGCTTCAGAACTTACACACAAGCTTACAATCAAATCCGAGTTTATTGCAAGTTCATAACCCAGTGCGTTTGCAGTGCTGAAGACTTCAACTGTAGATATTCACACAGATTCCCTAATAGTTGTCTGTGAGACTGGGGGCAGGTCTGTGGGTGACCTATGTCTGCTGCTCAGCCAAAGACTGATAGGAAGTCAGAGTGATTGGAAGTCAGCCTGATCAGGGGTCAGACTGATCAGAGGTCAGTTTGATCAGGGGTCAGACTGATCTCAGAAGTCAGTCTGATCAGGGGTCAGACTGATCAGAGGTCAGACCATTCAGGGGTCTGTCTGATTAGTACTCAGTCTAATCAGACTTCAGTCTCACAAGTGCTCAGTCATTATAAGACATCGACTCTCTCCAGAGACCAGCTCTGTCCTAGTTCTGGTTCTGGTCCTGGTTTGATCATAACAAGGATGTTGTTGTTCTATACCATTCCACTCCACTGTAGCGAAGTATACAGGACTCCGCCCCCTCCTGGAGAGCAGAGCAGGACGGTCTTCTTCACGTTTGATCCCAGGCGAGCCACAGACAGGATGTCAAGCAGACAGACAGGCTTGTCCTTAGAGAGACAAACAGCGATGAAGTGAGCATGAAACCGTAGGGGATCACCTGAGGAGGAGAACAGATGAGTAAACTTACAATCTAAACTTTATTTTGAAAATCACATCAGAAAGAGACAGAGATAAACAAATCACCTGCTCCTCTGTTTATAGACGCTATAACTACAGACAAAGACACACACAGACACCCACTGAGACACAGACACACACTGAGACACACAGGAGCACAGACAGAGATGCACAGAGACAAAGACATACTCACAGACCCACTCAAAGACACAGACACACACTGAGACACAGAAGGACACACAGACATCGTCACAGAAACACACTGAATTAAAAACATAAGGACACAGACACACACTGAGACAAACAGAGACACAGACACAGACATAGACACAGACAAACACTTAAACAGACACACATAGGCACACACACACAGACATAGAGAAACACAAAGGCAGAGGAATGGAGGACACTGAGCTTAAAGGGATATTCCGGCGTAAAATTAATTTAAGGTCAAATACACTGTAACACCGAGTTAGACACTCCCTCGTGAGATGATTGTTGCCGACTGCATGCTTCTCTAGTTATACCAACTTAAGTAACAACCCCACAATCAGGTCTGTTAATGAATATTGTAAAATTGAATATATAGATAAAGTTATATGCAAGACAGATATTCGAATATGTTCGAACCTATGTGTTATTTTATGACTTATATAAAAAAAAAAAGATGGCTAGTTCTATGGCTGGGACCCTATATGTATGGTTGATGAAGTTAGGTGCTGTTCTGAGCATTACTTGTGGCCATAGAGTGGCTTTTTGGTTAAGGTTTGCAAGTGGAGCCATAGACCACTGTGTATTGCTCTCGTGCGGTCAATATCAAAGTTGGTATAACTAGAGAAGCAAGCAGTTGGCAACATTCATCTCTCGAAGGGGTGTCGAACTCTGTGTTACGGTGTGTTTGACCCACCCTAACTTAATTTTATGCCGGAATATCCCTTTAGGAGACATAGAGAGAGACAGACAGACACTGACCTGGATAAACCAGGAAGTCTCCTCCAAACTTCCCCGCTGAGGTCAGATAGAAGCCCCGCCTCCTCAGGTCTCTGAATACCTCATACCTGGCCTCCGAGTGCTGGCTGAGCTGCACTCTGATTGACCAGTGAGCCTGCAGGAAGGCCCGACTCTCGGGACAGTGAGCTAGCCCCACCCTTGCTGTGCTCAGCTGCACTGCAAGTGCTGACAGAGGGAAGGTAAAGCTCTGGTCTAGGGCCTTCAGGCTGTCCCAATGAGCCTTGTGTTGACAAGTCTCTGAACCAGAACCTGAACAGACAAGAACCAGGATCAGAGCCAGAACTGTTCGATCAGACTACAGCAGAATCAGGTATAAGTGTGACAGGCAGGGGTGCTGCTAGGGATTCTGGGCCCCATGAAAAGAATTTATACAGGGCCCCCAACACAGAAGGCCAAATTTTTGATGCTTTTTACATAAAATTACGGATTTTTATGTTACGTTTTTCTGTACACGCATTTAGTCCATCCTCCACATCTGAATTCCTTTCAACGTCTTCGTCCTCACTCTCTGCCACCTGCGTTTCTGTGCTCTCCATTTCATCTTTACCCTCTTTCATCTCTTCCTCCACTTCCTCCGCATTCCTCCCTGACAAATCAGAAGAGGGTCCTGGACCTGGCTCTGTAGAGTGTTCAAGACATAGATAAATTATATAGTATTTCCTATAATATATCTACTTGTAATAGATTCTTACAGGCATTCCCCCATTGAACATGTAAATTTCTCTTATTGGATTGAGAGCAGTCACCCCAGTCTGCTGCACACACAACTCATTTTTTCTTCTGTTCCTATTGCACCTATTCTATTTCAATAGCAGCTGAATTTTAACAGAATAAAAACAATTATGCATTTTAAACCATTAAAATTGTTCAAAATTATTATTTTAATATTTTCCTGAATAACAGATTCATCTTTTGTGTGTATTGTTTTGAGACTGTGATAAAGAATATCATTATGACTAATCCAATACACACAGCTGCTCACCTCCTTCCTCATGTGGGGACACTGCGGCTGGGTGAGGGGCTGGTGGAGTTGGGGACTAACAGACAGCTGCTTCTGGTGCACTTTGTCGCTACCTGATCCGTCCCGGAAACCCGATTGTACTGCGCAGGTGCGGAATGTATGTCACTTCCTCTACTAGCCATTTTTGCAACAGCTCAGCAATTCATTGCCCCTCGCAATTTGCGACAGTTTCGACACTTGTTCGGCAGCTTCAGCATCAGCAAGCTCGCTACAGTCAGAAAGGATACTTCAGTTTATCAATGCTTCAGTTTATCACCAGCCACATGCTTTGCTTTTCTCCTGAACAGAATGCTTTCCCCAACTGAAGCAGAGCGCCAGAAATTCATGAGAATGGCGCCCGGTTTTACGATTAAAGGCTCCTCCACCAGCTAAATTGTAAAATTGCAACATAGTTATAAAAGGTTATGTGAATATTTCAGTGTTGAAATTGTACGCTGTATAAAAACACTGAAATTCATTGTCCATAATGTGTAGGCTTCTTGTTAATAAATTTAATTTATAAAATAAATTAAATAAATCCCCCCTTGATACTTTGAAAAGTCAGAGAACCATTAATTTGACCGGGTTGTGGCACTCTCTGTGGCCCAGGAAGGGTGCTTCATGGGTGACCACACACCTCCAGAGCATCCCCCCTGATACTGTGAAAAGTCAGAGAACCATAATTTTGACAGGGTGGCGGCACTCTCTGTGGTTCAAAAGGTCTCAACGTGCTGGGCAGGGGCTCTGGCAAATGCCTCGGCATTAGCTCTGGAGCCTCCTGCTAGCTAGCCTGTCATATTGCCAGCTTGTTTCTGAATTGATCCGTAGTTTAAATAAAGTTTTCAAGGAGAAGTAAATTTGCACTTGCGCAGTACAGATTGGGTAGAATACATTGAAATGCCAAGAGAGGAAGTGGCGTATGTTTCGCACATGCACAGTACAAATCAGGTTTCCGGGACGGGTTGCATAGCGACACACTTGACTCTGTTCAGAACGAGGCATCATTTTGATAGAGGGGAGGTCAACTGATTGAATATAACCAGCATGCTAAACGTTAGACTGCATTACTTTATTTACTAATTCAACTAAAACAACTGTGAAACGCAAATATTAGGAGTTTTCTTAAGCTAACATGGGGAGAAAAGTGAGCTAGCTTACAAACCACATACAAGGGCAAAGTTAATATTACATAGCTTTCCACTACACGAACCACTCATAAACCCACCTTTCCTTGTGAAATACTGGGTGACATACTGTCGACCCTTTAGTTCTTTCTCCTCTCTTAGTTTCCTTTCTTTGTGGTTTTGGCTGCCTGATTTTTGAGGCATAATGGACCTCATTTATCAATCTTGCGCAGATCTGAGCGCAGGATTCATTGTGTTATAGGACACACGTGAGATTTATGAAAGGGTTCGTATCTGACCAATCCCAGCGTACGTATGAACGGATCTTGATAAATGCGGCGGCTGAAATCAATCGTCATTAACATGTTTACGCCCTTAAATATTCATGGTTCAGAAGCCTCGCCCACTGAGGTCAAACATGAAAGAGGAGAAATATTAGAAAGATTCTAAACTTTTCTGAGCTGAATGTGGATATCAATAAGTTGCTCATGATGATAAATTATTATCCTATACATGCCTCATACTTTTTATTGCCATGACATAGGGCACGTTGCTCCTATTATTTAAAGTATTTAGTTTTAATTTGTTGCTTCTTTGTAATGTAGAGCAGACTGGAGAGTCTGACAGAGGCTGAACAAAAATAATTATTAACCTCACCAAACGGTGTGTTGCTGCCCCTGAGGCACATTTTCATGGATTTCTATTGGATTTTTATCACTGATTAAATAGCAAGAGCACTTTCTAAACTTATACTTTACATGCCAGAATCCGTCAATAAGGTCCTGTCTCCTCTGTACAGCACCTTTATGAAGTCTCTCGTCATTGTTCTCCAGGCATCAGATCCTCATGTTGCACCAGCACAGCCAACGGCACTCCATTAGCCAGTTCAACATTGTGCAAAACTGTACTGGCCCAAATGATGTCCCACACCCTTTCAGGAGTGTACAACAACATCCCCACTGCTGGGCCAGGACAGAAACACCTGCCTTTTAGGAGTCAAATGGCGCTCCTGCTCTGTGGCAGTGTATCTGGGCAGAGTTATCAAGTAGGCCTATTCACTATTTGTTATTTTATTCTATTTATGTCTTAATCTTTAATGAAATCTGGCTGATTGTACTTAATGACAGGTTTGAGGTTTGTTTATCAGTTATTTTGAGTCAGACATTTGCTGCATCGCAGATCCACGCTGACTCAAACTTGCGTACACGATGTCAGACCTGTCGTGAGATTTGGTCACAGCATACACTCACGTGCAGATTGATAAATGCCGATCCTCACGTCAAAATTTTCGTACGCAAGGTGTACGCAAGTTTTCTGCCGTACGCAAGCTTGATAAATGAGGGCCACTGTCTTTTCAGCTGCTCCTTAGCCGCTCTGGTGCCTGCGACTTTGACATACAGCTGTGCTGCCAGTGGCCGAGTCAGTCAGACTGAACCATTTTATGTAAATAGAGGGGGGGGGCCTATTATTGTAACCAGGACGCTGTATATGAAATATTTGTGATCAAACGTTAGTTGGTTTTTTTTCAGTATAACTTTATTAGGGGCCCTTTCTGGGCCCCTCTCAATCATGGGCCCCTAGAATCCTTCTCCTTTCCCCCCCTTATTGGCGCCCCAAGTGACAGGACTCACCGGTGTTTGATGATGCCATTGCTCGCAGCACAGCAGATTTTCTACCCTCCAAGGCAATAATACTCTGCTCTTCGTAACTCCTCCTCCGCTCCTCCCCCTGCAGCGCTACCTGCTGGACAAGCCCCGACCCTCCTTCATGCTGCACACCAACAACCAACCAGAGTTCATTATCAGGATGACAGGTGTTTTAATTTCAAAACAAGTAGGAATGGAAACAGGTTACCTGGGGCTCAACTGACCTGGTTGGCGGGTGGAAGACTGGCAGCGGTGTGGCATTTGCTCAGCAGGAGCTCTTCCTCAGGCAGCAGCTGCAGTGGACGGCCCAGCCTTGAGTTCTGTCTGGGGGTTCGGGGCAGTGAGCCTAGAAGCGACCCCACCAAGCCCTGAGACCGCACTGACCTCAGGTCTTCAACACGCCACAGCAGGGAGGCGGAGTCACAGTGACTGATGCCCACCACCCGACAGGAAGTTGGCTCTTCAGTTCGGGGGGCCCCCTCCATCACAACACCTCTGTGGACAGGTCAGTGACACTGATCAGGTACAAGTGAAACTAACATGGGCTGTCACTTATGAAATCATCAGAACTGTTCAGGGTGATGTGAGCATATACAGTGCATCCGGAAAGTATTCATACAACTTCACTTTTTCCACATTTTGTTATGTTACAGCCTTATTCCAAAATGGATTAAATTCCTTTTTTCCCTCAAAAATTCTACACAAAGTACCCTATAATGACAAAGCGAAAAACTTTTTTTAGAGCATTTTACAATTTATTAAAAGTAAGACACTCAAATGTTGCATATACACAAGTTTTCACACCCTTTGCTATAAAACTCAAAATTGAGCTTAGGTGCATCCTGTTTCCACTGATCAGCCTTGAAATGTTCCTCCAACTTGATTGCAGTCCACCTGTGGCAAATTCAGCTGATTGGACATGATTTGGTGAGCCACATCTGTTTATATAAGATCCCACAGCTGACAGAGCATGTCAGAGCACAAACTAAGCCATGAAGTCGAAAGAATTGTCTGTAGACCTCCGAAACAGGGTTGTATCGGCGCACAGATCTGGGGAAGGTTATAGAAAAATATCTGCTGCATTGAAGATCCCAAAAAGCACAGTGGTCTCCATCATTAAGAAATGGAAGACGTTTGGAACCACCAGGACTCTTCCTAGAGCTGGCCGCCCAGCCAAAATGAGCAAGCGGTGGAAGGGGCCTTGGTGACCAAGAACCCGATGGTCACTCTGACAGAGCTCCAGCGTTCCCCTGAGGAGATGGGAGAACCCTACAAAAGGACCACCATCTCTGCAGCACTTCACCAGTCAGGCATTTATGGTAGAGTGGCCAGACAGAAGCCACTCGTCAGTAAAAAGCACATGACAGCCCACTTGGACTTTGCTAGAAGGCACCTGAAGGACTCACAGACCAGGAGAAACAAAATTTTCTGGTCTGATGAAATGAAGATCGAACTCTTTGGCCTGAATGCCAAGCGTCACGTCTGGAGGAAACCAGGCACCGCTCACCACCTCACCAATACCATCCCGACAGTGAAGCATGGTGGTGGCAGCATCATGCTGTGGGGATGTTTTTCAGCGGCAGGAACTGGGAGACTTGTCAGGATCTAGGGAAAAATGAATGCAGATAAGTACATCGAAATCCTTGATGAAAACCTGCTCCAGAGCGCTTGAGACCTTCGACTGGGGAGACGCTTCATCTTCCAGCATGACAATGACCCTAAGCACACGGCCAAGAAGACAAAGGAGTGGCTTCAGGACAAGTCTCTGAATGTCCTTGAGTGGCCCAGCCAGCGCCCAGACTTGAACCCGATTGAACATCTTTGGAAAGACCTGAAAGTAGCTGTGCACCGACGCTGCCCATCCAACCTCACTGAGCTTGAACGGAAGAATGGGAAAAACTCCCCAAATCCAGGTGTGCCTCGCTTGTTGCATAATACGCAAGAAGACTGGAGGCTGTAATCACTGCCAAGTATTGAGTAAAGGGTGTGAATACTTATGTATGCAACATTTGAGTGTTCTTATTTCTAATAAATTCGCAAAATGTTCTAAAAAAAGTTTTTCACTTTGTCATTATGGGGTATTTTGTGTAGAATTTTTGAGGGAAAAGGGGAATTTAATCCATTTTGGAATAAGGCTGTAACACAACAAAATGTGGAAAAAGTGACATGGTATGAATACTTTCCGGATGCACTGTATATCATATCAGCTGCCAGATTGGCTCGGGGCCCGGCGCCAGTTGATGACGTCACGCTACATGATTGGCTGGAAGTTGGTTTGGATGACGTGGAAGCTTGTGGTAAATCCAGACAAATTACGGAAGCAGTTTTCGCTGGATTAGGGTTCATGGGATTGTAGTTCTTCTGAGAAAACAAGGACGAATTTTATAAAGCAATGTATCCCTACTTATCAAAGGGGACTTAGGAAGTCTGGACTACTGCATCTTTTAGGTTACCAAGGAAATGTGGAATAAAAGCAATACTATCTATTGATAAATGGAGATCTTACATACCTCTTTTTTTTCTTTTTCCTTTAGAAAGGTTTTCATACACAACTAAAGCCATCTAAAAATTACAGGACAATAAATTGTATTTCTCTGTATTATATGGAGAGTAAATTTCAAGGCGCACACACGCACACAGACACACACACACACAGACTTACTGACACAGTGCGGAGCAAACGCAATGAATGATGAAACGACAGCTTTGGTCTCTAATCCCAACGCAACAGCCCCAGTGTGGGAACATTTCGGTTTCAAATAAAATGAAAGAGGTGAGCCTACGACCACGGACGATATGTCGCTATATCATTCGCGGGGATGATTGTGCTTGAGGTGCGCATGCGTGTTCTTTGTTGACCTGTTGAGGAATAGCACCCAAAGCTAATTATTTAGTGCAATTTTGTTTACTGACTCGAGACTCCACTTGATTTATTGTTTTAATAGTTAAGTGTGGAGTGAAGTTTTTGTTCCGTACCAGAGACAAGGTCTGTTTATTATATTATACCATATACCACCATATGTTAGTATTAAATTTGTTCATCCTAGTTTTGATGACATGATGCACCATTAAACAGTTTAATAATCAGTGGAAAACTGGTTAATGATGGCTCAGTAAGTGGCTACCTAATCAGAGGTAAGCTGGTAAGTAATGGGTCAGTAAACAGTTAAGAAGAATAGAATATAGAATAGAATATTCCTTTATTGATCCCCCATGGGGGAAATTTTTTTTGTCAACAGCAGCATCACAGACAAAGAGTGCAAAAATGCAGTTATAAAAATAAAGATCGGAATATTAAGAACTTAAATAAATGTAATTATTAAGAAAAAATTTAGAAAAGGAAAAAGGGAGAAGAAAAATAAAACTATATACAATATACACAATTTAAATGCCAGAAAAAAAGTGCAGTTCATTGTAAAGTCTAATTGCAGAAGGGAGGAATGATCTGTGGTAGCACTCCGTCTTGCAAGGTGGGAGTCTCAGTCTGCTGCTGAAGGAGCTGCTTAAAGCCCCCACAGTCTGGTGCAGTGGGTGAGAGGGATTGTCCATGATGGATACAAGCTTTGCTAACATCCTCCTCTCACCCACCTCCTCCAGGGAGTCCAAAGAACAGTCCAGGACAGAACTGGCCCTCCTGACCAGTCTATTCAGTCTCTTCCTGTCCCTCTCATTGCTCCCTGCCCCCCAGCAGACCACTGCATAGAAAAGTGCAGATGCTTCCAGAGAGTCATAGAAAGTCCTGAGCAGAGTCCTGCACACTCCAAAGGACCTCAGTCTCCTCAGCAGGTGGAGACGACTTTGGCCCTTCTTGTACAAGACGTCTGTGTTTGTTGACCAGTCCAGTTTATTGTTGAGGTGGACACCCAGGAATCTGTAGGACTCCACCATCTCGATGTCCAGACCCTGGATGTTCACTGGAACAGTCTGAGGTGTCCTCCTCCTGTGGAAATCCACGACCATCTCCTTTGTCTTACTGGCGTTGAGCTGGAGGTGGTTTGTGCCACACCAGTTGACAAAGTCAGTGATGACAGTCCTGTATTCCCGCTCATCCCCTGACGATACACATCCGACGATGGCTGTGTCATCAGAGAATTTCTGGAGGTGACAGCTCCCAGAGTTGTAGCTGAAGTCTGAGGTGTACAGGGTGAAGAGGAAGGGGCAGAGCACTGTCCACTGTGGAGCCCCCGTGCAGCAGACCACCATGTCCTACACACTGTTCTGAAGCCTCACAAACTGTGGTCTGTCGGTGAGGTAGTCCGCGGTCCACGCGGCTAGGTGACAGTCCACTCCCGCCCTCTCGAGCTTCCCCCTGAGCAGTGAAGGCTGGATAGTGTTGACAGCACTGGAGAAGTCAAAAAACATGACCCTCACAGTGCTGCCGGTGTTCTCCAAGTGAGCCATGGACCTCTGCAGCAGGTAGATGACAGCGTTGTCCACTCCGATGTTCGGCTGGTACGCAAACTGCAGAGGTTCCAGATGAGAGCCCACCAGGAGGCGGAGGTTCCTCAGCACGATCCTCTCCAGAGTCTTCATCAGGTTAGAAGTTAGGGCCACAGGTCTGAAGTGGTTGGGCTCCCTGGGGTGTGCTGTCTTGGGGACAGGAATCATGCAGGAAGTCTTCCACAGTGCTGGGACCCTCTCCAGACTCAGGCTCAAGCTGAAGATGTGCAGTAGCACCTCTCAGAGCTGGTCTGCACAGTCCTTCAAGAGTCTGGAGCTGATGCAGTCAGGACCCGTGGCTTTCCTTGGCTTCATCTTCCTCAGCTCACTTCTCATCCGGTCAGCTGTTATGGAGAGACTGGGGGTGGCGCTGGAAGGGCTAGTGGAGGATGAGTGGAGGGGGGTTGATGATGCCGGTGCCATGGAACTGAGGTGATGTGAAGAAGAAGCAGCAGACGGGTCGTTGGTTTGATGAGTCGGGGGAGGAGTGGGAGCAGAGTCAAATCTATTGAAGAATAGATTCAGCTCGTTGGCCCACTCCCTGTCTCCTACTTCAGGTCCCCTCTCATGGCCCCTGCTATGACCTGAGATGGATTTCAGGCCTCTCCAGACCTCCCTCGCGTTGTTCTGTTGCAGAAGGTTTTCATCTTGGTCTTGTAGCTGGCCTTCCCCTCTCTGATCTTCTTCTTCAGCTCCTTCTGCACCCTCCTCAGCTCCTCCTTTTCCCCAGATTTAAAGACCCTCCTCTTCTCCTTCAGGAGGACTTTAAGTTCCAGGGTCACCCAAGGTTTGCTGTTGGAGAAACACTGTACTTTCCTGGTGGGTACGATGTTCTCGACACAGAAGTTTATGTAGTCCGTGACTGGCCACAACGTTAACTTACCAGATACTGGTGTTAGTAATAATGGGTCAGTCAGAGGTTAACTAATCTGAGGTAAACGGGTTTGTTATAAAGTCAGTCAGAGGTTAACTAATCAAAGGTAAACTGGTTTTCTACACTCACCGGCCACTTTATTAGGTACACCATGCTAGTAACGGGTTGGACCCCCTTTTGCCTTCAGAACTGCCTCAATTCTTCGTGGCATAGATTCAACAAGGTGCTGGAAGCATTCCTCAGAGAGCTTGGTCCATATTTACATGATGGCATCACACAGTTGCCGCAGATTTGTCGGCTGCACATCCATGATGCGAATCTCCCGTTCCACCACATCCCAACGATGCTCTATTGAATTGAGATCTGGTGACTGTGGAGGCCATTTGAGTACAGTGAACTCATTGTCATGTACAAGAAACCAGTCTGAGGTGATTCCAGCTTTATGACATGGCGCATTATCCTGCTGAAAGTAGCCATCAGAAGTTGGGGACATTGTGGTCATAAAGGGATGGACATGGTCAGCAACAATACTCAGGTAGGCTGTGGCGTTGCAACGATGCTCAATTGGTACCAAGGGGCCCAAAGAGTGCCAAGAAAATATTCCCCACACCATGACACCACCACCACCAGCCTGAACCGTTGATACAAGGCAGGATGGATCCATGCTTTCATGTTGTTGACGCCAAATTCTGACCCTACCATCCGAATGTCGCAGCAGAAATCGAGACTCATCAGACCAGGCAACGTTTTTCCAATCTTCTATTGTCCAATTTCGATGAGCTTGTGCAAATTGTAGCCTCAGTTTCCTGTTGTTAGCTGAAAGGAGTGGCACCCGGCGTGGTCTTCTGCTGCTGTAGCCCATCTGCCTCAAAGTTCGACGTACTGTGCGTTCAGAGATGCTCTTCTGCCTACCTTGGTTGTAACGGGTGGTTATTTGAGTCACTGTTGCCTTTCTATCAGCTCGAACCAGTCTGGCCATTCTCCTCTGACCTCTGGCATCAACAAGGCATTTCCGCCCACAGAACTGCCGCTCACTGGATATTTTTTCTTTTTCGGACCATTCTCTGTAAACCCTAGAGATGGTTGTGCGTGAAAATCCCAGTAGATCAGCAGTTTCTGAAATACTCAGACCAGCCCTTCTGGCACCAACAACCATGCCACGTTCAAAGTCACTCAAATCACCTTTCTTCCCCATACTGATGCTCGGTTTGAACTGCAGGAGATTGTCTTGACCATGTCTACATGCCTAAATGCACTAAGTTGCCGCCATGTGATTGGCTGATTAGAAATTAAGTGTTAACGAGCAGTTGGACAGGTGTACCTAATAAAGTGGCCGGTGAGTGTATATGGTCAGTCAAAGGTTAACTTATCTGAGGTAAACTGATTAGTTATAGTCAGTGTGGATCTGCGGTGCAGCAAATGTCTGTCTCAGAATAATTGAGAAACAAACCTTAAACCTGTCATAAATCACAATCAGCCAGATTTCATTAAAGATTAAGACGTAAATAAAATAAATTTGTTATGTCCTTAGTGAATAGGCCTATTTGATGACTCTGCCCAGAAACACTGCCAGAGCAAAAGTGCTGTCTTAACATTGGTCACACACGCACACACGCTACTGTGGAGCGCTGTGTTTGACTCCTAAAAGGCAGGTGTCTCTTGCTGCATCTGAATTGCCAAGTAGTAGTCGAAGTAGTAGTCGAAGTAGTATGGAGCATGTCCGAATTGGCCACCGGAGCGAGTAGCATGCTACTTCAGATACTACTTCAGATACTAGACACGCCAACATTGTAGGATGGTCGCAGCGCATCCTACAGGCATGCTACTGACCCAAAATGCACCGCGGTCTTCTTCGTCCTCTTAAAAGTTGTAGAAGCGCATGTGATGCTAGCGCCACCAGCTGCTCTGCCTATTTAAATGCGTTGCGAACGCCGGCTGGCACAGCAGCGCTCACCATTGCGGAGCAGCAGCAGCAGCAGCAGGAGGCAGGACCGCAGCAGTACAGATGTAGTTTTAATGTAACTTCACACACTGTCCTAAAAAAATGTGCGGTTGTATCTTTGTCATGTCATGTCATGGCACAGTACCTACTCTCTGCCTGCGGGGGTCGTCTTTCCCCACTGCTCGTCTAGTGTGTCCGAATTGGGCCAACGTGTTTAGTATGTAGGAGTAGGATCTAGCAGTAGTACGTAGCAGTAGCATGTAGTATGCGAGCGGGCAATTCGGACACAGCATGTGTCTTGGCCCAGCAGCGGGGACGTTGTTCTACACTCCTGAAAGGGTGTGGGACATCATTTGAGGCAGTATAGTCTTGCACAATGTTGCACTGGTGAGTGGAGTGCCGTTGGCTGTGCCGGTGCAACGTGAGGATCCGACACCTGGAGAACAATAAAGCCGCGTTCAGACCAAACACGACCTCGGCGACCTGAGCAATGAATTTCAATGCAAAGTCTATGTACAGCCGTGACCTGTGGGACATCATTTGAGGCAGTATAGTCTTGCATAGATCGCAGGACTCCAAGTTGCGTCGCTCCAAAAGTTCAAATATTTGAACTTTGGGAGCGACTTTCCGCAACTCCGTGCCGCGACAGCCAATCAGGGCTCTGCTGACGTCAACAAACCGGCGAAGCAAGGAGGAGGAGAAGAAGAATCACAATGGAGGAGCAGCTTATCACTGCTGTGAGTTATCACCCGGTCCTGTACGACATGGGGTGCGCGTTCTACCGGGACCGCACCTCCAAGGAGGAGACATGGGCGAAGGTGGTCCATGATGTCTGGCTTTCTGTTAAGTGTGTTTATTTATTTCAGTGAGCAGACTATTTTCTGAAACATAGCAAACTTCCCCTGCTTGCTAGGCTCAATGTGTGTGTGTGTCTTTGCAGTGGATGTGTGCCGCAAGCGCTGGAAGGGGCTGCGGGATGATATGAGGGAGAAAGAAGGTGGGAGAAGCGGGTCAGCGGCAACCAGCCGTGTCCTGCGACCTCCACGACTGCAGCTTTGGACCTGGTGTGAACACACCAGGGCGTGACGCGATGGGAATACAGAGACCAATGCGAATAGGTCACTTCAGGTCGCGTTTGGTCTGAACGCGGCTTAACGAGGAGAGCTTCTACAAAGGTGCTGTACAGAGGAGACAGGACCTTATCGATGGATTCTGGCATGTAAAGTGTAAGTTTAGAAAGTGCTCTTGCTATGTAATCAGTGATAAAAATCCAATAGAAATCCATAAATATGGGCCTCAGGGGCAGCAACACACCGTTTGGTGACGTTAATAATTATTTTTTTTCAGCCTCTGTCAGACTCTCCAGTCTGCTCTACATTACAAAGACGCAACAAATTAAAACTAAATACTTTCAATAATTGGAGCAGCGTACCCTATATCATGGAAATGAAAAAAGAGGCATGTATGAGATAATAATTTATCATCATAAGCAATTCATTGACTAATGATTTGTTAAAACTTCAGCCACTGTCCACTATTCCACGGCAGCGCTGTTCACCGCCACCATAATGCTGCTCCAGACAGGAGTTTTCTGGACTGCTTTTATACCAGTTTTGATGCTTTCAAAGAGCAAATCCTTGTTAGTTTCCACCACAGACGCGAGAATATCCACTTTCAGCTCAGAAAAGTTTCAAATCTTTCTAATATACTCCTCTTTCATGTTTGACCTCAGTGGGCGAGGCTTCTGAACCACGAATATTTAAGGGTGTAAACATATTAATGACGATCGATTTCAGCCGCCACATTTATCAAGACCCGATCATACGTACGCTGGGATTGGTCAGATTTCATAAATCTCACTAGTGTCCTATCGTATGATAAATCCTGCGCTCAGATCTGCACAAGATTGATAAATGAGGGCCATTGTCTGTTCTTTTAGCAGCTAAAAAAAACCCACAGGCAAGGCACGGGTGGTGGGTCACCACCAGCTGACCTCACCCCAGCTGCGGACAAAGGCATTAAATAGAGACAGGCCTGTGATGGAGGGGAACAGAGTCAAATACAAGTTCCTCCCAAGATGTCACCCTCCTTATACAAGGTACCATCCATCCATTCATTTTCTACCGCTTATTCCCATCCCCGGGGTCGCGGGGGGAGTGGAGCCTATCCCAGCATCTTCGGGCGAAGGCAGGGGACACCCTGGACAAGTCACCAGTTCATTGCAGGGCTGACAAGGTACATTCTTCCATATTTACATGGGACCTAACCAACCATTCATATTGAATCCATTTGGACTATCAGACTTTGGTTCAACTTGCAGTGTCTGGCAACACCATCAATTTGTTAGAGCCACCAACGCCAGATGATGATCCAGTGAGTACTCCATCAAAGGCATACTGCAGGCCTGGCATGTCTAGTCTACTAGCTTTAATATCAATCCCATTACATGTGATAGGATGAAGGCACCAGTGGAGCCGGAGGAGCAACAGCAGCAGCAGCAGGAGGAGGAGGAGGAGCAGCAGCAGCAGCAGAAGATGATGACGATGATGATAACTTTGATGAGGAGGCTGTCTCTATTGATTCAAGAAGGCTTGAGGTATTATGTAAACCTGTGGAAGTACTCATTCAGTCTATGAAGTTGATATGTAGTAGGTATCATGATTAAATAACCATTTGTAGCTTGTGAGGTGTGAGGCTGCAAAGGTGTTCCTCGTGAAGTCAAGGGATCCAATGGCCTATAAGAAGGCCCGAAATCATGTGTTCCTCCCTGCTCTAACAATGGCGTGCCCATTTCTAGAAGAGATAATTGATGAGGAAGCGCTCGTGCTCAGGAGAGCCTTCAGGGGGGAGAGGGATTTTCAGGGACAGGTCAGACCCATTGGCCTTCACTGATGACTACCTGTATGAAAGGTATAGATTTTCAGCAGATGGCATCCAGTACCTTTGCAGACTGCTGGGTCCCAGGCTATGCCACCAAACGGCACGCAACCATGCGCTAAGTGTAACACATATGGTGTGTGTGGCCTTGCGCTTTTATGCAAGTGGGGGCTTCCTGTACTTTGTGGGGATGCAGAAAATTTGAACAAGGCCACAGTTTGCTGCACCGTGCGCAGTGTGTATGTGGCCATTAAGTTGTTTCTAGGTGTCTTCATTTTCTTCCCTGGCCACAGAAGACTCCGGCATATCAAAGACGATTTTTATAGGACTGCAGGTAAAAGAAATTTCAAATTACATGACAAGTGTTAACTGTCATAGTAGGATACTCATTGCTTTGTGTTAAAGGTTTCCCCAATGTCATTAGCACAATTGACTGCACCCACATAAAAATAAAATCCCCCTCAGGTGCCCATGAAGGAGATTTTATTAAAGGGGACCTGCCATCAAAATGTAATTTTGTGTGTTTTTTGTGTCAGATAAGGTCCATATTATGTTCGTCTTATGTTGTAAATGTGAAAACCGTTACGTCGTTTGCATTCTGTAAAGGTTTAAAATAAAGGAACGGGTAAACCAGGCCAATTGAAAAAGCAGGTCCCTCTGACGTCACGCTGACCTTGCTCATTATTATTCACGAACACGTCCTCGGTGAGCCGCGCCCACTCTCTCATTCTCGTACTCATTCACAGTCAGAGTGAGACCCAGCTACCACTGTATCCGCTATCGGTTCACTGACGGGAAAATGAACTTAAAGCTGGGCAGAATGAATGAGAAAACACCGCTGGAGATCTCTGGCTTCTTCTTCAACTTCCACCTCCTCTTCGGACTCGGGGTCTAAAATATATAGTTTAATACCTGCCATTTTTAGCCTTTAGCATAAGGTGACCAGACGTCCCGGATTTCTGGGGACAGTCCCCGTATTGGATGACCTGTCCGCGGCAAAAGCTGTCCCAAAAATGTCCCCGATTTAAGCGTTTCATGAATGAGAACTAAATGTTGCGTGTGGGCTCGAACAACGGTTATTACAGTAGCCGAATAGGTAGGAAGCACAAGTAAGCAGTCCTGAACAACAGTTTTTAAAAGGGGGTTATTACAAGGGGCATGCGCTGCTACTAAATAGTACCGAGATGTTGTCTGTGATCACACAGCCTCTGCAGCCCCTGCACCCGCCGCCGCACCGAATATCCCCGGATATCATTACAGACATCTGGGCACCTTACTTTAGCACACATTAGCAAAATGGATAAACCGAAATCCGAACCTCCACTGCTGAGCCAATCAGAGCACAGCAGGCTTCACAGCAGCGATCCAATCAGTGCAAAGCTCATTACCAGAAATGTTAATGAGCCAAAATCATTTGGTTTTCCTGTAAGGTTTTTTAGGCATACTAAAACAAACCATCAAATAACTTTTCAGCTAAAATTATGTTGCAAACATGATCAGAGGACATCAAGGATTATGAAAAAATGATAAAAATGGGTATGAATTTTTTATGGCAGGTCCCCTTTAACAGGAAATCCTTTCACAGTATTAATGTTCAGGTAAACATGTCTTTTTGATATTTTCAATTAATGAACACTGCTTCTGACGTGCATTGATTGGTTTAATTTTCAACATCTTATACTTTCAGATGGTCTGCAATGCATGTGACATTATTGTTGCCTGCGCTATCCTCCACAATGTGGTCTGCCGAAGGAAGGAGAGGGCTCCCAGAGTGCCAACACACACTGGCCCTCATTTATCAATCTTGCGCAGATCTGAGCGCAGGATTCATCGTATCTCATACATGCCTCATATTTTTAATTGCCATGACATAGGGTATGTGGCTCCTATTATTGAAGGTATTTTAATTTGTTGCTTCTTTGTAATGTAGACCAGACTGGAGAGTCTGACAGAGGCTGAACAAAAATAATTATTAACGTCACCGAATGGTGTGTTGCTGCCCCTGAGGCACATTTTTATGCATTTCTATTGGATTTTAATCACTGATTGAATAGAAAGAGCACTTTCTAAACTTACACTTTACATGTCAGAATCCGTCGATAAGGTCCTCGTTATTGTTCTCCAGGCATCAGGTCCTCACGTTGCACTGGCACAGGTAACGGCACTCCATTCACCAGAGCAACATTGTGCAAAACTGTACTGGCCCAAATGATGTCCCACACCCTCTCAGGAGTGTACAACAACGTCCCCGCTGCTGGGCCAAGACAGGGACACCTGTCTTTTAGGAGTCAAACGCAGCACTCCACAGAGGCGCGTGTGCGTGTACGCGTAATGTTAAAACAGCGCTCCTGCTCTGTGGCAGTGTTTCTGGGCAGAGTGATCAAATAGGCCTATTCACTAAGGACATTACAAAGTCATTTTATTTTATTTTCGTCTTAATCTTTAATGAAATCTGGCTGATTGTGCTTAATGACAGGTTTGAGGTTTGTTTATCAATTATTTCGAGACAAACATTTATTATTTCAGTTAAAATCTATTTTGTACATTTAAGTTACATATTGCCTGCATTTGCAGGAGAATTTATGTTGTGTTTTATTGATTTGGCCTATTGTGTTGTATACTGTGTGTATACAGGCCTGCTATTTCTGTTCATTGAATATGGATTTGTCCTGCAGCTATTTCAGTGTGCAGACATGCAGGGTGTATTAAATAGACCTCTGTGAATGTGTATTTATTGTTGTTATATGATATGCTTTGACTATGTGCTTCCTATCTTGTAGGGCCCGTTTTGAAAGGTGCTGATGGTTTACCTGCTTTGATTCATCCTTATTCAATAAAGGAACATCATGTTACTCTTATTGTATTTTATTTATATATATAGATTTAATAATAGCAAAATCATTTATCTAAAATGATTGCAATTAATGATCACAAATGTTTAAATAATGACAGCGGGTGTAGTTAAATGTGTTAACAATGTGTAGTGGGCAGTGGACTGAATATTGGTGTCCATTTGTGGTGACTGCTTACTGAGATAAGGGATAAGATTAAACACATACTGGAACTTAGCCTGGTCTGGAGCAGGCTAGCTCCACAGAATGGCTCTCATTTTTCAAGCTTGCTTACGGTAGAAAACTTGCGTACACCTTGCGTATGAAAATTTTGACGTGAGGATGGGCATTTATCAATCTGCACGTGAGCATACGCTACGACCAAATCTTTCGACAGGTCTGACATCATGTACGCAAGTTTGAGTCAGTGTGGATCTGCAGTGCAGCAAAAGTCTGTCTCGAAATAATTGATAAACAAACCCCAAAACTGTCATTAATCACAATCAGCCAGATTTCATTCAAGCTTAAGACATAAATAAAATAAAGTAAAATAAATTTGTTATGTCCTTAGTAAATAGGCCTTTTTGATAACTCTGCCCAGAAACACTGCCACAGAGCAGAGGAGGAGCGCTGTTTCAACATTACGCACACACGCACACACGCCTCTGTGGAGCACTGCGTTTGACTCAAAAAGGCGAGGCTTCTGAACCACGAATATTTAAGGGCGTAACATGTTAATGACGATCGATTTCAGCCACCGCATTTATCAAGACCCCATCATACGTACGCTGGGATTGGTCAGATACGAACCCTTTCATAAATCTCACGTGTGTCCTATCGTGGCCTACGATGAATCCTGCGCTCAGATCTGCGCAAGATTGATAAATCAAGGCCAGTGTGTGTTGGCATTTTGGGAGCCCTCTCCTTCCTTAGGATGGCCACATTGTGGAGGATAGCGCAGGCAACAATAATGTCACATGCATTGCAGACCATCTAAAAGTATAAGATGTTGAACATTAAACCAATCAATGCACGTCACAAGCAGTGTTCATTAATTGAAAATATCAAAAAGTCATGTTTACCTGAACATTAATGCTGTGAAAGGATTTCCTGTTAATAAAATCTCCCTCATGGGCACCTGAGGGAGATTTTATTATTATGTGGGTGCAGTCAATTGTGCCAATGACGTTGGGGAAACCTGTAACACAAAGCAATGAGTATCCTACTATGACAGTTAACACTTGTCATGTAATTTGAAATTTCTTTTACCTGCAGTCCTATAAAAATCGTCTTTGATATGCCGGAGTCTTCTGTGGCCAGGGAGGAAAATGAAGACAACTAGCAACAACTTAATGGCCACATACACACTGCGCACGGTGCAGCAAACTGTGGCCTTGTTCAAATTTTGATCTGCGCTCAGATCTGCGCAAGATTCATAAATGAGGGGCAATGAGTCTCCATGGTAACTTATGTCATAACATATCCCACTTTCCCCTATCCTACTTTTATGCAAGCGGATCACGGATAACCAACATGTCCCGGCTTAATCCCTTATCCTACTTTCATGCAACAGGCCCCTGGTTAGATTTAAGGTCAGGAAGCGCTTACCTGTCAGTGTTTGTGTTCAGGTGATGGCTGACTCTGCTGCAGTCACGCGTGTTTCCGGTCCTTCTCACGTCACATCATGCCGCAAAGTGCTCCAGTGGCAGTTTAAAAAGTTCTCAGACGTAAAACCCAAACGCCAGCAGACAGAGGAAGCCAACGAGTCGGTAAGGATCTCAGTTGAACCGGTGACAGCGCGTGAGCGCGTCTGTGCTCGACTGTATCTGCTGACGGGAGCGTTTGCTATTACAACATCAAAGCTAAGCGGAGCCTGCGCAGACTCAAGATCAGCCCGCTTTCTTCTTCTTCGTCGCCTTCTTGGGCTTCTTCTTCTTCTCTGGTATTTCACGGCAATTTGCATCCATGACGTAACATTACTGCCACCCTCAGTTACTCATCCTCTATTACCGTTTATTTTGTATCCTTTTGTAGTTTTTCTCAGTCGCTTTGGTGCATTTCTCAGATCAGAATGAAAGTTCTCACAACTATTAGTTCAACCTCCACAACACTGAGTCATTTGTGCACATCGTTGTAGCCGTTTCTCATTCTTCTGAACCGATTGCAAATGCTCTCGGACATGTATCAGTTACTTTCGTACAATTCTCTGCTGTTTTGTAACATTATCATTTGCTTATGTCGTGTAAGCCAACATGAACTATACTTATGAATGCTGAATAGTCATGCCCTTTAAAACTAATAGTCCTCATTTCATTGCCTGAGTCATTACATACAAAATTGTTGAACTAGTTGTCAAAGTCTGTCCAGCTGATTTCATACATTCCTTTATCATTTTTTTTTCCTGAAAATGTCTCCTAAATTGAACAATTGCTCTCAGGTGAACCAGTGTATACCGTTTTTACAATTCTGTGACACAAAAATGGAAGGTCAGCGTCGTTTACAGTAATATGTTCTGTTATATTGTTAACATTTGTGCACAGTTCTACCAAAATTGATATTTCTTATGTTTGTTCTAATTAAGTGGATGTGATTTTTTTTTTTTTTGCACAAAGCTGTAGAATTGCAAAAAGCATATGCAGTAAATATGTGAAACATGCATGTGTCTAGTATTCAGTTACTTCACTCAATGTGTAGCTTAACTGAAGTTTTCAAATGGCTGTACAGGCAGTGTATCATGCTGTCTTGAGCATTTTCAGGTAGGGTCACCAAGGTCTGACTTTTTTGCATTGGAAAAAACAGAGAGAGTAAACTGCCATAATGAAAACATAACAAAGCCATTTGGGTGTCTCGTTCATAAACAATGGTGTCAGGACTTTTAATTTTGATGAAAATGACAATTCACTGACATGAATACTTGCTTTTGAGGGTTCAACTATCCATTTTGAGCAAGTGACGTGCTTTTGCAGATTATCCACTAGGTTTAGTCTGTACTAATTGTTCTGTGAAATGCACTAACTGTTGTGCAAATGTTAATAGTGATGTGAAAAATGCACCAAAGCGACTGAGAAAAACTGTAAAAAGCCCATTCACAGTCAAAAAGGCCATCACCTCCTCCCTTCCATCTGCACGTTCAAGAAAATTCGTCCGCTTTTGAACCACTCTTACGCAAAAAAGCTTGAACACAATGGCTCTCATTTTTCAAGCTTGCGTACGGCAGAAAACTTGCGTACACTTTGCGTACGAAAATTTTGACGTGAGGATTGGCATTTATCAATCTGCACGTGAGCATACGCTACGACCAAATCTCACGACAGGTGAAAGATTAAGATGTAATTAAAATTTAAAAAAAATAAAATAAAAGAGGGTGTCCAGTGAAATCCCTTGAGCATTTTATGTTATTAATAACAAAAAATGCTCAAGCGATTTCACTGGGCACCCTCTTAATTCTTTAAGAGGGGACCCCCAGCAGCAAGAATCAGTTGAGAAAAAAACTTTAACCGACGAAACCATGTTCAGCCAAAAATCACCCTTTGGCTCCTGGACTAGCTCGACTCGGTTGAATTTTGGCACTCCGACAATCGGTTCTAAGTGACCAATCGAGTGGAGGGGCGGGCCACTCTGCACCTCCCCTCCACTCGATTGGTCACTTAGAACCGATTGATGCAAGGTCAGAGCCAACCGGAGGCAGAGTAGTAATGTTAAACCTCAGCACTGCCTCTTCTGTCACAATACCAGTCTGCACAAACACAGTTGAAATAAATGTACAGGAGCTTACAGGAAAATCTTTTTCAAAATCATGAATACAGCACTCCATTTCTGTGGTATATAGATAGATAGATAGATAGATAGATAGATAGATAGATAGATAGATAGATAGATAGATATTCATTTTTTGCTAGCAAACAGTTGCAATAATCTTTTTTGTCACAGTTTAAAATTTTGTCTTTGCAATTCTTAATAAAGTTTTGAAGGGGCAAAAAAGAGATGTAGTGTATGTGGCTAATTTTTCTGACGTTATGCTCATCAATTTCGTCAGAGGATTGACAGGTGCTGAATAAAGTTGAGGTGAAAAAAGGCAACTCAGACCTTAGATGTTGGAAATCAGTAATATTATTATGTGCAAAATCACAATGACAACGAGGACATCATTAATGTTACAGAGGACTTAAGCTTTATAAAGAAGGCATGACAATCTAACCTATTTTCATCATTTCACCAGCTTAATAACGAACTTTGTGTACCATTAATTTGATTCATAATGCCTCCTCTTAAGATGATTGCCACGCAAAAATTTGTGTTATATTAGCAGTCTGTGTGTGTGTGTGTGTGTGTGTGTGTGTGTGTGTCTGTGTGTGTAGTGCAATTTTTAACTTGTCTTGTGCCTCAGCAGCTGAAAAAAAAAAGTTTAGAGCCGGCTAATTTCGAGGCGTGTGATTCGTCACTAACTCCAGTGACAAAATTACCGATAGACAAAAAATGTGCAAGAGGTAAGAGTGCCTCGGTGGGGATTTATCTGAATACACCGCCTAGCATTAATACTGCCTCCCCCACTGCCTCAGATTGAATCTGTCAGTGAGCACTTAAAATGACCAATCAGCAACGAATATCTATCTATCTCTCTATCTGTCTGTCTGTCTGTCTGTCTGTCTGTCTGTCTGTCTGTCTGTCTATCTATCTATCCATCTGTCTACCACCCACAGAAATGGAGTGCTGTATTCATGTTTTTGAAAAGGATTTTCCTGTAAGCTCCTGTACATTTATTTCAACTGTGTTTGCGCAGACTGGTATTGTGACAGAAGAGGCAGTGCTGAGGTTTAACATTACCACTCTGCCTCCGATTGGCTCTGACCTTGCATCAATTGGTTCTAAGTGACCAATCAGAGTGGAGGGGAGGTGCAGAGTGGCCCGTCCCCGGAGTGCCAAAATTCAACCAAGTCGAGCGCGCAGAGGGCCCTGAGTGAGACAGCCCGTATGTGTACAGACACTGCGAGCACGCGGGTAGTGACAGCGAGCGCGCAGACAGTGATGGCGAGCACGTGGGTAGGTGTTTTTATGCGCGCTGATATGTTTTTTATGCGCGCGGATATTTGGCATCGTATTGACGCCATACAGGGGCCTGTCTTACAAAGCAAGTTCAACCTTGCGAGGTAGCCTTGGAGCTACCTCGCTCAACTTAGCGCGGTAGCCAGCGGTCTTGCTAAATGGTCTTACGATGCTGGTTATCAACTTCGTAAGTTGATCCAGCTTTGCTATGAGCACGTGCACGCACGTAAGGCGGAGCCCGCCACATCTGACCAATCGCGAACATGGACCAGTCTGGAGCATCAGAGCAGGCTGGAGAGCGAAGGACCGCAGACTTTACAAACGAGGAGCAGGAGACGATCATAAGAAAGTATGAAGAATTCAAATCTATCATAAACCTCAAAAGCTATTACTATTAGCGGTACTATTTAGTAGCAGGGCACGCCCCTTGTAATAACCCCGGTAAATACCGCTGCAAAAGCACGGAAGGAATGCTGGCAGAAAATTAATCTTTGATGCCTTTATCACCCTGAAATAGCAATGTTCAACATGCGCTTTTAACTAAGGTGACCGGACGTCCACGATTTCCGGGGACAGTCCCTGAATTGGATGATCTGTCCCCGGCTAAAGCTGTCCTCGAAAATGTCCCCGATTTAAGCGTTTCATGAATGAGAACATAACTGTTGCGTGTAGGCTAGAACAACGGTTATTACAGTGGGTAGGAAGCACAAGTAAGCAGTCCTGAACAACAGTATTCACGGGGGATATTACAAGGGGCGTGCGCTGCTACTAAATAGTACTGATATGTTGTCTGTGATCACGCAGCCCATACCCATTAATTTCCAAGATGAATTCATTCATTTGTTCATTCCTATCGTGTTTACATTTTTGTGTGATATGTAGGCCATATGAGCCTTTCATAAAGGTAAAGGAAAAGTAAGGGGGTCCGTGCGGTCCCTGAAAACTCTCGCACGCCAGAGTGCTCCTCGGACAATGCAAGGTCTATAGGATCCACCAAGAACGGACAAGCCATTTTTCGAGAGAGCTCATTGGTCAGTGGGCAGGGTTTTTTATACTCGTGAGTTCAATCTGGAACCTAACCTGCATGAAAGAGGACAAGTATAAGAAAGATTCGAAACTTTTCTGAGCTGAAAGTGGATATCCTCACATCTGTGTTGGAAACTAACAGGGATTTTCTCTTTGGAAGCATAAAAACTGGTATAAAAGCAGTCCAGGAAACTCCTGTCTGGAGCAGGATTATGGTTGCAGTGAACAGCGCTGCTGCGGAATAGCAGACAGTGGCTAAAGTTTGAATAAATCATTAGTCAATAAGTTGCTCATGATGATAAATTATTATCTTATACATGCCTCATATTTTTTATTGCCATGACATAGGGAACGTTGCTCCTATTATTGAAAGTATTTAGTTTTAATTTGTTGCTTCATTATTGCATTATTTGGAGACAGACTGTTGAGCTATGGGGTTCTGTGGGTAACAGATGCACCACCGCCACCTAGTGGGCTTAAAGCAGCTGCTACCATCCAAGATGGCGCCGCCCATGGCTGCTATGGTATCGACGTGTGTTGTGTTCTGTCTGTGTATTGTTTACGTGTCCTGTGAGCCTTCTTACACTAGAGAAGAGCTACTGCACATTGGGTGTTCTACCCCACCGGACATATTACCAACATTACTCACCCGTTCCACAGATATATTGGATATTCTGGTGAGAGGGACAGCGCTCTTTGCCAGTGCTGTGCGTTGGACCAGAAGACAACGTGGGAAGAGAGGAGGTTGTCTGGTTCGACTACGGCAGAGAGGATCGCGTCCATCACTCCCAGGTATATTCCTGTTTAACGTGAATTCCCTGCCTAAGTCCCTTCACAACTCTAGGGCGCTGAGGAGGGCAAAAAAAATCATGGCCGACCCCTCCCACCCTGGCCACAGTCTCCTCTCCCTGCTCCCCTCTGGGAGAAGGATGCGGCTGCTGAAGGCCACCACAGCATGCCATAGACTCAGTTTTTTCCCCTCTGCTGCCAGGCTGCTAAATGAGTCTGGCTTCCCTCCTCTCCCCGCCCACTAGGGACTTTGACACTTGAAAGACTCTGAAACTCTGAAACGGTAATGACTCAACAATATTTGCACTATTGATCCTACTGCACTTTATATTTATCTATTTTTTCTGCATGGTGTTGTTTATGTTTTATGTTATCTGTGAAAAAACATCCGAACACACTCATGTTATTGCCAAAGCAAATTCCTATGTGTTTTACACAATGGTTAATAAAGGAATCTGAATCTGAATCTGAGCAGAATGACCTGTATTATGTTGGCACGTTGTTGAATAAAGCCAGAGAGACCAGCATGTTGTCGTCCAGAGCTCTTCTTGTTACTCAGCTATGAAGTACAGCCAGCACAACATTACATGGTGTCAGAGGACGTGGTCATGACAAAAGCAGCCAGTAAGACTTTTTTGTGAACAAGGACCTACAAGGATTATATATATATTTTTTTTTTTTGCTTAGCTGGATTGCTACACGGACGAGCTAAGACGCTAAGTGGCTAACAGGCTAACAAGTCGCTGCATGTGAGTGAAGTGGAAGCCTAGGAAAGGGGGAACCACAGATATCACCATTATGGAACGCTTACAGCCACCACCAAACTTTGATTTCACAAAGCCTGAGGAATGGCCCAAGTGAATAAGAAGATACGAGAGGTTCAGGGTTGCATCTGGCCTGGACCAACAGTATGAGGAAAATCAGGTGATACACTAATCTATACAATGGGTGATGATGCTGAGGATGTCATAACGTCACTCCGCATGACAGAAATGGATTTGGGAGTATACAATACAGTCAAAGCAAAACTGGATGCACACTTTGTGGTCCGGAGAAATATGATTTTTGAAAGAGCTAAATTCAACCTGAGACAGCAAGAGGCTGGAGAATCTGTGGAGACCTTTATCACAGCACTGCATTGCTTATCTGAGCACTGTAATTATGGACAGCTGCATGACGAAATGATACGAGACAGAATAGTTGTAGGTTTTAGGGACAAGAGACTGTCTGAGCAACTTCAGATGGACCCTGACCTAACTCTGGAGAAAGCTGTCACTCGTGTTCACTTAAGTGAACTTGTTAAAAAGCAGCAAGATATGCTTAAGAGCAACTTCAAGGCAGAGGCCACAGGAGCCAACATGGACAGTGTTCGCATGCAACAGCGCCCATTCAACAAGGAGAAACATAATAAACCACAGCAACATACCAAAATGCAATCACACAAGAAAGGCATGCAACCTCAGTCACAGGCACAGGGGGACACACAGTGGTGTAAGTGGTGTGGGAGAAGACACAGCAAACAGCAGTGCCCAGCCAAAGATGCTGCCTGTAAAAATTGCAATAAAAAGGGACATTATTTTATTTTTTACGTCTTAATCTTTAAGGAAATCTGGCTGATTGTGCTTACTGACAGGTTTGAGGTTTTTATATCAATTATTTTGAGACAGACTGTTAAGCTATGGGGTTCTGTGGGTAACAGATGCACCACCGCCACCGAGTGGGCTTAAAGCAGAATGACCTGTATTATGTTGGCACGTTGTTGAATAAAGCCAGAGACCAGCACGTTGTTGTCCAGAGCTCTTCTTGTTACTCAGCTATTTGAACCAAATCGCATATGATTATATTTCTCGAGTAAGATTGAAAAATAATTTTGGTTATTTTTTATGTGTGACATCATCCTGTATCATAGCTACATCTCTGCTGTTTGTAGCAGACCAAACCGTGTGAAAATCGGGCAGAAATTCGTAGAGTAATACAGTTGGCTAAATTTTTTTCCCCTAGGATGACATAGGGAAATCATAGACTGTATATACTATGGACAACTTGGTTCCGCCTCTCGCCTGTAAACGGATTTGAAGCCCAAAAGCTCTGGGTATTTCCAGGATTTTTCTTCATTTCCTGAAACCAGCGCTGCGTGGTAGCGATGTGCGCATTCGGCAGGGGAGTTGCCAAGAGTCGCTGTGATGATGCTCAGCTCAAACAGCATGTCCCAGGGGTGAGCTACGCAATCCCTGAACACCAATAGGATGTATCAGGTGTCAATCATAGAAAATATGAACCCCCTAATAACTTTTAAAAACTGAGCTTCACAGAAAAAAGAGGACTTGAGCACAAACCAGTCGTAATGTAACTACAGCTACATAAGCTTTGCTGGCGGAGGTGGGAATTATGACCTATACTGCAGCCCATCAACAGAGGGTGCTGTTCTCGGAGTGGCTTCACCCAGCAAGGAGGCAGATGCTGTCCATTCTATATACTGTACAGTCTATGAGGGAAATCCATGCTCCCAACCCATTTGATTGGTTTGTGCAGCACCTCTTCTTCGCTCGCCTGTTGTTTTTCCATCTTCTGATAGGAAAAGGGGGAGAGTTGTAAGCTATGGTAGGTGTTAAGGTGAGGTTAGTAAAGGTTAGGGTTAGGGTTGGAGTAAGAGTTAGGGTTAGTGGCGGCGATGTAACTGCAGTGAAATTTAAAAAACAGGAATCTTGCATACGGTTGGGCATTCGTACCCAACCGGTCCCCCATGTGCACAGGAGGCACAGGGGGGACCTATCCTAGACGGCAGAAGTGCTTATATGTGAGTTCTAAGAGGCAGCGGCAAACTATAAGGCGTCTACATATACTATCACTTTAGGCTTGCACCATAGATGGTGGCTGTGTCTCAATTCAGGGTCTGCACACCATTTTTATTTATTTTTTATTTTTTTTTATTGTCAATTGAATGCAGTTGATAAACATTGCACAACCATATGGGGTGAGGGGGCTACATGAAAATAAAGAAATTAATACTTGAGTCTTTATGGCTTTCTTATTTTCCAGACAGACTAATTATGTTGATGTATTGCTTGATTTCCTTTTTAAGACAGTGAGTTCATAGTATTTGATAAGTGAATTTGCTGTTATATTATGGATATGCGCTTTGGTTAAGTATAATATTATATTAATTATATAATATTGGTCTAATTGAGGAGAAGGAACTGAAAAGAACCCATACAATACATTTTGATAGTCCAAAACAAGTGTTTGTCAATGTGCTGACGTATGAAACTGGTTACATTTTTCCAAAAAATCTGCAGGTGACCAGAATAGGTGGTGAAGATCTTCTGGAGCCTGTTTACAGAAGAAGCAGAATTAAATGATGTCTTTTTTAAATCTTTGCATGAATACATCGGTGGGATAGATACAAGGATAACCTTGAGGGATACTTCTTTGATCTTATTTGTAACCATAAGATTTTCCAGATCAGGGTAGTAAATTTATTATTCCAGTATGACAAGACCTTCGGAGTACTGACATTTTCTTTTTGAAATAGTGCATGTACAGTACAGTACAGTTGTTGTTGTTGTTTTGCTGGGAAGCAGATTCGACCAACTTCTGTCTGTACAGGCTCCAGAGGTAAGGGGTCAAACTCAGGCAATGTAACATTTTTCAATGGCCTAATCACACCAGAAGGTATTGCATCAAATACTATTGCATATGAGTATGATCATGTGCTGTTCGACTTCACACTTACCAAACACAAGTTTCTGTAATGCCTGAAACATAAATTATCAAACACTTTGCGAAAATCCAGAAATAAAATAAAGCTGTCGTCAGGGCAGTAGTCAGCGCAGGGTTTCGCAACCTTTTGCAAGCTGGGCCCCACCAAAGGTGGTTCAATGCAGTTGGCAAATGTAAACATAAGTGTAATAAACTTTATCACCAGAGTCTCCCTCATTAACACACCCGTCTAACTAAAACAGCAGCTCATTACACCACACAACTGTTTAACAGAGATCTGACATAAAATAATGGAGGGAAAAATTTCCTACCTTCACTCTGGTGTCCAAAACAGTCAGTATCAATCATTCAGCTCCAACAGGTTAATAATCCACCGATATTATTCCCGTTAACATCCTGTACACCCTCTTTACAACCCATTCCTTGTGATCAGTGTCTCATCCATTTGCACTGTGTAACAAAAAAAAAAATTTTAAGAGAAAGAAAAAAGTTTTTAGCGCTGTTTCTGGTCAGCCGGCTCTGTCCTTTACTCCTGGTCTTCCTCCACCAGGACACTGACTGCTTTACGGTTCTGACACAGTGAGTTAGTCACGGCCTGTCTGGACCTGTGGTCTGGACTCCGTACCAAAAACAGAGATGCTCCTCCTGACGGCTTCTATCAGGACACCTGAAGCTAAAGCGAGCTAAAACTTTTTTTCACACAATGCAAATGGATTAAACATGCTGATTGTGAGGAACAGGATGTAAATAGTGAGAAATATTTCCTGAGGATTTGATCAGTAATGTCTCTGCTCAAATGTGTGGTGGACTGAGATCAGGGTGTTTTATATTTTTTGAGGTCATGTTCCCTCGATTATTTTATGTCAGATCTCCGTTAAACAGTGGTGTGGTGTAATGAGCTGCTGTGAAAGCTGTAGCTTGGTGAAGACACACGCAGGTATGTCTGTGTGGATGAGAGGAGACAGGTATGTTAATGAGGGAGACTCTGGTGATGAAGTTTATACAGTTAATACAAATGTTCACATCATTTTTTTTTTTTGTGTGCAATACGGCATTACAGTGACAATGCAAGACAGACAACAAACAGCATTTGTGGTTTTGTGTGTGTGTGTGTGTGTGTGTGTGTGTGTGTGTGTGTGTGTGTGTGTGTGTGTGTGTGGTGTATGTATTATATATATGAATAATAATGATAAAAAATATTACAATTGTCAGACAAGCAAATGGAAATTATAATAATAATAATAATAATAATAATAATAAGAAGAAGAACAACAACAACAACAACAACAACAACAATAACAACAACAACAACAACATTCAATATTAATAAAGATGATGAGTAACAATAATAATATGGGTGGAGGGGAGGTCTTTAAATTTGTGGACTACCTCAGGTCCCTGCCCACTCTCACGAGACCAGCCTGCATCCCCCCAGGCCCCCAGACCCCTCCCCAACTCCCGCATGCCCCAGACTGAATGCGGCACAACACCTAAAAAACTATCCTCATGAACTGGAAGTCTCGGAACTCCATACACATCATACACTGGAAAAACCTGCTCATAGACTACATCTCCTTAGAAAATACAAACTCCCCTGACAATAATCATAACCCTACCTGGTTATCATTCATCACTTAACTACAATCATAATCTGCCACAAACCAGTCGCAACATCATCCATCTCAGTTCTCTGACACTTTCATTCCCAATTTTCTTTTTTTTTTTTTTTTTTGTCATTGTCATTTTCTATTATTATTTATACTTATTTATTTATATACTTACATTTACACTTACTATTTACCACT